CAAGAACATCCGGATGTCCGCATCTAACCATTCCTAACAACGCTTTTATTCCACCATCCGACCATAGTCTTGCTTGCAGTTTGTCTACCAAACAACAAAAAGAGATTTAAGAAATTGGTCGGTTTCTTGTTCAAAACAAAATGTTAGGGATGTTAATTTACCGTTGCCACAGAGATTAGCAATAGCTCCAGCAACCATGCGTAAAGTCTGTGGATCTTCTGCATCTGCAGCTGTTAGAGATAGCAAGCTGATTCCACCTTGGTCTACTATCAGTTGTTGACTCACTTCTGTTACCCCACAAACAAAAACTAAACACATGAGCATGTACCTCCCCACCAAGTCACCACAAGCCATATAATTAGTCTGTTTCTGCTTTCACTGTCTGTCTAACCACTAAATACTAATCAGTAGCAGTGAGAGTTTACCATTCATTGCGAGATTGGCGATCGCACCAGCGGCAACTCTTCGCACAGTTTCATCTTCGTAGCTTCTGAGAAGCATTAGCAACGATGTCAGGCCTCCAGCTTCAACAATCTTTTCTTGATTTGCCTCTGCTTATCAAACCCAAAAATATAAGTAGGGAAAACCATGAAAACCCAGAGCAAAAAAAAAAGTTGAACCTTAGAGATGATGCATATAAGATAGTTACCTTCAGCTGCAAGATTGGCCACAACTTTCACAGCATGAATTCTTATGTTTGCATCATCTGATTCAAGCAATTGCAAGATCTTTTGAAGTCCCACTGTTTCAAAGAGGATAGAAAGTTATAAGAACCACAGAAGTATTTGTATACACTCCGGTTCAAAGACTTTAGAAGAACTTTACATTACCTTGCTCACATAGTGTAGCAAACGGTGCCTTCTGTCCGTTCACAGATTCTCTTGCATGGGAATGTCGTGATGGTAATGAGTCTGTGCCAGAGTACGAATTCCCTGGGGCGCCTCTGTCCAAGCATCTTCTCATCTGGAAGAATAAGACTCAACTGTTAGATAACAAATTCAAGAGACTCAAGGTTGGACCAAATTTATTGCCAAGATAGAGTTGTTATTTAGCACAAGAAGCAGATTAATAGGGATATGTGAATATGTGCCTCATATTCACAATAGCTAGATTAAAGAAACTCTAAACGTGCTTGTACTATTCCCCAAGTGTTTAAAAGCATTTTCAAAGAGGGCAAACAATGGAGACTAATCCTTCATCTGATGTATAAAGACAGCTGCTTTACAGCAATTAGAGGAGAGACCTTTACACACGCTAAATTCGTAAACGAGAGACATATACACACTCTGATTTTGTACACTTCGTACCTGATCAGCTTCAAAAGTAAGCTGCACAAGTTGACTTCGTAATATGGTGACCTCTTCTTCAAGTTTCTTTTTCTGAAGAGCCTCATCCTCCAGCAGTTTCTGTAGTCTTGATATTCCAGCATCTTCGCCTTCCTAAAATGCCAGAGAGCTTGTTAAATATTATCTAAGATGTTAAATCATTGACAAGGGGAGAGAGATAGAGAAAGCTATAGAGAATTTAAACAATGGGTACCCCTGATCTTGTCTTCAGTGTTGACTGGCTTTTTACTTTGCTGACTTCTTCTTCAGCCGCCTTCCTTAATTTCATTTCATTCTCAAGTGATTCTTTGAGCCTAGTGAATTCACTAGCTGTAACAACTCCATTGACCTGCAAAGTAATATTTACTGGTTAAAGGTTCGTAACTCTCCCATCACCTGAAAAGAAAATCAGAGTTCTGTGGGCAAGTACCTCTCCGTTACGTTTATCATTCTCATGGTTCCGCTGGTTCGATATCAGCTTTTCTTCAAGCTTTTTAACTGACTCCATATATTCCATTTGACACTTTAGTTTCTCCTTCTGTAAATAGAATATAAGGAAACAAGATAACCCGATTAAAAAAAGGCACAGAAACAAAACATTTGAAACCATTTTTTTTATTTTCTTCTTCATATTCTTTTAGGTTATGCCAAGGAGTGCATGAACTAACCTCCAAGGCCTCTGCAAAGTTCTTTTCAACTTCTGATATACGATTTTGTGCTTGTCGATTTATTCTCTCCACATCATCATCAAATGCTTTGAGCTGCCTTTCGTTTTCAGCAATCACCTTATCCAGTTGGACCTCAAGTTTCTTGGATAAACTCTTGTAATCAAATTCTTCCTTTATCTTTAACATATTCTCTACCTTCATTGCCTGCCCAACATTTAGAAACACTTATGGATTTGAAATTTCTCAATAGATTTCTACACTAGGGGTTAGGTTAAAGTAGTAAGAACCCACCCTTTGACCAAATAATATAGTACTGGTTGTCTCTCCTCTATGACGTGGAGAGGGACCAATGGTCACAATTAGGGATGTTCTTGCTGTGCCTGAAATGCAAACAACATACTGTATATATAAGTGAACGATAATACAGAAAAGTCCATTTATTAGGAATTCAGAATTCAAGACACCAGGACTTAGCCTATGAGCAATAAGATAACTAACCACCAAATGAATCTCTCAACAAGCGAGTAAGTTTTGAATCACGAAGTGGAACATGAGGGCTATTCTCAGCTATTGCATTTATGCATTTCCCTAGAGCACTAAGTGAGAGATTAATGGATTTAGCTTCCTCCAGCATGTGTCCTTCGCTGCCTGCATTGCAAGAAAGGTGGTGGTAATGAGCACTCCCATAAGTAAATACGTTTCCTAGAGTGTCTCTCATGGAGGGAAAATGAAGAAATGAGTAAATCTGATTTGTACAAGAGCTTTGACAAGCTATCCCATTTGATTATCAGAGGTTTATACCCGACTTGTGAACACGTTCAGAACCAGCAAGATCTACTAGAACTAGCTTGCTTCTCCTAACCAATGGCTTGGATGGTCTGACAAAGTGAGATGAGTTCTCCATTTCATTTGAGACTGGATCCTCGTTCTCCACCACCGACCTCTTGACATGTACCTGAACTATTGATCATCCATCAGCTCAAAATAACAATAGAGATGAACATAAAGGTTCTCTCTAACGCCTATGAAGTTGTAGAGAAAGTTGAGAAGGCTAAACAGAGGTGAATTACCATGAGAATTGCATGACTTCGAGAAGATTCAGTATTCAATTTTGTATTGGCTGCAACTCTATGTGTTTCCCCAAGCTGAAGGAGCTCAAGGAAATTTTGCTGGTTCCTGATCTCTACATGGGTGGCCCCTGGCAAGGAGACATCTCCAGTTCTGGGGTCTTCGACAATAGCGATATTGTCATTAGTTGGATCTAGGAGATCTTGAATGGTCTCCATATAAAGCTGGAGAAAAGAATAAAAAAAAAACTAAAGAATGCAAAGTAGTAACTGAAGAATCAATCAATAGTATCCCAAGGAAAAATACCTGTAAATATGAGACAGAGATAGAATCAGTGTCTAGAGAAGTGCCTCCAATGATATCTTCCATTGATCGAACCATGATACCACGAGCAGCAGTATCTTCATCTCCTAATCTTCCAAGGGTAAAAGTCTTGCCAGTACCCGTCTGACCATAAGCCATGACAGTTCCATTGTAACCCTCAAGAACACTCTACAAATTGAAAGTAATTCAGTGTAAAAGGAGCAAGGAGAATAGTGAAGGGAGAAAGATAATGATGAAGGAGAGGCAAAGAGACCTCAACAACAGGCTTGGCAACCACTTGGTAGACTCGCTTCTGTGAAGCAGCTTCAGTGAGCACCTCATCAAACTCGTAGGTCTCAGTATCCCAATTGTTTTTCCTGAGTTTCAACCTTTTGAGCTAACAACACCCACAGAGAGAGAGGATTGAAACAATCAGTGATAAAGAGGATTGAAACACCCCTGACACAGTTTAGTATATTGAGAAGTGGAGAGAAACCTCAGGTTGCAACTCAACACAATCAGCAAAATCAGCATCTGCGACAGACTCATCTGCATTTCGAGGTCGTAATCTTACAGCCACTCGAACTCTCCCAGGAACTGTAGAAACAATCACAAAAAAAAAAAAAAAAAAAAAAATAGTCATCGAGTAGAGAAGAATTCATCTAATGATCCATAAAACTGAACAATCGCATCTCTCTAAAAAGCAATTAAACGCCAAGGGATCAGCATCCCAACAACAGGAACTAATACAAAGCTAAACTAGATAATTCACGGAATCGACAGTGAGTGAAAACTGAAATCGCATCTCTCTCAGTAAGTAAGGAAGTAAAATGAAAACGGACCTCCATTGTCAGCGGCTCCGAGAGCAGCAGAGGTGGAGTTCCGACGGGGAGCAGGCGCGGAGGAAGGAATCCTGGATTTGAAAGAAGACGATCTGAGATTGGAAGAATTAGCTCCAGAGATTGGTCTCATGGATCCTCTAACCGCACCATTTCTCGAAGAAGCCATTGCCATTTCCTAATTAATAGTCTTCTCTATGCTGCAGGCTCCTGGCGGCGGTTTGTGCAAACAGAAGAACAAATTCAAACGAAGAAGAAGAAGAACAAGAAGAAGAGACTGGTATCTATTGTTTCTCGATTTTGTCTCGTCGATTTTTGGGGTTATTTACTCGTTTTAACATTTTGTGTTTTTTTTTTTTTTTTTTTCTTGTTTAAACAAAAACAGTGATGGAGGAGGAGGAGGAGGTTGGCGGGCCCACACGCGTTAGTATTTGAATGAAGACAGAGACAGTCGTTGGGTTACAACGGGTCCTACTTTGTCAAAAAGGACTACAGTTTTTACGTTTTTACCCCTATCCAGGTTTGTGCTGACTGCTGAGTGGTTCGGTCCCTACTAGCCAGGGGTAGTGGCCGCTTTAATTGCGCCGAACGGGTCGGCTTAGTGGAAGGGATCCGTTTGTATTGGATCCGGGTCGGGTTTGGCTTAGCCCATTTACAAGATTTGGTTTGAATTTATGGCCCACGTGGATTCCACTCGGCCCACGTGGATTCCACTCGGCCCACGTGGATTCCACTCGGCCGATAGATTTTTGTGTATTTGAAATCTTGTTGGTGAGACTGTAATACGGCGTCAAGTATTGGGGAAAAAAAACTTTGTTTAAATAACACAAAACCCCTTTCAAAGGACAGAAATTAGTAAATCATCCAGTACAAACTTTTTTAATTAGGTGAAACAGTGGTTTTAGTCAGAGTTTCTCAGTGTGAAACAAATGAAAAGAACAACAATTGGGCTTGGTTCGGTTCTGCCACATTTGACTTAACCAGCAAGTGGATTGGCGTGGATCGTTACACGGTTTAGCCTTATTTCAGCAAGCGGCCTATCTCCTGCTCCTGTTTGAGTCTGCAAAGAGGCCACAATCATATCATTAGATGAGTTTTGTCAAAACAAATTCAGATCAATAAATCATGTTGTTCCACACTTCATATCACCAATAACTCAGAAACATGCTTCTTTAACACTCGGATTTAGGGAAAAAAACATAAGAGTTCAATCTCTACATGGAAAGATGAGGTGAAAAAAGAGAGTAAAAGATTGGTTTACCTTTTCCATAATGTCAAGAACTTCAAAGCCATGAATGACTTTGCCAAAGATGGTGTATAATCCATTGAGATGTGGTTGCTTTGCGTAGGTTATGAAGAACTGGCTTCCGTTGGTGTTTGGACCACTGTTTGCCATTGACAACATCCCTCTTGCATTGTGCTACATAAGATAATGGAAACAGGTAAATGATCAAGAACAACTAGAGATAAACATGGCCATTCACAACAGACTCACATGTGTCTACTTCCCTGGAATTAAATGCAAGAGGGCTTGCACTAGCGGTTATGAGTAGGGTAATGGCAGGCATATGACTACTTTGCCAAAACACATAGATAACTTACCTTACAGCCAGAAGGAACATATCAGGATAGTATACTCAGCTACGTTGGAGTCCTTACATCAGTAGGTTTTCTAAGTCTAATAATGGTTCTGAGCTAAAAAGAACTCTATAATCATGGATGCTAACATGGATTATCAAGACACTGAAAAAGAGATTAGACACCAACAGGCCTTGACACAGTGGCATTACATTTAAGATGCCTTAAAATCATAAGTTTGAAGGATAAACTGAAAGTAGATGGAAATCCGCAGAGATGAGAATAGAGATACCTTAAGGGACTCTCGGATCTCATCATTGAATTTCTTGCCCCAGATGCTAGTTCCTCCTTTCCCGGTCCCCTTGGGGTCTCCTCCTTGAATCATGAACCCTTTGATATTTCTATGAAAGATAGTACCATCGTAGTAGCCGCTAGCACATAACGCCAAAAAGTTCTGCACCAATATGAAAGATCAAAGCTAGCGGTCGAGGTGCTTCAAGTAGAACTCATCGAAACTTGCAAAAATGTCAGAGAGAAATAGCTCAGCGATCCAATGAACACGCATTGGAAGATGATGAACCTACCTATACACGAACTTCCCCTATCATGACATTCATATAACCCTAATTTCGATTAAAAAATTCCAGAGAAGGAGAACCCAGCACAGGCAATAGCTAATTAAAACAATCCACGACTAGAAAACCTAATGAATTATTTGATTGCCTCAACGCTGACTGATTTTGTAAACAATACAAAGAAAACAACTCAAATTGAAACCGAGAAACATGAGCTGAGTGAAGAACTAACCTCGGCACTCTTGGGAACCTCGTCACAGAAGATTTCGCACTTGATATCACCCAGATTCGTGTGCAAAGTTACCGACTGCAAGAATCAATACCAGGAAACTGGAAACTATAAATACATATATCGCCAGAATTAAGAAAAACTGAATAGAACGAACGACTCACCATTGTTGCTCGCAGAGATATTTTTAGCAGTCGCGTCTAGATGCTGCTTTTGGCATCGCCGACTTGTAGTATTGGGCCTTATATGGGCCGCTTTAATCCATTTAAAGAAAATAACAAAACGGAATCGTTTTATCTCACAAAGGCCAAAGCTTTCAAATCCACTATCTATCGGTGTTAGAAAAATCAATCAATATCATCTCTCCATCCAATTCATGATTCATGGCGACCACCGGCGCCGCCGAGACTGGTAACGCAGAATATAAACAGCCTCGATCGATATTTGACTTGACGGCAGATTTCTTTGACTCGTGTCGGCTGTCGTATCCTTGTGAGACTCAATCTGCATATTTCCGGTTAGGACCACCCAAAACTTTCGATCCAGAGGAGGCGGAGGATAAGAGTTCCAAAGACGGCGTGATTTTGGACAGATGGACCTGTAATACTTGTAAAATTGAGTTCCTGTCTCTTCAAGATCAACGCTACCACTTCAAGTCCGATATTCATCGCCTTAACGTACAAATTTCTCTCTTCTTTTCAGTTTCGGACTACTTATATTCTTCAATATGATTGGAAATGCAATTCTATGTAATTTAATTTGGTTGCTTTGATTTGTAGATCAAGCTGAGTGTTGCTGGCAAGGCTATATTGAAAGAGGAAGACGTTGATGAGTTGACATCTGAGTCGGTCCAAGACTATGACGTGTCTAGTATATCAGGATCAGAGGACGAAGCTGAGACTAGTAGGCCCTCTTTCCACTTTGATGCTCAAAAGGCTATCGATAAAAAGAAACTATTTTTCCGTCTTCAAAGTGGTGACAAAGTTTCTATATGGAAAAGCTTAATCATGGACGACGCCGAAACTGTTTCGTTCGACAATGACAGAGGAGTTTCTGTCGATTGTTCTGGTAGCTTGGCCGAGAATGAAGTGACTGAGAGGTTGAGAAATTTGATTCGAGAGAATACAGATGATAGGAAAATGTGTGTCGTGTTGCTTGCTAGTGGTGGCCACTTTGCCGGTACTGTCTTTAATGGAAAGTCGGTTGTGGCTCATAAGACATTCCACAGGTACTTACGTCTCTTCACATTTCCTCTCAATTCTGTTTTTACTTATGATAAATGAAGATTAATATCATTTGGTCTAAAACAATATAGAATATTGATATCTGCAGCATTTAGCTTCTCTGAGTCTTGTGAATATGGGTCTTCCCTAGCCTCTTCCTGTCCTCTAATTCCATTTCCCATGTATAGATATGTTGTAAGAGCCAAGGCTGGTAAAAAGCAGTCCACAAAAGATGGAAGCGGCAGGAGTATACACTCTGCCGGAGCTTCACTTCGTCGCTACAATGAACTTGCTTTAAAAAAGGTTTGTCTCTGAACATGTTTTGCTACTGTTTCCTTCTCTTTTCACAAGGAGATTACAAAAGGTCGTTGATTTTTTTATCAACAATATTTCTAAGCCCCTTTTGTTACTGATTATATGATGTGAAAAAGGGACTTAGGAGATGCTTCTGTTATTTGTCTGCCAACTTTCTTGGCCAGCTTGTCCTGTTACTTTCATGGTTTTCAGTTTAAGATTTTCCTAAGACCCAGATTTTAAGTGAGCTTAAAATAACTAAAGAAAATGAAAGAATAGAAATCCCCTTATATAATAATATATATGCGGCTCTGCTCATTTGTAAAGGCAATTCTGAACTCGGAAGTTTGCTTAAACGGGTGGAAACATTGCCCGCCTTCACGATGGTTATCAACCGGAATCAGGATCATAGGAAGGAAAACATTACAAAATTTGTTTATATATTTCTTAACCTCTATGAAAAGTAACACATAGCCTTGAAGTGTAAATTTTATCATTTTCTCTCTCTATTGTTAGGATATTCAAGAGCTACTTGCTAGCTGGAAGCCTTATTTTGATGGTGCTGCTTGTGTTTTTGTCCATGCTCCCTCAAGCAGTAGGCAATTACTCTTCAATGGAGGCAAACCGTACTTTAGCAGCCAAAACTGTGCTGTACGAAACGTTCCATTTACGATCCGGCGGCCAACCTTCAAGGAATCACAGCGTATATATAATCAGTTGACTCAGATTGCACATGTAACTGAGGAGATTTTTGTTAATTTACCAGAAGACACCAAAGCTAATAAAGTGGTGCAGACCCATAATGAGGATTCTGGCGAAACCTCAAGAAAGGAAGAGCCCGATGAAACTTCGTCTCCCAACAAAATCTTAGAGGAACCAAATCGTATAGAAGAGGATCTCGGGGATGGAGTTACTGGTACGTCAACTCCCTTACATGAAGCTGCCAAATCTAGTGATTGTGAAAGAGTTCTGGAGTTCTTGGAGGAGGGTATGGACCCTTGTGCTAAGGATGAAAGAGGCAGAACCCCATACATGCTAGCAAATGAGAAGGAAGTAAGAAACACTTTCAGACGGTTCATGGCGTCAAACCTTGAAAAATGGAATTGGCATGATGCTAAAGTACCCAGCCCGCTCACAAAAGAGATGGAGGAATCTCAAGCTGCCAAGCAGGTACTTTGCATTGGTTTGTTATTTGTTGAATTTAGAAGTTTGTTTAAGGATTCCGCATGAGGCAAAATAGGACTAGTGCAGAACTCCTTAGTCCTTTAATTACGCACTGGGTTTTTTGGTTGAGCTCTATCCCGGAGTTTATGGATATATGTGTGGTCATGTGTTAGGGTCCGATGTCTGCCAAATACTATATTAATGGGTGTCGTATGTATTTGTCCTGGCATGATTTGGTATATGATTTTTCGGAGACATGTGGTTGCATATGGGAGGAGTCTGAATCCATCATCTGACTAACGTGATATGTGACTGTGATTGTTGTTCAGGCAGAAAAAGAGGCCAAGCAGAAAGCAAGAGCAAAAGAGTTGAAGAAACTACGCAAAGCCCGAGAAAAGAAGGCTCAAGTAACGTTTTTAATCAGTGTCTATATTTCAAACAAAACTTGGATTAGTAGAGACTTGTTAACTTGTTATCTAACCCTCCTTGTGTTTGCAGGCCGAAGCTGCGCAGGCTGAGAAGGAGAAGCCAATCTCTAAAGTGGTTAGCTTCAGAAACCCCAATTTGTATAATCTGATCTCAGTCTGATATTTAAGGAGAAGCCATGTCAACATTTGCTTTGTCTTTTTGTGTAAATCTTGCTGTGATAGGAGGAAGTGAGGAGAGCAATGGCAGCACAGAGGGAAAAGAGAGCAGCCGCTGCAGAAAGACGGATGGCATCACTTAACATTCAAAGCACTTCAAACACAAATTAATTTCCTACTAAAAGTTTTGAGTGAATTATAGGTAAAAGGGGAAAAAGAGTTTGAAAAACAAGAAGTGAGTATCAAACAAAACAAAGTGCACAACATTATTGAGCCCCGACTCAATAATTGGGCCTCACAAAAATTTGTTTTTAAAAGGCCCGTTTAGACCACAAACCGACTCAATATTTCTATATAGATGCTTGTAGCCTTGTTTTCACATCATCAAGAGTTGTAAGTTTTTGTTTTGCTAAAGGATCAACCGATCAAGAGTTGTAAGTTCATCAAATATGAAACCGGAAAGAAAGAGTAGCGGCAGTGCTGGACAGCGGACCAAGGAAGGTGAAACCGATAGCGGCAGTGCTGGACAGCGGACCAAGGAAGGTGAAACCGATAATAATGTTTTTGATCTCAGTTCCATCAAGGTTGCAGTTAATGATGTCGGAACAAAGACCAAGGCAAGGAAGTCAATCGAGAAACGTATGAAGCGAATCGCCAAGTCTTTTTCAGACGAAACAATTCGATACTTAAGCGAGTATCGACGGGTCAACGAGGAGTATGAGAAATTCGTCCTTGATCTTAAAGCCCAAGGCATGACAATACCATATTATTAGCAAAACAGATTACATTACTTTGAGTTTCTTTTCCTTTCTTTTTTTTTTCCGATTCTTTACAATGCATATTCGGATTACAATAATAATAATAAGGTGTTTTACATAATAAAATAGTTTAGTCCTTTTTTATTACCTCTTAGTAATTCAGAAAAAACAAACCTTTAGCATTATCATATATATTACCAAATCTTTGCAAATCCTATTGATTTTGGATATTATTCAACAGATTTGATTTGGATGAAAAGATTTATATTGATTTAGATAAAAGATTTGGGTATTACGAAAATATATATATACAATAGACCGTTAATTTGGTGCCACACACTAATAATTGTTATACCATAATTACTTATTTAGCATTTGAAATAGATATTATGTTTAAAACAAGGGAATCTACAACAAAACACCGCTATATAGTCAATAGTCAGAGGAGAGAGCTAAGTGAAGGGCATACTCTGCCTCCTTCAAGAACAGTCTTGTGAGCTGCTTCTGTCCTCTACGGTACACTACACTTGACCACTTGTTTCTGCTCATCCTTCTCCCATCCAAGTCCCTACCACAACACATATTTTATTAACATTTTTAATCAATATCTAAACATGTCCACAGATTTTTGACATTGTACCTCGCTTCTTCATGGCTCTCTAAGACGCACGCCTCCTCAAGGAGCCTAGCATCTTGTTCTTCAGTGCCAGAATTCTCTTCCAGCTTCATCATCCTGTCAGGACAAAAAGCATTGAGGTCTGCAATTTTCTTCTCATCCCACAGACAAACATCTTAGTTTAGCCCTTAGAATTCATGTCACGGGTAACAAATTCAACTGCTTACTTTGCATTAAGGAGATCCACAAGTAACTGCAAAGCTCCAGAATCCCCGCATGCTTCCCATACCGCCATCCTGACCTCAGTTTCAGAAGGTTGCTCGCCTGGTCTTGACTCTACAAGCTTTCAGGAAAACAATACTTGTGTCTCAATATCCAGTGTAAGACAAACTGTGGATATTTATGATTCCGCCTTCGTTTCCCAAGTCACTACTTTTCAGTCTTTCAGAAATGGAGATCTTTTGTGTAGGATATGGGTTTAAGTTGAAATGATGTCAGAAGAAAGAAAAACGGTGATCATACCTCTTCAAGCATAGCTGAGACCTTGTTAATCTCTTCTTCTTGCATGGCAATGGTCCTTAAGCCAGTCATAAAATCTTCTCGGAAAACTAGTTTATTCATATATGAGGGCATCTTACGCTGCCCAGACCAACTGAAATTACAGGATCTCTCTGTTTCTTTCTCATCACTTTCTCTAATTGTTGATGTGGTTTGTGGGAAAAACCCATGATTTAGGACCGATTTTGGTAAGAGACACCGGAGTTGAGCATTCTGCAATGAGATTTTTCAGAGTTCGACAGTTACATATTACATTGAAATAAAATGTATTAAAGAGCTACATTGTCTTATAGGGTCTATAATCAAAACTTTGGGTAAGATTAGTGTGAACACTTGTACTGCTAACCTGAGCTTCAAGCAGCTGCCCCTTGGAATCAGAAAATGGGATAATCGGAATCGCCTCAACAGGATAATGTACCTGGATAAATCCATTGTTATTCCTAAAAATGTGAGAACAAAATTGACGAGCATCTTCTTGATCTTGAAAGTTATGTTTGTCAACATCCTCAAGACTTATAATACATCGCTGGTTGAAAAGGTAGGGAACTGTTCAAAGTGGAAGTAAAAATTACCATGAGATAATCATCTGGATTGTTATCTATCACAAAGCCATACAGGTAAAGAAGCTCCTGCATGCAGCAAGAAGGCACATCACTCAAACAAAGGGCTAGATGTGATAATTTACCAAGAGACAAGTCCACAACTCGAAAATCTATATAGTTGTACAACATATTAAGCAAACAAAACAAAATATTGAAGCTGCCAGGAACTGCAAAACATCTTACCTCATTTCCTTTGTTACCATAACTGATCGAGATCTCCTTGTTTGGGATCAGACGTTGAGCGACTGCTTTACAGAATTGTAGCACTTAGTTTTCCACATACAGATCAAAAAGAAGAGAGAAAAAGAAATGTTCCATATTGTTTGATTGAAAAACTGTAGAAAGCTGAGAGGTAACACAAACAAATATTGGCCAACCGGAGAGAAGGTACATGGAGAAAGGAACCCTAGACACTGATCCGGTCCCATCAACTTCCCAAGTCGCCATAGGTTTCAAATCTATACTGCCATAACCATAGTACATCATATCACATCACACTGGGATACACTCATTAACCATATCAACATTATGGAACAGAGTGAAACTGACAGTAGGATCTATTTAAATTTTTGAAACAAAAATTGGCATACCATGGTTGCAAAAGTCAATGCCAGGAACAAGCCCCTCAACCCATATTGTATCTCCGGATCCTACAGATGTAGCACCAGGTTGAGCCTGAATTTCTACCCATCAGAAAATGAAGAAACTCATGAAGTTGTAGTTACATGCCAGACTAATAATAATAATAAAAAAGGCATTTCACACAGAATTCAGCAGACCGAACGTTAATGACTTGCCTTTTTCCTCATTAGAATTAACTGGAGCCGTTTCAGGTGAATGACTTGTTGATGGGCATTCCCCGATATCATCCTGGCTTTGTGGAAACACGAAAGAATGTGGAAGAGGAATATTCAAGGCGCGACTCCAGAATACAGAGTTTGCCCTGGGAGAATGGAAAAAAGTCTCAAGATTACTCAGCAGCCCTTTACAACACACAAAAGTCTGGTTCTACTAACAAGGAATAACACCACTACCAAACATACCAGAGGAAGTGTTCAAAGGAGACCTTGCTGCACGAAGAGAGAAAACAAAATATGATTGGCTGGACATCAATGAACAATAATTTGGTCTAAAGTAGTGTAAAAATGTCAACCTTTGGGAATCGCCATCCAAAATAAGAAGGTTTTTCACCAGGACCTCCACCTTGTCATGGTAAAGCGACAGCAAATTCTTCTTCTGAAAAGGCAGTACATCAAACGAGAATGAAATGATTACACGATGGTCGTCTTCCAAATGATTGGTTTAATCAATGTGGTTGCTACTTTTAGGAGGATATGATAAGGAGGAAAAAATGATCATTGTTGACCTGTAACTCGGTTGCGTGATACAAGTTAGTCCCGTTGAGCTCAAGGATGTCATCATCAGAAAACCAAAGAGGATTGCCAAATCGAGTAGGAAGCATATCAAGATACCTATCATATCATTTCAAGACTGATGAATCCCCTTAAGCTTACGTAAATCTGTGCTAAGAGATAAAAAAAAACTTACGGCTTCCAAGAAGAATTGATACGAAGACGCTCGAAAGTGAGGAATAAAATGATGAGAAAGCGGTCATCAACTTGTCCGTCTTGGAACATTTTCTGGCACTCAGGGCCCAGGAGAGGGTCCTGAAGAACTCTCATAGGGGTAATGGCCAGATCAAGTGGAACAACAAGCAAAACATCTGAAATTTTACAAAGCTGAATCAGAAGAAATGAGCTATCATCATAAGTTTCAGTGAAGAGTGGAGATAATATATACCATCGGAAGTTTCAGTGGAAGCGAATATGCCAAATCCTTTTCGGGAGTCAGAATATTTGATGTTGCAGCCTCCTAATTCAGCTCCATTCACCTGAATGAAATTACACACATGTCAGAGGGATAAAGAGCAAATCATAATCCCGGAAAACAGAGGGATCTAACCTGAAGCCAATCTAGGAACCTTTCGAGTTTGGCTTCTTCTTCTTCTGAAATCGCCGCCATATCCTCCGACGAAGATCAATATGCCGGAGACGGGCCCAACGAGTAGAGGGGTTTTCTTTCAATCGTAACTCACCAAAACGATGTCGTAACGGCTTCATCTATGTGGGCTTTTTTGTGTCCACCCACACTGGGCTTATATGAACTTGAACAAACCGGATAAACGGAATTAAAAACCAATTTTAACGATAACCAAAAAATCAAACCAAGACTGCTGTGTGATATTCCAAAACCGAAAAATTGAACCGGGCGGCGTAAAAGTCTCTCGCCGCAGTTAAACTCTTCCGTACGCCAAATATCATCTCACAAGTGGAAGAAGCAATAGCAATGGCGGCGGATTTGCCGGAGGCCACGCTGCAGAACATTCTGGACCAAGAGTCTCTTAAATGGGTTTTCGTCGGAGGGAAAGGAGGTGTGGGGAAGACGACATGCAGTTCAATTCTCGCAATTTGTCTCGCCAGTGTTCGATCCTCCGTTCTCATCATCTCCACCGATCCTGCTCACAATCTTAGTGATGCCTTTCAGCAACGCTTCACTAAATCCCCCACTTTGGTTCAAGGTTTCTCTAATCTCTTTGCCATGGTAAGCTTTCTCCGATTTTCTTCTAGATCGTGCTCCATTTTTAGGAAATTTGCTCCGGGATTTTGATCTCATTGGGAATTAGGGTTCTCTGAATCCACAATTTCAAACCGCAGATTGATGGATCAATTTTGATGTTGAAGTCAGATTTGTACCTTTCTTATCATATGCCCACTCTGATTTTGGGGATTAGGTTTGGAATTTCGATATACGAACTTGGAGGCCAATTTGTATTCTTGGTATTGTAAGGAACATTTGATGTCCCCAAATCAAATTTAATTTTTGGCCATTGTAGTTGCTGGTAATGCCAATTTCAAAAATTGTGGTTCTGGATCGCCTCTAATAGACAGGCTTGATGATGAGTTTATGGCTAATCTTTTAAGCTTCTAGCTCTTAGGTGTGTCTGTGTATATGTGTATACATTACACTACTATAATCAAATGCTTCTTTCAATACGATTCACACTCCTCCTTCCCTCCTCATAGTGAGTGAATCTTGTTTGCTTTTCTCAGGAGGTGGATCCTACCGTTGAAACTGATGACCTGGCTGGTGCAGACGGGATGGATGGTTTATTCTCTGATTTGGCTAATGCGATTCCTGGAATCGATGAGGCCATGAGTTTTGCTGAGATGTTGAAGTAAATAGCCTTTTGGTTCTTTTAATAATCATCCAGCTTTTATCAATGTATTATCACAGTCAAATTTTGACATGTGTATGTTTCCTTAGGTTGGTGCAAACAATGGATTATGCTACTATTGTGTTTGACACAGCTCCAACTGGACATACCCTCCGCCTGTTACAGTTTCCAGCCACACTAGAAAAGGGACTTTCCAAGTTGATGTCATTGAAGAGTAGATTTGGTGGCTTGATGACTCAGGCATGTCTACAAGCTTTTGAAATTCAGTTTGCTTGGCAATTGATATTGCTCTTTGGTTTATTTTTTGGCTGATTTTCCATGGAACTGGTTGGTAATGCAGATGAGCCGTATGTTTGGCATTGAGGATGAGTTTGGAGAGGATGCTCTGTTGGGAAGACTTGAGGGATTGAAAGATGTGATTGAGCAAGTAAATCGGCAATTCAAAGACCCGGTAACATTTGCTCGAGTGTTTAAGTTCTTTGCTATAGTCAGTACTCATTGACTGTTTTCTTAACTCTGTTCGTGAATTTTAGTTTTAGATGCATCACATTGTTCTGTAGCATAAGGTTTGACAGCATTCATCTGCATTAGTGAAAATTCTGATACATATCTCTGCATTTTAAGATAAGAAATTGACACATTTGGATCCATTACGCAGGATATGACTACGTTCGTCTGTGTCTGCATCCCCGAGTTCTTGTCTCTCTATGAAACAGAGAGACTTGTTCAGGAACTTGCCAAGTTTGAGATCGACACGCATAACATTATCATCAACCAAGTACTGTACGATGACGAAGGTGCCTATTTATTTGCAGTTGTGTCTATCTTCTCGTTTCAAACTTGTTTTAAAAACAAATATGACGAATTATTGACTCTTATCTCTCCTGTAGATGTGGAATCCAAGTTGCTCAGAGCAAGGATGCGGATGCAACAGAAGTATCTTGATCAGTTTTATATGCTATACGATGACTTCAATATCACAAAACTTCCTCTGCTTCCGGAAGAGGTAAGAACGCATGACATTCATTATTGAAGAGAAGGAACATAATCAAAACGATAAAGAAAACAAAGCCTTATATAATTTACATCCTGAGATTTACACTTGTTGTGGATGTTTGGATCACAGGTGACAGGGGTTGAAGCCTTAAAGGCGTTTTCACATAAGTTCTTGACGCCGTACCATCCTACCACTAGCAGAAGCAATGTAGAGGAGCTGGAGCGGAAAGTACACACATTGCGTTTGCAGTTGAAAACAGCTGAAGAAGAACTCGAACGGGTCAAGAGTGGGTAAAAAGATAAGGCTATGTTCTTCCCTTTAATGGTAAGTTTCTTTCCTCGCCAGATTCTCGGAACTCACTTGCTTTCTACATGGGGGTCTTGTGGATCTGCGTTTTCATTTGGGTTGATTGTTGTTTATGTTTTGAACAATTTATAGGTGGAAAATTAAAACTGAATATTTTTCTCTCTAGTTCCTCATCTAGCAACAACTCTTTATAGGACAGGAAAGATGATCAAGCAGAATCATCTTTTGCGTTGTTTTATTGTTATGCATTGGATTTGTTTTTCATTTGTAATAATCAAGACTACATATAGAATCTATCTACCAAGAAATCGTCGACTAAATCAGCTTTTAATATCAAGTTGAAGGGTCTCTGTGACATATAGACTTGTCTTTTAACAGAGAAAAAAAATAAATGTTTTCATAAAAACAATTACAGTAAATAAGAGAGATGTTCACAATAAAGTTTCTTTGGTATAAATAAAAAAAGCGAAATTTATTCCCACGTCACGGAGATAGGGCTTCTGACGTTGTACTTGTCGCACATCCAAACCAAAACTCCAAAGGAAGACGAAGATGTATTTCTCGAAGCTTCTGCATCAAACGTCACCGTATAACTCAACCTCTCTCTCACCTTCTGGAACTTAAGAACTTTCGGCTCCACTCTCACCTTCACACCTTTGGGTTCCTCTACGTGAGCCATATAATCACACGCCGGTGACCCAACGTTCGTCACAGTCCTCTTATATCTCACCGTTTTCAGATTCGCGCCATTAACGAAGTTGACCGCGAAGGAAGGATAGTTCAAATCGCCGGGACTCAAAACGACGCCGTTACTAGGACACGTGTAGTTAGTGCCGGAGAACAGAAGTATTATCTGACTCGTGTAATTCAAGCTGCACAGGTAGTTGAGATAATCGACGGTGGAGGTATCGTATACCAGCCCCGGATCTACCGCTCGCGTGGGATCCACGTGTCCCGCTCCAAACGCAAACGCTGTGGCCGCCGATTCCGCTCCCGCGGCGCCCCTATCTCCGATCGGTCGGTTCCTATTGTCCGTGATCCTTGCCGTCGTCATGATTGCCGATTTTATCATCGCCGGTGACCAGTCTCCGTGAACGGACTTGATTAGAGCGGCGATTCCGCTAATGTGAGGACAAGCCATGGAGGTTCCCGAGATGATATTGAATTGGACGCGTCTTGGATCGGATCTGAGGAGGCTAGGGCTCGAGAACGGCGACCATCCGGCGAGGATGTTCATACCGGGAGCCGCAATGTCCGGTTTAGCAACTTCAGGTCCCGCGACGCTAGGTCCTCTGGATGAGAACGCGGCTACCATCGGGGCCGTTGCACCGTACGTGGTTCCTCTGAATCTAACGGCGGCGGTGGCGTTGGCTGCGCTGGCGAGATAAGTCAATAAGGTTTTACCGTCGGAAAATCCAATTGAAACCGCCGGTAAAACGTGAGGATCAGCAAGAAGCTCTTCTCCTTCTGCCTCTGTGCTCACAAGAAGCATCGCAGCTCCTCCGCTCCGTTTCACCTCTTCCCCTTTCGCGGTTCTGCCGCTGGCTCCTCTTAAGCAAATTACGATTTTACCCTCGACGAGTTCTCTCTTGAGCGAGTCCCGGATACAGAACACGGCTCCGCTTCCTTCTCCAGCTGTTCTGTTAAACGCTAAAGACAGATTCTTTAAGCTTTTCCCTTTATACAAGGATGATCCGACCAAGCTTTTACGGTTCCCGATCCGGACTATGGCCGGAAACGTCCTGTCCGTATAGCTGGCAGCAACAGTCATCAACCACGGAGCTCCATTACTCACTGTGGATGCAGTTGGTCCTGAATTACCCGCAGAGCAAGACACGAATATGTTCTTCTGCATTGCTCCGAACCCGGCGATCGCGACGGGATCCACGTAAAACGGGCGTGATGATCCACCTAGCGAGAGAGAGATCACATCCACACCGTCTAAAATGGCTCGGTCAATGGCTGCTATGACGTCAGTGTTGGCACATCCCAGAGCCCAACAAGCTTTGTAAGCAGCGATCCTCGAAGTAAACCTCATCCCTGAAGCCAAACCTTTAGCTTGTCCGAAATAATTCGCTTTCGGGACAATGCCTCCGGCAGCAGTCGAGGCTGTATGCGTCCCGTGTCCTTGTGCGTCTCGAGCCGACCTATGGAACCAATAGTAATAAACTATTAGTGAGAACCATCTTTACAAAACAAATCTAGTGTCATCATCGGAATTTTTACGAAAGCATTTTGATTTTGTCCATTTTAATCAATTCTTTTAGAGGAAGGTACTTTTATGTTCGAATCAACGTTAGACCAAGGGCAGTGGGGCAGTGGGGCATTCGTTTGGGGGTGTAAGTATTAAAAAAAAACCCGGATGTGAAGAGAGAAATAATTTTTTGTTTTTTTATTACCACTAACACCCGTGAAGATGCTCCACTGTGCATGGTCTTATGGAGCTAGCTAGACAACGTTTTTAACTAAACTTTATTTGTTTAATTGAGTTCTATTTGCATGATATTAAAGTACGAAGTTTTTATTTTGTTGTTGGTAGAAGTTCCAAAAAACATTTCACATTATTCCCACTAACATTTGGAGACTAAAAACAATGGGGAGATCAAGAGAAGTTGAAAACAGAGGGATCATTAATATAATAATATTTCAACCGTCTAACCTGAAATCAGTGGTTTCATTGATTTTTCCAACGATGGATTCGTAGCCTTTGTAAAACGCGCTAGCTCCAATGATCTTCTTGTTACACGACGAAGAAGAGAAGTTTGTGCCTTCATCGCACGAACCTCTCCATCTAGACGGGACCGGGGTCATGTGAGTGTCTCGGAAGCTCACGTGCTCCGGAGAGATCCCTGTGTCCACAAGGCCGACGATGACGTCCGAAGATAGGCTCGTCTCGTTCCAAAGTCCGATCCCGTATTCGAGACCAAGAAACTCGTGAGAATACGTCGTGTGTAGAGATAAGAGCTCGTCTGGATAAGCAGAGATAAACCCTTTTGTGTTCTTCACCGTCTCAAGCTGGTCGTCGGTGAGAGTCGCGGAGAAACCGGACATGGCATTTTCGTAAATATAGTGAATCTCCGGGAGAGAAAACCCATCGTCGTAAATATTCTCTGTTCGGAGTGAATTAAAAAGTGAAGTTACGATGTGTTTTGTGCTGGTAGCAACAGTGTGGATCACGTAGGTTTGTTTATGAGACGAAACATTTGATGTGAAGAAGATGAGAAAGAAGAAAACGACGAATGATCTGAAGAACATCATGGGACGGTTGTCGCTAAAGGGATATAAGAGCATTAAAAGAAAGCGATGCATCTACCTATGATTCTTAGGACTCGTCTATGTGGGTATATAACACATAAAATAGATATGTGACGTGTGAATACTGTGAGCTGTGAGAGCTGAGGAAAATGTGACTAGAAAGAGTAATATATACGAAAAGGTTAAAATGAAATATATGATATGTTTGTAACTGTCGCTGTTGTGAGGTTCTTGTGCGGGTCCGTCTGTTACTTAATGTTGCTTTAGGAGACGTCGGTTCATTTATATATACCAATAAAAACAAAAAAAATACAAACTGTGATTAATATCACTTTAGAAGAGTTTGGATGATAAAAAATATTTGCCAACCAGAATATGAACACGTAGAGAAATCGAAGTCAGCTTTACATGTGAATTATGTTTTGAAAAAGAAAAGAAGTTTACAATTTTACAGTTTTAATAGAGAAAAAGAAAACAGGTAGTAGTTTAGAAGAAGGACGGGGGATGCAGGCAGCTTCCACCGCCGGTAGGGGTAGGTGGACATTGAATGTAAATGAAGAGGGAGGGGACAAACGCAACAATAATTGGGGCGTGACTTAATATTACTCATATCATATCGAAGCTTTCTTCTACATTTCCTATGATTCAAATCATTGCTTGTTCACACTTCCTCAGAATCTCTTTGTGTATTGGCTTTCAAGCCAAGTTGGAACACGTAAGCCGACGACTTACATTTTTTTTGTTTATGTCCTCAGAGATATATTCATCGTATCTTCTCATTTAATTCAATACCTTTTTTAAAAGGATAACACACCATATAAAATTGGTTTATTGTGTTTCACTCTCAGCGAGCGAGATCTTATTGTAAATTAACTAATTAAGGTCTATTCTTGCATATTTTTGGATAATGCTTTTCTGGTTGCCACAAAACAATTCTATACAATAGTTATCTAATTTAGTGTTGGACTTAACCAATAAAGCCCGTCTAGCTCAGTTGGTAGAGCGCAAGGCTCTTAACCTTGTGGTCGTGGGTTCGAGCCCCACGGTGGGCGAATTTTTAATTAGTTTTATGTTATTTTTGTTTTCCTTAATAGACTTAATAATAGGCTATACATATACATCATCCGGGCTAGTTGTTAGGCCCATAATCGTGGCGGGTGATGTAAGGATGCCATAAATAGGTAGGTACAACACAAGCGAGTCCAACAACACTCCCATAACGGTCAGAAATTCATTCTCTCCGTCGGCTTCCTTTTTTAATTCGCCTTGTGGGTTTAGGCGATTCGGTTAGTGATCCTCCGCTCCGCTTGTCAATTACGGCAATTGATTGAATGGGTGTGGGAGGCAATTTCTGGGATTTGCTGAGGCCTTATGCTCAACAACGAGGGTTTGATTATCTCAGAAACAAACGCGTCGCTGTTGATCTCTCCTTCTGGATCGTTCAGCATGAAACCGCTGTTAAGGGTTTTGTCCTTAAACCTCACCTCAGGCTCACTTTCTTCCGTACTATCAACCTCTTCTCAAAGGTTCCTTTTTTATTTCAATTGCTGCGCTCTTCTTCTCTACTGAATTTCCCAATTTCGTCTCCTTAATCCTTTTTGGGTTGGCTAAAGAAGTTCCTCTTTTTTCTGTGAATTACGGGTTTTTTGAATTTTAGGTTTTCGCTTGTTTGAAAAATAGTCGAGATGATTATAATGCGGGTTAGGGTTTTGCAGTTTGGAGCGTATCCAGTTTTTGTGGTTGATGGAACACCATCACCTTTGAAATCTCAGGCGAGAATCTCCAGGTTTTTCCGGTCTTCTGGAATTGATACTTGTAATCTGCCTGTGATTAAAGATGGCGTCTCCGTTGAGAGAAATAAGCTGTTTTGTGAATGGGTTAAGGAATGTGTGGTAAGATGCCTTTCCCTTGAAACCTTGATACTTGTTTTGTTTCACATTGTTTAATTATGAATTTTTGGTTCTCTAGGAGCTACTCGAATTGCTCAGTATTCCGGTGCTGAAAGCAAATGGTGAGGCTGAAGCTCTCTGTGCACAGTTAAACAGCGAAGGTTATGTGGATGCTTGCATTACTCCTGATAGTGATGCTTTCCTATTTGGTGCTAAGTGCGTGATCAAAGATATCAAGCCTAATTCAAGAGTAAGTCTTCATTTGTAATGCAGGAGCCTTATCCCGACTCACTTATGGTCTCTTTATCGTCTTAATTTCATTGTGTGCAGGAGCCTTTTGAATGCTACCATATGTCAGATATTGAGTCTGGCCTTGGTCTGAAGCGGAAACACTTGATAGCTATTTCTCTATTGGTTGGAAACGACTATGATTCAGGCGGTGTTCTTGGGATTGGTGTGGATAAAGCACTCCGCATTGTTCGTGAGTTTTCTGAAGACGAGATACTTGAAAGGTTATAATCCATAAACTTTTTGTTTTTGCTTTTTGGTGACTGGTCATTTTCTTGAATGTATTGAGATATTTTTGTGCAGACTACAGGACATTGGAAAAGGGTTGAAACCTACAGTTCCTGGTGGAATCAAATCTGTGGATGATGGTGAAGAATTCCGCTCAGAGATGAAAAAAAGATCTCCTCACTGTTCCCGTTGTGGACACCTGGGCAGCAAGAGAACTCATTTTAAGTCCTCTTGTGAGCATTGTGGTTGTGATAGTGGTTGTATTAAGAAACCATTAGGGTTTAGATGTGAATGCTCCTTTTGTTCCAAGGATCGAGAGTTAAAGGAACAGAAGAAAACCATGATTGGTGGATCAAAGTCTGTGATAAGATTGCTCTAGCGCCAGAATTTCCCAACAGAAAGATTATTGAACTCTATCTATCCGATGGTTTGACGGCAGGTAGAAACTGAATTTATGACTTCATGTCCCTATTACATGATCATTGTTCTGAATCCTAATGTTTATGCATCTCTGAAGCAGAAGATGGCTCGTCAATGTCTTGGGGAACTCCTGATACTGGAATGCTAGTGGATCTCATGGTTTTCAAACTGCACTGGGACCCATCTTATGTTAGAAAAATGTTGCTTCCGATGTTGTCGACCATTTATCTAAGAGAAAAGGCAAGAAACAGCACAGGAAACGCTTTGTTATGTGATCAATACGAATTTCATTCAATCAAGTGCATAAAAACTAGATATGGGAATCAGTCTTTTGTGATAAGGTGGAGAAAACCCATATCTATAAGTGGTTATAGTCACAGTCAAAGCGAGCCAGAAGAATCAATTGTTGTATTGGAAGAAGAACTGGTGGAAGAAGAAGAGTCTGTTGATCCGTTAGATGGTTTAAATGAACCTCAGGTGCAAAATGATAATGGTGACTGCTTCTTGCTAACTGATGAATGCATAGGACTTGTTGAGTCTGCTTTCCCTGATGAAACAGAGCATTTTCTACATGAGAAGGTAATAAATTCGCTCTCTCGCTATCTCTATGAGTTGCCTTTTCTTCCCTTTGCCTCGAGTCCTTGACAGTTTTTGTTTGTTTAACTCTTAGAAACTGAGAGAGTCGAAAAAGAAGAATGTTTCTGAAGAAACAGCAACACCAAGACCAACAACAATGGGTGTACAAAGAAGCATTACCGATTTCTACCGTTCAGCGAAAGCAGCACCAGGTCAAAGTATAGAGACTGGCGGGAGTTCAAGAGCTTCTGCGGAAAAGAAGAGACAGGCAACTTCTACTAGTAGTAGTAACCTTTCAAAGTCTGTAAGGCGTCGTCTCTTGTTTGGATAGAACATTCTTGATTCTGACTTGAGAGTAAACCCAATTTTTTGGTCTGTATATAAAAAGGAAACTTTGCATTTTTTAATTAAAAGATTTCAAAAAGGATGGTGCTGCCCAGGATCGAACTGGAGACCTTTTGCGTGTAAGGCAAACGTGATAACCACTACACCACAGCACCTTTCTGGTATTATGTATATAGATACAATTGATAACGTTACTCTTATTCTTACAAAAACAAAACTGATTCAATTAGAGAGAGCAGAAGAAGGAGTTTGGTCTTATCGGAAATTATGAATGCGGTAATAACATCAACCATCATCAACTGCAACTCTCTATCGCCGTCGTCATGGATAAGCGGAGAGAATTGGCCGTCAAAGGTTCTGTTGGGGGAAATCTCTGCCGCGTTCTCAAGGCGGAGGACGAAGGTGTCATGCGGCAAGAGCAGCCCAGATGATTACCACTCAACTCTCAAATCACTCAATTCTCGTGGTCGCTTTCCCAGAAAATCCCTCGGCCAGGTTCTCACAATCCACTCGTAGACACATACGTACATATTTTATTAACTTAAATCCTCACACCATTAAGTAGAATGGTTTGAATTCTGGCACAGCATTACATGTTGAATTCGGATATCAACGACCAGCTAGCCTCTGCGGCTGATGTGAAAGAAGGAGATTTTGTATTAGAGATTGGTCCTGGGACTGGTTCTTTAACCAATGTCCTTATCAATTTAGGTGCCACAGTTCTTGCCATCGAAAAGGTTTGCTATCAATTCAAGAAAGAAATGCATCCTTTATTTTGTATAGCAAATGTGGCTGATTCTGATTTTGAAACTTCATCTTTAGGATCCTCATATGGTTGATTTGGTGAGTGAACGATTTGCGGGTTCTGACAAGTTCAAGGTACCTACCTATCAAGTTCAAGGAAAAACAGATCATTCTTCTTTTTTTTTTTTACATCAAAATGGGTTCTTCTCTAGGTTTTGCAAGAGGATTTTGTCAAGTGTCACATCCGTTCTCACATGCTCTCCATTTTAGAGAGCAGAAGGTTATCACATCCAGATTCTTCTCTTGCAAAGGTCACTCTAGTTTCTCTTTTGGTACATTTTATTACTAACTCTGCACCACCAACCACAGGTTATTATTTACACAATGCAATTGTATGCTAATGATGCAGGTTGTTTCTAACTTACCTTTCAATATAAGTACTGATGTTGTGAAGCTTCTACTTCCTATGGGTGATATCTTCTCAAAAGTTGTTCTCTTGCTCCAGGTAAACCATTATTTGTTTTTAGAGGATCATTCCAAATGCTATATATTCACTGTGACAAGTTTTTTTCCGCTAATCTTAGGACGAGGCAGCATTGCGATTGGTTGAACCAGCACTGCGAACATCTGAATACCGCCCCATCAACATTTTGATCAACTTCTATTCAGGTACTTGTTCCATCCATTATTGACTTTAAATGTGTTGCAATTCGTCAATGTAGTTTTGCTGAGAAACTGTGTAACTTCCTTGTTTTAAGAACCGGAATACAATTTCAGAGTTCCTAGGGAAAACTTCTTCCCTCAGCCCAAGGTTTTGATTCTATTCTCCAAACTTTCATCATAACTAAATTTTGATACCATTACAGAAATATGACTTCTTTTCCTTTTTGTGCTCCTTACAGGTTGATGCTGCTGTTGTAACATTCAAGCTGAAGCATCCGAGTGACTATCCTGATGTTTCGTCCACCAAAAATTTCTTCTCTTTGGTAGCTAAAACTTGCTTCAGACTATTTCGTAGATTTTTAACAACAAAACATCTGAATCGAATTCCAAAACAGGTGAATTCTGCATTCAACGGGAAGAGAAAAATGTTGAGAAAGTCCCTCCAGCACATATCATCATCTCCTGAGATCGAAAAAGCTCTCGGAGTTGCTGGTCTTCCAGTCACTGTGAGTAATCTCTCTGATGACTTATATGAGGTCTTGGGTAGCTCGTTCTAAGATCATATCAATCATTACAAGCTCATAAGAGGAAATTCATATCTTGAAACTGGCTTGTTAGAGAATCGATTCTCGTAACCTTCAGTCATATCTTTTTGTTCTACTACCTTGCTGCAGTCAAGGCCTGAAGAGCTTACCTTGGATGACTTTGTCAAGTTGCATAACGTAATCGCCAGCGAATAAGACCAACGAGAAGGACAACCATCAGTATCCATGTTTTGTCGGCTTTGGAATTATACGAAGCCATTTGAAAACAGGAAAATGACGGCAACAAGCTGAGGAAGACACGCCATTGAAGCTGCTGAAAGACGAATGTGGCCAAAATCCAGACAATCAGGGATCAGGAATCAGGAAGTAAGTAGGATACAGTCCCAATCTTGTTTGGTCTTGTAGAAATTTCTGTCTATGAGAGAATCTTTGTAAGCTAAATTGTTGATTTTGTAATCCCAAAACGATAGTCTTTACAATCACAATTTGTTACAATCATCCATGAAACTGGTAGATAAGATCCAAAGCTCTCAACTTGGTGGCATGTGGGTCGGAATCAAACCCATAATCACGGCCACTCCTCTCTTCCGTCGACGACGGAGACAGTGGCCGCTTGAGTCTCTTGTTTCTAATGAAGCACTCTCTCATCTTCTCCTCCACCTTCTCCATCGCCGAATATCTCTCCTCTTCAGCCTCTCCCTTCTCTTCTTCTCCTAATTGCATCGGCTCGACGGAGGAGAAAGATTTCTCCCCTTCCGCCGATGGGATGGAGGCTAGGAAGGCAGAGAGGCGTTGGTGGGCTATGCGGAGAGAGGAGATTTGGAGTAACTGGTTCTGGTCCACGGTGGTTCCCATTTGCTGCGCCATTAAAGTTGCTTGCTCCAGCGATGATATCAGCTCAGCTACTTGCTCTACACTTGCCATGTTCTTACACACTCTCTCTTTCTCTTTCTATGTAGTATAATCTATTTCTCCAGGTATTTTGTGTTACTTATTACAATCACAGCGAGGTCGAGGAGCTCCGGGTTTGGTTGTCCGAGGAAGAGACTGACGATGTGTATTATTATGTAAAATACTGCTTTTAGTTTGGGCCTTTAATTTATTAATTGGGCTTCAATAAGACTACTCGAAGTTGGTAACTATTGGGTCTTATTTTAATGAAACTAAAGAGGGTCTTCATTTTGTTTTGCAATTCGAAGACGCACAAACCCATTTTTGTCATCTTAAAACCTAATGTACAAATTCATGATTATGATTTGTTGACAACTAAAAAGTTCATAATTGTTACTAGTATATCCTATACTATTATTTGGGAAATACAATTTACAATTACCTTTAATTAACTTTTACCTTTGTAAGAATTTGAGGCTCGAAAGAGTCTCCTCTTAAATTCTTCCCGCACGAAGAATGTCTTTCCTTCAATTATGTATGACTCACTCTCTCATTTGTCTAAGTTCTTCAACTGTTTTTTTTTTGGGTTTTAAAGTTAGAACTAGGGAAGTTTGACTTTGTTCTCATATTTGAGAATATGTTTGATTCGGTGATATATTATTTATTGATAGAATATTCAAATTTTCATGATTACTATATAGCGATCCCAAAACTTATCTCTAATCACACACTAACCTATCTTTTTTCTATTTCATGGTAGGAGCAATAGAAAGATCTTTTCCCGTCCATAGTTGCTCAGACTTCAATAGTGTTGTCTGATGGTGATCCTCCTAATATCAATGAACGTACTCTACATGCACAAGAGGTTAATCAACAACCCATTGCGCACCCAACAACCTTTTATCCGAAGCTGTTTATTGGAACAATCTTGTCTTGGTCAATTAAAAGTTACATGGGTAGAAATCTTTCAGATTCGCCGTAAGGTTGTCCACCCGGAGTACCTTGAAGCCTCAAAAAATTTTATGAAAATATTTGACTATATCGATCGATAAGTGTCATCAAATCTACTATATTCTAATGATCAATGCTTTTTTTTTTTTTGTAGTTATTTGCTTATGTTTGATTATAATTGATTTTATTTATGTTTCATGATAACTCATAAGGTCGAAAGCTTATGAATGAATTATGAATATATTTATGGCTTTATCTAATCATTTACATTGCATGTACACTTTTTTTTTTCTTCCCTAGACGTTATCTTTAGAATGAATAAAGTGTCCTTTGTGTGTGTGTGTTTTTTTGTCCTTAAAATGTTTTGTGTTTGTGTGAGAGAGGAAGTAGGAGTAGATTTTTACATTTAGTGTCTCATCTTAAAATAATGATGAGTAGTGTAAATAAGACATCACATGGCCAAATTAAATTCAAATTATTATTTGTCCGATAACACCAATTGAAGGATATTCAATTCATGGATCCCCTCAAAGAATACCATTATAATATAATGGTTGTTAACAATTAATTTAAAATTATGTGGTCAAATACGACGAGAATAATGAATCATTGTCATGTGAAGCAACATTTTCAAATCATTTAATTGTCAAATTTGTATTTGTATGCCAGCCAAAGTTTGCAACTCTTGAAAAAAACTCAGTAATTAGGTAAGAGTTTTTTTCTTATTCCAGAAAAAAAGAAACAATTAATGAATTTCTTAATTAGTTTCGAATGGACGTAAATAAGTGGGCCATAGGCATAGATAGCTCACGCGACTCACACATGCTCTCTATGTCTGGCAGTTTTGTAATAAAAATAAAGTAAAAGCATATTATTGTAAATAAAGTATTCTTTTAGATTCAAATTCTGCCCAACACGTGGCACAGTAAGCCACGTAATGGGGGTAGAAAGAAATCTTGTGAGTTTCAGGGTTTAAACCAGATCGAACGGTTCTAGAACAAGACACGTCAGGAAATGAGTGTAACGTTATGAAACAGAACGAGATCTAACGGTCGAGATCGAATGTGGTAAGATGAATCGCAGCCGTCGGAGAGGAAGAAACTCTTTTTTACTCGTAGGGTTTCTTTTCTTTTCTTGGGAGGAGAATCTCAGTGACAGATCGACCAGACACTGTTGTATTTTTATTTGGTTTCTATAATTTATTTTGTCAACTGTTTCGAGAAAGCAAATCATCTAAATACAGAAATACGGATTTTTTTAGAATCGGGATTTGATCGAAGTTGTCTTTAGTTTTGTCCTCTGTCCTCCTATGTCCCTTTTTATCTCTCTTATTCTCTTTCTCTCTCTAAATCGTGTTGAGATTTGAATCTTTTCAAATACTTAGAAAATAAATAAATAAAAAAAGAAGAAGAAGAAGAAGAGAGAGGGGCAGGTTTTATTTTATTTTTAATAATCGTTTGGAGTGTTTGAGGAAGAGAAGTCAGCAGCTTGTCTTTGTATTTTTGCAAAGTATTCAAAATTGGTTGGTTTCTGGGTAAGTGAGTATCTTTGGGACTATTCCTTCCAAATTGTCTTAACGTTTGTAATGTCATCTGCCATCATTGCTTTACCAGATTGTATGTTTCTCACTGTAAATTTTCTACTTCCCTTTGATTCAAATCATAGAGAGAAGAAAAAGTTCAAATTTCTTGATTAATTCTGCAGTCTACTTCTCATCCCTCAGCTTGTTTTTTCTGCTTTCTGGGCATAAAGAAAGAAAAAAAAAAAACTTAAAAAGTTCAATTTTTTTTTTTTGTCTTTTTGATTTTCGTAAACAATAGATGAAACGTATTTTAAGATTCTGAATCTTAAAGATTGGTTCTTTACGGTTGATGTTTGTATTCACTAGAAAAATAAAGCTAAAGTTGTGATCTCATACTTATAATTGCTTTATCGTCGATAGAGACAATTGAGTGATTTTTCTTCTGTTTTCTGTGATTCTTTTGTCTAAATTCAGAAGATGATCAACACTTTCCCCTATATCTCATTTCTGGTCTTCTGTTTTGAATCAGATTCATAATCACAAGTTTATTTTGTGTGTGTGTTTATTATCTCAGTGACTCACCTAAAGATCATACTGCATCAATTCTGTGAAATCTTGCTTAACCTCTACACGTGTATACTTACTGAATCTCTCTACATTTCACAGATCAAGTTTTGGCTGGATGCAACAGTCAAGTCAACTACTAAATTGAAGGTAAAAAATCTCCCTTTAGATCATCCTTAAAGATTACTTGTAAATTTTGGGCTAATTTCAATATTATAGAAGATCACTCAGTATCTAATTTCCTTACAAATAGAGAGACAGAGACTTCCCATTGACTTCTCTTCAAAGAAAAGTCTGCAAGTTAACTTTAATCCTCAGCCAGATTTTTCCTTTCTGTTACTATCAAGTATCAACACACTGAATCATTCTGATCAGAAAATTACAGCTTGTGCTTCCCCTTTTTTAAGAAAACTTTCTCCAATCACGAAACTAATCTTTACGAGTTTTTAAAAGTTTTTTTTTGCATTGACAATGATGGTTCATGGAGAGTGAGTATATCTCGTGGCTGTGAATGAGTTTAATGTGTTATGCTTATGATATGTTAGGGTGAAGCATTTAATGAATATGCATCTAGAAACCACTCGAAATGATATGTCGTGGGGAAACTTCCTTCTTTTCTTAAGCAATGGCTTGTGTGTATCTGTTAGATGTTGTTTTCATCTTAACTTAATATTTTCTTTTGTCTTCTACTCACTATATTGTGTTCCATAAAGTTTTGATCTTTATTAATCTACAAGTACAGTTAATCAGAATTTGTGATCTGAAATTATCAGTGAGGAACATAGAGAACTGGGGAGAATTTTGGATCTTTTTTCTTCAAGTGAAGTTAAAGGAACAAGGCGACAAGGTAAGGTTTTGGCTTTTCTTTATGTTTCTCACTGAACATTCAAGAACTCAAAGTTTTGATTTTTCTCTTCATCTTCAATTGCAGTTATCTGGTAAAGTTCTATATTTTGTTCCCTATACACTTGGAAACTCATGGCTCAGACATGTATATAAGGTTGTAAAGTTTTGGTTTTTCTCTTCAGGTTTCATTAGGATTTATCAAACACAGATCGAGAAGAGAGAATGAATGTTCAAATAGCGTAAGAAGCTGTGAATTTTCTTTTTTCTTTTTGTCCAATGGGAACAATGGCAGAATTGGTAACCATGGGAAAGTTTGGAGCCATGGCAGAAGAGCAGCAAGTTAACCAGATGATCATGGATAAACAATCAGCAGAAGAATGGCTATCGCGCGTCCATTCGCTAATACCATCCGTCCTCAGCAAGGCAAAAACAGTTAAGAATTTTGCAGGACGATGGAAGACGATAATCTCAAAGATCGAACAGATACCAGCTTGTTTATCTGACCTCTCAAGCCACCCTTGTTTCTCCAAGAACAAGCTCTGCAACGAACAGTTGCAATCTGTGGCTAAGACTCTTAGTGAAGTTATAGAGCTTGCAGAGTTGTGTTCAACTGAAAAGTATGAAGGGAAGCTGCGTATGCAGAGCAATCTCGATGCTTTATCCGGAAAACTGGATTTGAATCTAAGAGACTGTATGGTTTTGATCAAGACCGGCGTTCTTGGTGAAGCTACATTACCTCTTTACATTTCAAGTTCATCAGAAACACCCAAAATTTCCAGTTTAAAAGAACTTCTAGCAAGGCTACAGATCGGTCACTTGGAATCAAAACACAATGCTCTCGAAAGCCTCCTTGGTGCAATGCAAGAGGATGAGAAGATGGTTATGCCTTTGATCGGACGAGCCAACGTTGCAGCTTTAGTTCAGCTGCTAACAGCAACTTCGACAAGAATCAGAGAGAAAGCGGTGAATCTGATCAGTGTATTAGCGGAATCAGGACACTGCGACGAATGGCTTATCTCGGAAGGTGTATTGCCTCCGCTAGTGAGGCTAATCGAATCAGGAAGTCTTGAAACCAAAGAAAAAGCTGCAATTGCGATACAGAGACTGTCCATGACAGAGGAAAACGCACGGGAAATCGCAGGACACGGCGGCATCACACCTCTTATCGATCTCTGTAAAACAGGGGATTCTGTGTCACAAGCTGCGTCTGCAGCTGCTCTGAAGAACATGTCAGCAGTTTCAGAGCTCAGACAATTGCTTGCGGAAGAAGGAATGGTTAGAGTCTCGATCGATCTTCTAAACCATGGGATATTGTTAGGATCAAGAGAACACATGGCCGAGTGTTTGCAGAATCTCACTGCAGCGAGCGAGGGTCTACGCGAAGCCATTGTTTCAGAAGGCGGAGTTCCGAGTCTCTTGGCTTATCTGGACGGTCCATTGCCGCAAGAACCGGCCGTAACGGCACTGAGAAATCTAATCCCGTCGGTGAATCCAGAGATATGGGTGGCTCTCAATTTGCTTCCACGACTGACACACGTGCTCAAGTCAGGATCTTTAGGCGCGCAACAAGCAGCAGCATCGGCGATTTGCCGTTTCACTTGCTCGCCGGAGACAAAGAGGCTAGTGGGAGAATCCGGGTGCATTCCGGAGATGGTGAAACTTCTGGAATCGAAGTCAAACGGGTGTAGAGAAGCGGCGGCTCAGGCGATCGCCGGATTGGTGACGGAAGGAAGGATTAGACGGGAACTGAAGAAAGACGGGAAGAGCGTGACGAATCTGGTGATGTTATTGGATTCGAACCCTGGAAACACGGCGAAGAAGTACGCAGTGGCGGGGCTGTTGGGGTTGTCGGGAAGCGAGAAGAGTAAGAAAATGATGGTGTCGTACGGAGCAATAGGGTATCTGAAGAAGCTGTCGGAGATGGAAGTAATCGGCGCCGATAAGCTTCTCGAGAAGCTTGAAAGAGGAAAGCTGAGAAGCTTCTTTCACCGGTAAAAAAACGATGCGACATTGAAAAAAGATAAAAGGTGTAATATTGTCTGATGTAAGTTTATTAACCGTTAGTTAAACTTTACTATTAAAAAGGTCGGTCCTTTGGGCTGTTTCTCTGAAGCTGATAAATATGGGCTTTATATTAAATACAGGCCCATGAATTTGAATAGTTGCAGGTCTTAGTTTCAGTAGTCAACTAGTTTTATTCCCACATATTTATAAAAATTGAGAATTTATGTGGAGTACATTTATCTATACTATTAATTGGAAAACATTCGATAATAAATAACCTTATGAAAGGTAAAAAATTACAAAAATTGCCATTATAATTTTTTCATTCTAAGAATAATTTAAAAATTTCGTTGAAGGGCAAAATGGCTAATTTGCTGTCACTTAAAAGCGGATCTTGGGTCATGGGTCGGATCTATATCAATGCTTCTTCGGTAAAACACGCGGATCTTGAGACTATGGGATTTGGCTCCGTAATAATCGCGCATCTCATCTTATTGGGCTTCGCGGGTCAAGGCCTTTCTGATGCTCTCGAATGTAAAAGATGTTTCTATAACCAAAAAAGCGGAATATATGCGATTGAGATCTGCTGAAATTAATGACATAACCAAATTAGATCTAATCACTTAAAATATTTCTATAACAAAAAAATCCCATATATTCCGATTAGTAAATAAGAACAAATCTCTTAAAATACCAATTCAGTTATCAGTTCTTACCAAACTTAACAAAATCTATAAATTCAAATATTAACAAATCAAGCATATACCTTAACAATCCTTATTCGAAATTATTTACTTTGATATGATTCAAGAAACCCTAAAGCATTATTAGCCGACTTTGATTAATATAAATATAGAATGTAAAATGTCATTGAAGATACACACTAACTTTTCTTAGCGTAAATGGAGAATCCAACTTAAAATTGCCCTTGAACGAAATATTCAAGTCTACTCATAGTTTTCTTCCACTCACATCTTTTTCAAACTTTTACGAAACTCTAGCTCTATCGTCTTTCATGTTTAACAATGGCTCGAAATCTTGAATCTACTCTACTTTTCAAGACAGAGTTGATGTAAAAGGTAACAATTTATTTTGGTTCTGTAAGGTTTACGTATATATATGAATTTGTTCTACTATAACTCTCTTTCCTTCTATTTGTGTTTTCAGATAAGAGTTGTGGATACTGAAACCATTTGGAAGAGAAGAAATGATGTGATCTCACTAACCTTTTACATTCGAGAAGATATGATGTGATCTCACTAACCGAGAAGACTTGAAATCTGTTAGGGTTCTAGGTAAATCTGCAAATGTAATAAACGAAAGTGTAAGAATTGTGATCTCGCCCTTCTACATTTATATTTATGAATAGCTACATTGACAAAATCTGAGTGCATCCTCCATAGTCTTATGTTACTTGCAAATGATCCTTTACCTGAATACATTTACATTTGTTTATAACATGCTTACATTTAAACAAACATCACATACTTTGTAATGATCGTTTCAGTTTGTTTTTCTTTGTCTAGCCTCATATTTTGTATCATTATATCTGTAGTTAACTGAAATCTATATAGAACCTAAATAAATTAAAACTCTTCTCAGGTAACAGTTTATACAAATTATACTAAATTTATTGGTTTGAAACTAAAAATAGCCCAGTGCACTCCGACATTATCTGTTCAACTTCCTTCTCTATCTAGCTTAACATTACAGGAAAACAGACACTTCATAGTTCATATTAGTCGAACAACTTCATATTACAGGAGCAACAACTACAAGTAGCACTGCACAGAGTTATAAACCTCATTCTTTAGGAAAAAGGAGAACAAAGCGAATCCAAATCATGGGATATCTGAATAACGCTAAAATTGCTAAAATTGCTAAAGCCAATCTATAAAACTTAACGTAAAAGAGCCATGAATCGGAAAGAGATGGAATGATTCCAAACAATATTAAATGTTCATCTTCCTTCTCTATCTAACGATTTAAAACTACTCGAAGTCAAATTCGTATTCGTATTAAAAATTCTGTGAAAACCAAATTTGGATAGTCAATTGAGAATAATTACCCATATAAGATCCGACTTCTTGATAATTCTTGAAGAAGAAATCTATGAAAACAGAAAAGTCCAAAGATTGAAATTTAATCGACATATATAAAAACTGTAAAAGTATAAATCTAATTCAATAATAAGCTTACCTCTTCATAAAATTCGCAAATTGCAAAACAAACAGTAGAAAAGCAGACCCAATAACTGGATAATATGAGAATCTCGCAATCGAAATCGATCGATGTTCCTAATTTTATTCGGTGGGTTGTCTTTTTTGTGGAACTAAAGACAACGATTGTGATCTGAACAAATAATTAAATTTAGAAAAAAGAAAACAGATAAAAATACTAAAAGGCTTCAGAATTATTCAACTTTGGGCCTAAATTAATATTACAAACAGCCCACTAAAAGGTTATTCGCAAAAATGGCTTTGGGCCAGTTAATTAACATATTGATTTAGAGGTTTTCTGAATTTTATATTAAATCTTTAAAAACAATAATGTTGCATTATCATAGTTATTGTACATATTTTAAATTTTCAATTTCTTCAAAATTAAACATTTATATTTTAACAATTACACATCTTACCTCTGCAAATGTTCAAATTATTTTTGTGCACCAAAACCAGTTTTAGTTTTTTTCTTTTAAACAACTTACAAAATATTTCAAATAAAACGTAAAATATTTGTGTAACTACACATTCTATTCTAAATTTGTAACAACTCAGACAGAAAATAAATTTGTGTATCAAAATTTTTAAAAACACCAAACAAATAATTTCACATAAAATACTATAATTATAATATATACACTATTGTAATGTGCACAAACACAAACACAAAAACAAAATATCGACTCTTCAGTTTCAGACTCCAAACTTTATCTTATTAATCACAACTTTATATATTGTATCATAAACAAAATACACTTTTTATGTGTACATTATAATATATACAGTACAATATATTTCACAAAAACAACAAAATAGTCTAAATTGAATTACAATTTACTACAACAATTTTCTTAAAATATGAAATCCCGCACGTACGTAATGCAGAACGGGATGTGATTTTATTTATCAAAATTTAATAATCGTCATCTAGGAGACAAAATCGTAATCGATGTGCTTAATAGAACATTTTTGCCACTAGATAATTATTTCACACTAATTACTTTTTTTTTTTTTTGGGTCAACGTGATCAACGGTCAGAAATAGATCACGGTGCGTAGGTCTGGCGGCTTCATTTGGCACAAGGAGATTACTGTGTTATGTCCTTAATTGCTCCTCTTATCGGAGAAGACTGTCTTTCTTACTCTGTTTTTCGTCTCCGTGCTCGTACGAGAATATTCGTAAAGGTCGAATTGCCTCCTCTTTTGTAAGTCTTATGAATCTGTGTGTTTGTAAGGCTGATTATCACTTTGGGTAGAAATTTTAGGGCTTCTTCTTAGACTTTTGGTTTTGTCTGAAAATCTTATTACAAAAGTACCAATCTTTGCTCCACTAAGATGAGATTTTGTTGTGAATTGATTAATCAATCAGGTTTCTTTGTTCGATCCATTCTTGTTTTCTTTGCTTTGACTTATGGAAACCAAATTTGGTGTTAAAGGTTTTTCATGAGCTTAACAATGAGTACCCTTGAGACCACGAGAGCTGAGCTTGGTCTGGTAGTTTTGTATTTGAATAAAGCGGAGGCGAGGGACAAGATTTGCCGAGCTATTCAATATGGTTCCAAGTTCTTGAGTGATGGCCAACCTGGCACTGCTCAAAATGTCGACAAGTCCACCAGCTTGGCTAGGAAAGTTTTCCGTCTCTTTAAGGTTGGTTTCTTTCATCTTTTTATCAAACTTGAGATCACACTTTTACCTGAAACCAGTCTTAAGGGTATGAGCTAGCTAACACATGTTTTAGTTGGTGACTTAAGGGGGAAAGTACTTGTTTTTAACTTTCTATTGTGGGAGTTGATAAATGTAACTAGATGTATAGATCCATGGTTATACCTAACCTCAGTTATGTAATTCAGACTCTTCGAGAATAACACATGCATTTATGCTTAGTGGTTTCATTGTAGATCTGGTTAAATGATTTTGAGATTGACATCTGTAAGTTTTACCTGTTGGAAGAGGATATATACTTTTTTTAATGTAGGAATAAGCTCTAAATGGTGTTCTTCTTGTGGTGCAGTTTGTGAATGATCTTCATGCTCTCATTAGCCCTGTTCCCAAAGGGACTCCACTTCCGCTTGTTCTGCTCGGAAAGGTACTGTTGTTGCTCCTTGCTTTTGGAGCTTGTTTCTTTTCCAACAATTGATTGATCTTATGATTCATCTTCTGATTTTGGCAGTCTAAAAACGCGTTGCTGTCAACGTTCCTGTTCCTTGATCAAATTGTGTGGCTTGGCAGGACTGGGATTTACAAGGTGAGGAGAAGTTTGCATTATCAAAGAGACTTATTTTCTTCAGGTTAAACTGAGGTTTCTCTGTTTCTGTTTTGAATCTGCTGCTATAGGATAAAGAACGTGCTGAGCTTCTTGGGCGTATATCCCTTTTCTGTTGGATGGGTTCTTCGGTCTGCACATCCTTGGTTGAGGTTTGTTTACTGCCATCAAATCGTCTCTTATTTCTGGTTCAAATGCAATACCACATTGTGTACTGGCTAGTAATTTTTCGAGATGTTTAGGTTGGAGAGCTTGGGAGGCTGTCAGCATCAATTAAGAAGTTAGAAAAAGAGATAGGGAACAAGGATAAACACCAGGTAAGCTTCCTCAAGTTGTAAACTATTGATTCTCTTTCTCTATGGACTGAAGAAGAAATATTGCTGACTTTGATACAACATTATGCAGAATGAGCAATACCGTGCAAAACTAGAGAAATCAAACGAGAGGTCATTGGCTCTGATCAAAGCAGGGATGGATGTAGTTGTTGCATTCGGATTGCTTCAATTGGCTCCAAAGAAAGTCACACCCCGAGTCACAGGCGCTTTCGGATTCGCCTCCTCACTTATCTCTTGTTATCAGGTATTTTCCGGGTCTCATTTCAAGAAAACAGTTAATCGTGGGATCAAACCAATGAATGAAGCCATCAATCTCTCGTTTGTGCAGTTATTGCCGTCACATCCCAAGTCCAAGACGGTCTGAGAAAAGGGAAAGAAGGAAAGACGAACTAGTTTCATTGTCCAGATGTTCCATAGTTTGTGCCTGTTTTAATATATTACTTGGTGTTAAATTTGTCTTGCTTGATACTTTTTATGGTTTGTGTTAGATTTTATGGTATAGGATAATGATAAACATTGCTGGAGAGTGCAAAAAATGGCTGGAGAAGCTCTCTAGCTAGTAGATGAAGAACCCCCACGGTGTCTCGGAAGCCATGTGATTCTTATAAATAATAATATTATGACCTATATACTATGATCGTAAACAAATATAAAAAAGGGTATTCTCATTATTATTAATGATCGCGTAACGCATGCATTCATGTAGATGCATCATCTCCAACATTTCATTGAATAAGACAGATACAATCTGATAAAATAGGAAAAGAAAAAATGAATATAAACTAAAAAGAATTAAGCATTGTGCCTAATGTCTAAAGGATTCAGAGCAGTGATTCATCGAGAAATCTGTATTCAATTCACAAATCTGCGCTTCCTTGGAGGTTTTATGATGATTGTTGAGCTTTCTGATCGGCAATGATAGTTTGAACGATTTGTCGAAGTTTGAAAACCATCGTCGCAATTCTGCGTCCGTTTCCGGCTTTGCTCCGATCACTAGCTTCTTATTCTTCTTCCTCCTCTTCCTCGTTTCTCGCCTACGCTGAGATTTCTCCCTTTGCTTCATCTCACGACTCGCGGCCGATAACGCCACAGACAACGACGATAGATTGATTGAATTATCCTTGGCAGCATCTATGGCCTCGATCGCTTGCTTGAGAGACCTGAGATTGAACGGAGAACACCCATCGTCATTGGTCCGCCGTCTTGGTGCGGTGTTTCTCTTAGTATTTTCCGGCTTCATTATAGGAAATTACAAAGTACGGCTACACTTATTTTTTTCCCGAGACTTAGGGCATTTATATAATCTCCTCACTTAATGGGCCTTCTAGCAGCCCAATAGCAATTTTGCGTCACAAAAACGCCACATGCAGAGTAGCTACTGAACTAGTATCCGATCATGAGCTTCATATTACTACTACTACTGTACTTTTTTTTTTTTTTTTTTCGAATAAAGGATTTCATAGATAGAATGCGATTGAGTTATACAAAGCCGACAAGGAACGAAATCCTTTCGGAGACAAGGCCGGCGGGTACATAGAAACCCCCAGAAACTTAAGGCCAAAAGAGGCGGACAAACATAAACAAAGCCCAAAAGAGGGAAACTTAAGCCCAAACGAGAGAAATTACAATCTACGGAAATAGGTGGAACCGCTAATAGCTTAGTCTCAAAAAAGCCCAAACATGAGAACGACGAACATGGCGAGATACAGAAATCGAATCGAGAAACCTGACAGAGAATTTAACGAAGGAAGATAGACGTACTTGCTCAACTCTTTCAGTCCAAGATCACACGACTAACTAAGCTGAGAGGATCCTGCTGAATCGCGAAACGGAGACGACCAAACCAACCTTCTAACAAAACCGGAGGAAACCCAAACAAGTGGGTGAACTGAACCATCCGCGATTTGTAAGATGAGGCAACCGAATGAAAACTCAGCCCAGAGACACCATGGAAAGGCAAAGCAGAGACAAACCACCAGCAAAATCCAAGACACATTCCGCAAACTATGAGGATATAAGACGACGATACCCTAATCTTAAATCTAAGGCTTCACTCCTCAACCAAATTAAGACACAACCAAACCTAGAAGACACACGCGTCCAACCAACAGAGCAATTAACCGAGGCAGAAACACAACCTGAAGATAAATGACGGAGGCCGTTGCCACAGATGTAGCCGGAGCACGCAAAATACCATTACCAACTCCCAATCCAACGAGAACAGAGCCGATGAAAACAGATCAGAGACATACCAACCAAAACGGAGAATCTAAAACTCTACCCCCAAAAACGGAAGAAAGCATCCTAGCAGCAACAAACCTTGACTGAGCCACAGGAGAGCAGATCCATCGAAGAACACCATAGATCTGCAAGTTAACTCCAAAGATCCGACGCCACGCCACCGTATTAGCCACCACACTAAATGGAGCCACCACCGCCGATCGAAAGGGGGAAAGAAGAAAGACGACGCAGCTACGTAAACACAAGACCAAAGAAAAGCAACTATGGAGAGAGGGACCGGCGACGATGCTGTGGAAGCCATCCATCACCGGCCATCGGAGAAAGACTCTTTGACGGCTAGGGCCAACGCTGGTTATTTTAGAGATAGGAAAAGGAAGGCGGACTTACTACTACTGTACTAGTCAAGAGGAAAAATACATTATTTTGAGAAAGAAAACAAAACCATTTAAATATTTGAAAAACTTATAACATAAGCAAGTTTGATATATGTTTGTTTGATATTTCTTTCGGGTTCACTTTATTTTCTGCTAAATTGACGAGATAATAAAATATACAAACCAAGACAGAACAGAACACACAAGATCGAAAAGTCAAAAGCTGGAGACATTGGCGCGATCAAAGAAAAGGCCAGATGGGTCTCCATTAGGGACCAAAGCCAGATTCACTGGACTCGCTGCACCTTCTTCAATGCTCAATATCCCAGTGTTGAAATTGATTTCTGTGTTTACGAAACCAGGACAAACACTGTTGATGATGAACGATTTGTTTCGCTTGGCCAATACTCGTGTCAATGCAATCACTGCAGCTTTTGATAGTATGTATCCGGACATTACTGTTGGCCAACCTTTGACTTGTAATGCACCTTCTTTGTAATCCTTGAGGTACTCATTGATCACTTCATCTATTTTCTCTTCTGTTAGGTTCTCAGCATCACTCAGCACTCCTTTTGCCCATTCATTTGAAACATTCTGCAGTTAAACACACAAAACAAGATTCATCCTTTTATCCAACACCAAAATCCGAGGATTAACCAGGCAAGGGCCAATTTCATAGCAGCTCTATTTTGGCCTGCATATGACCAGGCTAAAAACTAATATGTCACGATCTGAATCGGCCATCTACAGAACCGGCCCGTTATAACATCCCTACCTAAAAGTTTATTGACTAGAAGAAATCAAGATCGTACCTCTAACTTTCCCATGGTTGAAGCGATGCTGACGATTCTTGGGGAATCAGAAGATTGAAGGAGAGGAATCATGGCCTCGCACATTCGTTTTACGCCATAGTAGTTTGTTTTAATACACTCCTCGACAATCTCATATGTATCGCTCATTATCTTGGAAATATCGGTTGGTGCACCAGCCTGTACTAGTAATCATTTATATATGTAAGACTACCTCTCAAGCTTGTGCAGTTTCTCAAATATATATTTCAAACATAAGACAAGTTTAGAAAGTAGGAAAGTGTACCTCAGCAATCTGAGCTTTGAGAACATCGACATTAACATTGGCCCCTCCAACTCCGGCATTATTAACCTGAAGACATACCAAACAAGAAATCAGAACAGAGTAGACAGAATTGCTATTTTTCAGATAATGGCAGAGTTAGATCCTTGTTAGTTAACATGTATCCTAATCGCAACAAACAAGAAGTTTGCTGAAATAAAAAGGATCAGATCTTAGTTAAGAAATATAATCTTGGGAAAGGAGTGTGCAACTACCTAATAACAGTGAAACTGATTAGAGCCAAGATTAGTAGATCTAGATTGGATGATATAGGACAAGAATAAAGAAACTTGCCAGAATATCGAGTTTCCCGAAGCGGGTCTTAAGAAAAGCAGCAAGAGAAGCGATGGTGTCTGGGTCGGAGACATCAAGAGGGTGAAAGGAGATGGCTTGATCAGAAAAACCATTCTCAGTCTTGAGCTTTTGGACAGCAGCAAGACCCTTGTTCTCATCCCTGGCAGTTAGAATCACAGTTATCCCATTTCTAGCTAGTTGCCTGCAAGTCTCAAACCCGATCCCTTTGTTGGAACCAGTAACAACTGCAACTCTGGAGACAAACAGAAAAAGAGAAAAGGAAGAATCAAAATCTGAATAGAGATTTTAAGCCGAGGTTAGATAGAGAGAGAGAGAGAGAGAGAGGAAGCATGAACCTTGTGTTTGCCATTGGATTTGATGAAATGACAGAGAAAAGTCAAGCCTTGTGCTGTTAACTAAAAAAAAAGGATTTCAGTTCACATTGACAAGGACGTTTCTCTTGTATTTTTCTTCTATATTTATCTTGTATCATCTTCATCTAACTTTCAACTCAAAATAAAATAAAAGGGGATAAACAAGTGTGCACATGGAATGGAAGACACCGCCACATTTTTAATATTTTGATAAAACCAATATTTCCAAAGCATCTCAATCAAAGGAGAAGGGATCATTATTGTCAAAACAAAATAAATAAGTGAAAGGAGTTTATTGATATTTAGTAGAGACACTTTAACAATAAGAAGAGAGAGGGACACTTGCTTAATCCTACTTACTTACTGGTCTCCTCAGCTCTTAGAACTAGTAGCCCTTTGGTTCACTGTGGCAAGGTGTTGTTCACAATGTATGAGGAATGCTATCATGTTCAAATCAACCTACTATATGATTCACACAAACCAATTACTATATGATCAAAACAAATGATTGTTTATTAGGTCAAAACGAGAATGAGAAAAAGCTTACATTGTCGAAGAGATCAATCTTGCACCAGAGAGAGCTCAATTGGCAAATCGGAAGCGCAAATTGATCTCTGACAAGATTGAACATTTGAACAACATAATCCCACCGTACGACGCATGACGAAATCAGAGGATCGCCAAGAAAAAAGTAGATGAGTGACAAATTTGGTAATGCTTGCGGTGGCAATTGTTAGTAATTTACTATCAACATCGAGGCCCATTCAGTCGAAGTCAAAACAAGGCCCATTCAGTCTTTTACCACAAACAGCAAGGTGTTCTCATCTGTAGTACAAGAACGGGAGGTAGTTTCAATTGTTATTACTGCCGCCGAGAATTGCTATGATTTGTTCAAATCTACTTGTTCTGAGATCAAAGACTTAAATGAGAGATATGTACTGAACATGATGAATATATAGTTACACTACACATCATCTGATGGATGATGGATCCATCACTTCACCATACTCTGCAACCCAAGTTGGTGATGGTGGTTTAAATGGACATACCATTTTCCATGAAAGAAACTACCAGCAAAAAATGGCCGCCACAAGAAGGCGAAATACTCTTCTTTTTCTCACCAGAATGTCTCAGATTGCGACTGTGCCTCCTTCGATTATCTGGTTATCGCCAGATGCATCTGACGGTTGAGGTTTAGGCTTACTCGTTCTCGAGTACCCATAGCCTAGAGAGCTTCCGCTTGCTTCACATAGCTGCCATTAGCATTACACCATATCCCAATACAAATCAATAAGACCAAACCAGATCTGATAAATATAGATTGTATATTGACAACTAAACAAACCTCGGTCAGTTCAGACAAGTGACGGGTTCTGAACTCGTTAATCGTGTTTGCAATTTCCGATGTCGGTAATTTTGCCTGAGATGTTTCAACATTAAAAAGGATCATACACTGTATGTAGGATTACTACTTCCACTAATAAGGAATCATTATGTTTTACCTGAGCAAGAACAGCAGCTGCCAACTGTAGACTAGGCTCCAGAGTCTCCGGGACAACCTAATTTTTTTTGTGATCGAGATATTATTAGTGTACGATTGATAAAGCGTGTCTATTGTCTAGAGGAGAGTGACGGGTTTGTGAACATTACCGCAGTAGCACCAGCTTTTTCTAGATTAAGACCATGAACAACATCGTGTGCACGGACAAAAGTTTTGACATTGGGGTAATACTTGCTCAAAGCCCAGACACATCTGTAGTTTGCTCCTGGTGCGTCTAAGGCAACCACAGCAGCACATGCTCTCTCAGCTCCAATTTTGTGGAGAACCTGTTTGTTTGCACAAGTGAAGTAATATTAAAATGCTGGTGTAATCTGTAAATTGTCTCGTGCGTATCTTTCTGATTTTGTGTGTACCACCTACCTCTCTACTACCAGCGTCTCCGAAATAAACAGGAAGATCCAAAGAACGCCCAATAGTCACTCTATCACTGTAAATAAAATATGAGGTTTTCAGGGAAGCATGGAATGCGAGAAAGCGGTATGGAAACTTGGCTGGCGCAATACAAACAGTCTTGAAACAAGACTTATATGAGAACAGACATTATATAAATCAAACAGGTTGAAATGTAATATCAATGTGTGTGGAAGTTACTGATAGTCCCCACATTTTCGGTTCGATATGAGAACAAAATATTTGAAACCCACTTTACACAGATTCTTCAACAATAGAGGCAAATAATAAGCAATGTAATGTTACCTGCTGACATCGAGGGCAACAAATGGGATAAGTCTTTCCGAGAGAAGCTGAGCAATTATCTACAAGTAACAAACAGAAAATGGTCACGAGGTTAGAAACTTCGAGCTATCATGTGAAGCAGACTATCTACAGAGAGGTGTTCTCATATAAGAGCATAAACTGAAGAAGTTCAGATAATGTATAAACCTGACCAACTCGACCAAATCCGCAAATAATTATGTGATCCTGTAAATCATCCGTCTGCAAATACATTCAGACAAAAAAAAATACTCATCAGTGGGCCTTGTCACATTTTCCTCAACTAGAGAATGTGTGAGAGCCTAACAGAGTTATACTCTATAAACGAATCATCAAGATTCCTACCTCACTCTCAACAGGCAATAAACTTCGAACATCATGCAACTCAAATCGAGATGCAATTAACTGGCCACCAGCAGCTAACCAGGGTGTGATAGCCATTGAGATTCCCACGACAAGAAATAGCAACGAAGATAACTGAGGAGACATTATACCCTGGAAGAAACATAGACTAGGCCTTTAGGAAAAAACAAACAGTTGACACAAATATATATAATGTCTATTGAAAGAACATTGCTGATTATACACCTCATTGGAAAAAAGCAAAAAAAAAAAAGCAATGTTGATAACAAACCTGATTAACAGCTTCTCCGAAAGCAACAAATGCAAATTCTCCGCCTGGGGCCAATAGTAGACCGACTCGAATTGCAGATATAATTGAAATGCCAAACACTTTTCCCATAATCACGACTAACATAGTCTTTCCCACAATCAAGAGTCCCAAAGTTCCCACTATGACAGGGAAGTTGGAGAGAAGTAATTTCGGATCAATTGACATGCCAACCTGAAATCAATGAAACTCTTTTTGTTAGTTTTATGCCTACAGTTGACAACAATGTCAGGATATTACTAGAACACAAGTAAAAGTTTCCCTTTACCATCTATATAATTCCTGATTTTTCTTTGAGAAATGATAAAACTATGGATAAAGTTATTAGGAAACTCGTATATTACTGTCATGAAGAAGAGTCCCAGCAGAAGACCACGATATGGAGCAATATCTGATTCTACTTGCAACGAAAATTCTGTCTCTGCAAGGAGTAGACCAGCCAAAAACGCTCCTAATGCCATGGAAAGTCCAGCCTGGTTTATAGAAATGGAAAAATTAGCGGACTGGAAATACTGGCATGTCAGTAAACTACTCAAATGCCAACAGGGTAAAATGGCCAAATACCAACAAGGTCAAGGCCATACCCTAGCTGTCAGTAAACTAGTCCCAAGAATAACGAGAAGCGTGTTGGCAGAGAATATCTCGGCGTTTCGATTTTCTGCAATTTGCTTGTAGATTGGTCGAAGAAGCTGTATGCCACAAGAGTGTAAATGCCTTAGATTATAACTCCATTGAAACATATATATTGAGTACCGGAAGTAGCAGTGATAGCACAGTAAACTTTCATGATTAGTTCATGGAAACGTGCCTCTTCCTTTTGTAGCAAATCTAAAACATTTCACCTAAACAACTTTGGTAATAATTAACTTATTTTGATATCTAGATTCAAAAGTTAAAGTATCTGAGACTCACAAGACGGCCACCAGCAATTATGGCAGTAATAGCCACTGCTGCTTTGACTGCAGCAAGCCCAAGAGCTTCAGCAATGGCTTGGAATCCAATCTGAAAAGAGCAGTTAGTAACTTAGCATTTTGCGACCACTGATACTTCCTAGACTTCCTTGAGTATATAGAAATATCTGGCATACCAGCGATTTCAACCAGTATTAGCAACATATGACCCCAACGTTTCTTCTTAAGAGAGCAAAGACATTATCAAACCTCTTACTTAGACAATTGCCAACACATGGCATCCAACAGAAAAGCAAGCCATACTCAAGAAAAAGAAGGAACCCTAGAGATGAGCTTACCCCTCCTTTCGATGAATTAGGTGAAATAAGTGGGATGAGAATCAGTAAAACAACTACAGCTAGATCCTGTGAAGAAAAATAACAAACTAATGAGAAATGCCCAGCATAGTTGTAGTACAGAATTAACTCAGATCTGAACCGACCTGGAAAAGCAAGACGGAAAATGAAGCCCTTCCATGTCTAGATGTACTCTCACCTCGTTCTTGTAGAACCTGAAAACCAAGTGCATTATCTTTGTTCAACCAATTGGTAGCGTAATTGCATAAAAAAAAAAAAACAAATGAAGGGGATGCTACAAAATTCCTTTCATTATGATCCCTTTTTGAATACAACCAAAAATGCTACCTGAAGGACAACAGCAGTGGAGGACAGAGCCAGGCCATTTCCAATCACTATTGCTGCTGGACCAGCCTGACCAGCAACATAATGGGCAATCAATCCAACTACTGCTGCTGTGACCAGAACCTAGATTACATCAAAAGAAGTATAGATTAGAGTAGTTGGAAAAAGAAACATCAAGCATGTAGGCATTGTAGTTGATAAATGATGTGGAATGAGATACGCGGATCTTCAAATCACCTGAGCGGAGCCTAATCCAAAAACATATTTCTTCATGGAACTCAGTCTTTCAACAGATAGCTGTCAAATAAATAAACAAACTATTGGCTATTCTACCAAACACAGTTCAAAAGCAAAAGGATAGCATACACATATATCAAATAATACCTCAAGGCCGATGTTGAAAAGCAAGAAAACAACTCCAAATTCTGCGATGGCCCTGGTTCCGTGCACATTACGGATTATCGAAAGACCATAAGGACCAATCAGAATTCCAGCTGCCAAATACCCAAGAACAGGACTGCCTATACATTGCAGCAGATGAAGCCATCAAGATGGCACATAAATCTCTATGCAACATGATTGCGAGACCAGAACTGAAAATGTTTTTGACTGATGAGAACATGGAAATCGTAGGACTTTGACGGAAAGGGGAAACAAATAGTAATGCAATGGATAGAATTAACAAAAGAAGAAAAAAAAAAAGAATCCTACTTACCTCCAGGAATTTTCTGAAATAGAGGCACAAATATAACGCTTGCTAGCAGTAACCACAAAAAATCAAAAAGGGAAGCTTCTTCCTCATTGACCTAATAATTGCAGAAAGTTTCAGCCTGCAAAGTACATTCCATACAATTTGCACTTATGTAAAAGAACAAGAACAATTGTTCATACCTCCTGGTGAGGGAGCATCTCAAGTAGTTTCTTAAATCTCTTGGGAAGTTTCTGCACTTGCCGGATCAATGGCTTTGTACTGGAAGAGATATCTTCTGTACTAGTGCTGGTAACATCTGGTTGTTGAAGCAGCTGGTTGTTCCCCCCTACTCCATTGGAGTATAATGTCAGTCTGGAACGAATAAGAAGCTCGTATCAACAAAAAGAAAAAACTTTATGTACTAAAATGAACATTCAAAACTCGACGAAAAGAAGAGTAAATTTTTTCAAACTGACCCTGCTCCAAGAAGAGCAAACCCAAGTACTAGCTTGGGCCATTGCTGTTTGACAGAACCAACCAGACTAGCAAAGACTGTCGCGGTCCCATCTGGATTGGAAGAGAAGAAAGATGCAGAAAAGAAACGGGAGGATTTATTAAACGATGCCTTGGGAGAATTAAGAGAGGAACCCTCCTTTGGCAGATCTTTCTGTGTTTCCTGTTTTTTCGTCTGAACATTAATCTTTGGCTTTTCAGAATCTGCTTCAACCACTTTAGAAGACTCTACACTTGGCTTTCCATTCTCATTATCACTTGACTCATAAGGCTGAGTTAGCTTTTGAATCTTCTGACCAACTAAATCAGGTACTAGATCAGATGTGTTCTGTACCACTGATAGATCTCCACCAATAGGTGATTCTTTTTCAACCTGATGGCTAACATCTTCAACGTTACCTGAAAGTACCACCTCATCCTCGTCGTGAGTTTCTTCGTCCGAGAGTTGGCCCTGAGTTTCCTCTGGGGTCTGAGAAATGGAGAGAAACTTCTCTGCTCTCTGCAAAGCAATCTCTGCATCATTAACACGTTGAGTAGCCTCAAGCTCAAATGCTACAGCTTGTTCAGCCAATTTCATAATATTGGCGACATCCTCCTCGGCTTTCAACGCACTGATCTGTATTGTCTCAGCGAACTCATTCAACTTGTCCAGTTCCTTCTGCAGCTCGTCTTTTTTGCTCTGCAAACAACTTAGTTGGGACTCACAATTTTCTAAATTGAATTGACATTCTTTAATATCATCCTTGGCAGCTAAAAGAGCTTCTTCTTTATCTTTCACATCATCTGTTTTCTCAGTCTCTTCAGACACATGTGGAATATCATTCCCTGCACCAGCTTCAAGTGATTCCACTATAACCTGGAGCCTAGCTTCAGCAAGAGATAACGCCATAGTAGCCTTTTGAACAGCTTCTTTAGCAAGAGATTCCTCATCAACAGTATCTCGAATGACATCAAGGGTTTTGTTTACGTCATGCCAAGCAGTAGCAGCGTCATCCTTGAGTGCTATGGCTCTTTCTGAGATTCTCTGAGCCTTTTCCTCAAACATGGTACTATTGAGTCTAGCAACTTCCAACTCTTTAATTGCCTTTTGAAGTAACTCCTTGAGTTCCTCCAAACTATCAGTTTCGTTTTCGACTCTAACATCTTTTTCTTCTTTCAAATCTGTAGCATCACTTTCATCACTACTTCCGGAAGATTCCCTGATTCGATCATTACTAGTATCGGCAAAAGGGATTCTTTTGGCTTGGCGGCCATTGCCAAGTATAGATTTTGTAGAATGCAAATGACCAGTATAAAACCTTCCAGAGAAACACGCATTCAAATTCAATCGAAAACACGAGTGCACTTTAGAATCCCCAAACGTAATGTTGATTCCTTTGGGACTTATAAATCGATTTGGAAAGCAGTAACTCGCACCGGCTCCACCATGAAATAGAGTCGGCCGTTGAAAAGTAGACGCAAAATCCATGTCAAAATCAGATTAAAAAAAAAAAGTAGCCTTACTTTGCTCCTCGAACCTTATATACAACACCTGTGGAGGAATATCGAAATTCCACACATTCAGACTTGGAACGACCAAGCACGGACGGACAGATAGAGAGACTAACCAATCATGGAAAGAAAGGTGGAAACAGTGGGGAGTGGCTCTCGTCTTCAATTCCGTTTCAAACAGATATTTTTGGCTCGTCTCTTCAAAATTTCCCTGTCAAAAACTTTCTCTTTCTCCTCCTCTTTTTTGAGTTTCTCGCCAACCAGACATCATTGCTAAGGCCGTTTTTCGATAATTTTACGAAAACACCCTCTCAAATAATGAATGATTCACATCACCCAATAACCAACCCGTTGGTTTGATCCGGTATACAAGTTTCCTCTTTTTTTAACCGAACAGATATTGTTTCTCATGGGAAACCAACGAGTCTATGAAATTCTAAAAATTCACGAGTACAAAATAACACTAGAATGCGAAGAATATCATCACCATCAGCAAGCATATCACATAATCACACATTGACAAAACATCAATTCTTGCCTGCTTTCGTGTGTAATAATAATGTATAACGAACGAATCAAAACAAAATTATTCATGTCTTCATATGGAAACAACTCATTACAAATGAAATCAAATCTTTCCCCGGCAACAACATTCATTCAATCATTCACTCAAAAACACTCAGGTAAGAGATATTCAAGACTGTGAGACGCCATTCTCTTCCTTGGCCTCGACGGCGATGTCTTCGGTAGGTTCCGGTGTAAGAGTGTTGCCTGAGGCTGTGCGACGGTGGTTGGCAGCTTGGAGGACGTGAGCGTAGTTTCCTTTCTCCAGGAAGAGTTGGTTAAAGTGATGCCGGCAATAGAGAACGCTATCCAGGGAGGCGTAGGAGGAGTGAGTGAGCGTACACCCACCGTGAGCGCATCGGAAACATGTCTTGTGGAAGCATTCTCCTTCCATTTGTATCTGTTACCAAATAACCGAATCATATCGTATTAGAATCAGGCCAAAATTTCATATTTAACTGATTGATTCCACATTTTCTTGGACCAAACCAACATAACGTTCTAAAATCGAACCAAAAGTAAACTAAACCAAACCAAAATCAAAATTTTATTTCCATTTTATCTTAGTAAAGAATTTATCCAAACCGAAAAAATTCTTAAGGAAATTGAAAAAAAACAAAACTGATATGCCCGACTCATAGAATAGAGCAAATTAATTTCTCTACAAGACTAGTTCATTGGTATTTTAGGCCAAGAGAACATTTGCAAATGCGTATACTAACCTTTTCAAGAGGGTAAACAGTTTTTTCGCAAGCGGCACACTTGTCTTGTGTTCCACAGAAGATGGAAGATATCTTGCTGGGAGTCTTAGTCTGTAATGTTTAAATCAATACACAGATCCTATTAGTCAATCATACAAGAATGAAAACCAAAGATTGACACGCTAATCATATAGAAGGACATGTTATGATGAACCTACCAGCTCCGGCTTCTCAGTTTTTCCTGAGAAAAGAAAGAAACTTGTTACGATCATGATGATTAGAATGAAGAAAGATAGATAGACTCGATGTTAGAGATTTATAGTATGAACCTGGTTGAAAGTTTTTGCTGAAATTGCCAGATTCCTTGAAGAGCTGCTCAAAATGCGTCTTGCAGTACAAAACTCCGTCCATGGAGGAATAGTTGCTCATCTGCCATCAACACATAGATATTGTTGATATAATATGATCATAGAAGATCTAAACACGAAATCTAACAAGAAAATGAGTAATGCAACATACCACAAGGGTTCCTTTGCAATGGGTGCACCTGAAGCAAGACTTGTGGTAAGGCATTCCTTCAATGGACAACATGTCCACCACATAGACTGTCTTATCACAAACGTTGCATTTGTCGAGAGTTCCTGTGAAAGACATTTTTTTTGTTGGGTCTTTTTTTTTTTTTTTTTTTTTTCTGTTGTTTCCTTCCTTCTCCAAGATCCTGTATGAAACAGATTTTTTTAACTTTTTTTCCAACAATTAAGATGTCATCTGAGGAATTAGTTAAAGAAGGAAACCTTTACCTCAGACAAAGGAGGAACCTGCGAAATTTCTGTCCTCTTTTATATGAGTTGTGAGGTTGTAACGGAGGAAGTTTTTCTTTCTTTTTTTTTTTTTCTCTCTCTCTCTCTCTCTCTCTTTGATCTTTTTTGCAAAATCAATGAGATAAAATTGGGTGGCAAAGTGATTGGACTTGAGCAAAAGAAGGGTTGTGGTTTCTGACAATTTCAACCCAATAAGGGATTGTTACTTTAAGCCAACTGTCTCTGAGGTGGTGCAACCCATGTCAGTCAGATCCTGCAAAGGAATATAACAACCTAACATTACAAATATATAATATTAACTCAACATTTCACATATATACTATTATTCTTTCTTAATCAAAACTATGCTTTTAATACTTATCTGTATGCGTATCTATCAAGTTACCCAGTTGTAAATTAAAGCAATTTTAATGAATAGAAGAAAGTGAAGCACCACTAAGTCGATTCTTTTTCCATTATCTTTTAGAATTATAGTGTAGTTCAAGTCACCCTTTTTATTAACATATTACCATACAATATATTTGAATAGAAAAATCTGATATGCAAAGTTAAAGTAGTCTTACAACACAACTTGTTGACACAGGATGAGATCTGAGATTGTCTTTCCGTGTCGATCGATCCTCCTGGAACAGTTGACTCCACCATCTAATATGTTCCTTACGACAACATTCATAGCATGAATGCCTTCAACATCATATATCTCTACTGACACATTTTCATCGACTGGTTTTGCATCAATTTCCAGAAACGAAGAGGTTGATAACAGAACTGACATCACATGCTTTACCCATTGAGGAGTGATTATGAGTTTCAGACGCTCAATATCTGGGGAATAATGTGGGATTATTGAGAAGTTTATGTCGTTTCCTTTATCACCAGCCCGGCTATGAGCAACAGAGTAGAGTGGGATCTTTTGGCCAGATGGAGCAGGAGAGTGATGAAATCCAGATTGATAGCCTCTCATTGTAAGGTTATCTTGACTTTCCTTAGGGATCTACAAATGGAAGTAATACCATGGTGTTAATACAAATGCAAATGTTAGAGTTCTTTCACATTTTTAGCTTTCCACATGTGAGCCTTAAAATTCTTTTTCTGTGTCTCTTCATCAAAGAATTGCTGTTCAAACAAACTAGACTGATTGACCAAGGAATTTGAATTCAGGTCATGTTTATTTCCATGATCTATCAGTCATCACAATTAGTTTAGTAAGTACTTTCTGACTAACCTTTCCGATTTTCTCTCGAGCAACTGGAGAATGATGTTCAGGGGTCTCTGACTCTGAAGTGTTGGTGTGCTGAAGTCCAGTTTTCCACATTACAGATTCACGGCTAACCTGGATAACCAGACATATAACATCAGAAGCCGTAAAATTGATTTATCCAAGGCTATATTAGTTAAATTTTTATAATGGAGATGACATACCAAAAGCTTTTCAAGAAAAATTTCCATCTTGTGTCCGGTACTGCATATAATTACAAGCAGTTTTGTCAAACCAAAAAGACCATCCCGAATCTCATATGCTCTCTTCTAACAAATAACTACTTTCAATACATTGAGATGGCCAAGCTAAAAGATAATCAGTCAGCACAATCAGATATCAAGACAGTAACATTCTCGAACTTGTCGACAATCAAGTGCTGCACGTCCCTAGTCATAAGATTCTCAAATCAACAGGATTTGGTACTACTGTAATGCTACAATTAGCATTGGATTGATATATGGAGCGAACATCAACGTGAAGAAATTACCTAATTCCACCACCACCAGCTGGCCCATTTGTGTATAGAGCAGTAAACTCTTTCGTTAACTGGACCGCATGTTCCTTCAGTTTGAAAAGACCATCCATACGTAATCTAATATCTCCACATGACTGCCAAGATTCAGTGCCGTTGCTTGTTGCCTTCAAGCTATCAAGCCCAACCACATAAGAAAGAATACAGTGGTTAACACCAGGAATGGTTTCTTCCATCCAAGATCGAACCTGAAAGAAAGAAAGAAGAAACACAAGTAAAATACGTACACAAGTTTGAGAAGAAATGAAACTCCAATTCAAGGCACCATAAGTCATTTCAAACGAAGATAGGGCCAAAAAATGCTACTACATCATAGAAATATTAATCATAGGCACACCAGAAACTCTGAAGCTTTAGCACGTTGAATAGAACCATGTCCTCCATAAGATATCTCTCCCCAACCTTTCCAACCACATTCCTGCAAGGAAAGTACGTATTATAGAACCTAGGTTGCTCTTTAGTATCAATCAAATGTCACCAGCATTTTCTATGGATAAACAACCTTTGGAATTAACCGCAAGAGTTTCTCAGGCACGGAAGTGTTAGCAGATGGTTTTGCTCCACTGCATTGTACTTTGCAGTCTGACAGGGGAAGGAAAGAAACGCCTCGAATATCAATTACCTGCAAAGAAGGTTTAGAAATAAACTATTTCCGTTGTTGTTACAGCTATTTCTTCTAGATTTTGTACCGCTAACTTACCACATCAGGTGTAATGTAGGCACTAGGATCAGCAATTTCATACAGAAGTTGCTCGGCGCAAGTACTGGTATTTAAAATTCCACCACTACCTTCAGCCTTTGATACACATACTTTACCGTCATAGCCAATTTCTGCATAAGGAAGTGACAAACCCTGGAGAAGAGGGAAAGCCATGTCTCTATACTGGTCACCTAAAGAACATTGAAGAACGAAATGACCATACTGATAATGAAAAAACAACAGTCCATTATTTCTTCCCTGAGCCAGTAAGCGTAAAACGCACCTGGATGCATGAAGTATCCACCAGTGAGCTGACAACCGCACTCTAGAAGGTGGCCAGCAAGAGTTCCCTGAGCTAGCAGCTCCAAGTCATTCCAATTCCAACCTAGTTCATAGACCTAATGACACAACAAGAAAATGATCAGATTAAATCACGAAACAGGAAAGTCTCTTGAATCGAATTCAAGCCAAAGGGAAATGAAACAATGAGTAACTATGATTCCAAAACTGAGCTGACATTCAATCTGAGAGGCTATCTGGTCCAACAAAAAAACTGGATCGACTGTCAGATATTAGATGACTGGACAGGTAAGAAGTCCTCACCATTGGTGCTAAAAATAAGGCGGCATCAGCCACTCTTGAAGTAATTATCACGTCTGGTTGGTACTTCTCCAGGCACTCAACAATAGGAGCTGCACCAAGATAAGTGCTAGTACCCTTCAACAAGGAGAATAAAAGTTCAGGACAACGACAAATATCACAAGGAGGAAAGCCATGGCAAATTCGTACTTCCTAACATATAACCTAGAGTCCTTCACATTACACATAACTATGTTTTACATATCTTCTAGTCAATCAAAATTATTGTCAATAGCTAATAATATCACATTGAGACATATGATCAGAAGTTCGAAAACCAGAATCATACCCCTGCGGAGCAATATTGACCGCCAAAAGATGAACCCGAGCCTTAATAAGATTCAAAGACAAGGGTTAATGATTCACACTTATTATGGCTTCAAACAGTGTTGAATACCCAGAACACTAACAATACCTCCCAGGGATGAAAGTAGCTTCCATTACCTGTTTCAAAGTGCACCTCATGAGCCACAGCCACGGAAATTGTGAGACCTAATTTACTGGCTACCTCGAGAACTTTCTTCTGAGCCCCAGAGGGATCAACTACAAGGAAAAAAAAACACGATAATTCAGATAAAAAGAAAAACAGAGAGAGAAAAAAAAGGCATCCGTTATAGATTGTAAGCACTTACTTGCACCCATGTTAGTGATTATACAAGTGCCTTTGTCCAGAGCCACAGGTAGTAACAAATGCATCCACTCTGAAACTGAACAAAATCAAGAAAAAAATGGCTGAATGTGAAATTATAAAACATCCCTAAAAACCATTCCTAGCAACTCGATGACCATTTTCAACATAAATCAAACCTCCAAAGTCCTGAAACATACCACGAGGATCGTAGCCGACACCGCCAGATGCCATAGAAAGCCAGCGATCAGCCAAAGTGCGTTCGGCTAAGCACTCAAGGACAAGATAATTAAGGTCTTCGACACTCTGAAGCAGTTTGAGAGCGGCCAGTGGCCTATCGCCGCCGAATCCAGCACCACATCCGACGTAAACCGTCTCCCTTCGCCTCTTCGGATTCTCTCTCTGTAAATCAATCACATCATATCCAAGAATGGATTGAATAAAAGCGGAAAAACAAAATGAAAATTCTTACCAAGTTTATAACACAATCGCAGAGAATCTCTTTAACGTCTGGGTTCGCCATGAGAGTAGAAATCCCAAAATCACGATCATGCAATGGATCACGGATTGCTTTGAATTATGACGACGGCGATCACAGATTCGTTACGCTGAGGAATTTTGAATTTGGGAGAGAGACGTGAAGGAAACGAGTGCAGTGATGAGAGTGAGTTATAAAGTTTATGCTTATCCCATCGGATTTGATTACTTTATTAGTAAATTTACTAAAACGGCCCCTAAAGTTATAACTATTTTCAGGCGGGTCCCTGTTCTTCTCCTTGAATCTGCTTTAAGGTTTTTTTTTTGTGTAGAATCAATCAATGGACTTGTTGTTTGCGGGAATCGTAGCAATGGAGGAGGATTGGGGAGAGAGGGTATCAGAGAAGGTTGTTTCGGCTTACATGTCTCTCCCGAAAAAGGGAAAACCTCAGGGACGTGAAGTCACCGTCCTCTCCGCTTTCCTTGTCTCTTCTCCTTCCCAAGGTCTCTCTCTCTCTTCTCATTCTTTTGCTTTATTTTTTGGTTTCCGATTTTTGAGCTAATTAGGGTTTGTGTGCAGACTTGAAAGTGATAGCGTTAGGGACGGGGACCAAGTGCGTTAGTCGGTCGCTGCTGAGTCCCCGCGGGGACATTGTTAACGATTCTCATGCCGAAGTTGTCGCCAGAAGAGCTCTCATCAGGTTCTTCTATTCCGAGATTCAGGGGATGCAATTGACTTCAGATAAGAGTAGTGAAGCCAAGCGTCAGAGACTTGATTGCGAAACAAGCTCAGTACTAGAGTCAGCAGATTCAAGCTGTCCTGGAGAAGTGAAATATAAGCTCAAATCTGGCTGCCACTTGCATATGTACATTTCTCAATTGCCATGTAATTTACCTTTAATTCGTTTTTCTTCTCTCTTTTTTTGGCTTCAAAAATATCTTTAATACTGTCATTGACATGTTTGTCATATGTAGGTGGTTATGCTTCTACTAGTTCACCCTTCTATGCCCTGAAAAAGATTCCATCAACACAAGTAGACGACTCATTTTTAGTTCAAGCTTCTGACATTGGCTCGTCTCGGCATTCTGATGTTCCACAGATAGGTAGTAATAGCCACACAGGTATTGAAGTCTCCTGCCTGATTGTTTGTTGCAAGAATGTTCTCTTCCTGTTATCTACCATATGAAGGATAGCAGATTAGACTGATGTTGGTATCAATTTACTTTGGATGTCTCCATTTCAGGTAATGGCTCACAAGTAGCAGATATGGTGCAAAGAAAGCCTGGTCGTGGTGAAACGACACTCTCTGTTAGCTGTTCAGATAAGATAGCTCGATGGAATGTTCTTGGAGTTCAAGGTTTCTATACCTGAATTTTTGACACAGAATTTGTTGTGTTATTTAAGATTTGCGTATGGGAATTTATCTCTCTTTGCGTGTTCTTACTTCAGGGGCATTGCTTTGCCAAGTCCTCCAGCCTGTTTATATCTCTACCATCACCGTTGGACAATCTCTGCACATTCCTGGCAATTTTTCTTTAGCTGATCACTTGCGAAGATCTTTGTATGAGAGGATCCTCCCACTATCGGATGACCTTCTGACTTCCTTCCGGTTGAACAAGGTTTATTAGCTGCTTTATACCAAATGTATCATGTAAATTGTAGTAGTTACTTGTATATATCGTGCTAATTCCTTTCCAGCCACTGTTTTTTGTAGCTCCAGTAATACCATCAGAATTTCAGCATTCAGAAACTGCTCAAGCTACCTTAACATGCGGGTTAGTTTTCAATGCTCGTAACTCTTCATCACATGACATATGTGTCCTTTCTTTGTTTCTGACAAGGTGGTGATTTATTTGTTGTCTCTTAGGTATTCCTTGTGTTGGAACTATTCTGGCTTACACGAAGTTATTCTTGGAACAACAGGTAGAAAGCAAGGCACATCAGCTAAAGGAGCTCTGTATCCGTCTACTCAATCATCTATATGCAAGTAAGGAGATGAGCCTTGCTATCCAAGCATGACCTTACTTACTTGTAGTTGATATCGTAGTCATATCTTTTCCTAGACAGCGGTTACTGGAGCTATTCTTGAAAGAAACTCATGGACACGAAAGGGAATCTTCCAAGTCAAAAAAATCGTACCGAGAACTGAAGGTGCGTGTGATGCTGATTCTTTTATGCTGCTTCATTTTGGGTTAACATACTCCCACTGGCACAACTAACATGCTAAAGTGTATGAATCTAATAGTGAGTTTTTGACATGTATGCTGCAAGATTGTGATATTGTTCTCTGGTTAATTCTGAGATGATTAACGTTTTTTTTGTTTTAATTGTATGCAGAACAAAGCTACGGAATATTCTTTGATGTCAAGGATTTTTAAAGGAAAGTATCCATTCAACAATTGGCTAAGAAAACCCTTGAATTACGAGGATTTTCTGATAAATTAGACGTGGGGTATGTCATTCTATTTACTCTCTGTTTTAGCCTATTTTCTTTGCATCATTAGTTCATTAGCGTCAACACAAGTTGCTTGATATTACCTTGAATCACAGAAAATACAAATAGCAAAGAAGTGAAACGAAAAATACCCAAGAAAACGAAAGCAGAAAATATGAATTTTGACTGAAACGAATTAAGATGCGGTAAGTCCCATTCAGAGATTGACTCGTCCCTTGATGATGTCGAGGCTCATCTCGCTAGGATCTGTTGCTTGCAATTCAACTTGAATCCCATCCAATTCCCTCTTGAACCTGTCCTTTGAGCTTGCATACAACATCTTACTTCTCACTCTTGATGTATCAGGTGACCTGAAGCAAGTCGATGTCTCAATTATAACATCTACTTTTTCAAATCATTAAAAATACAAGGGAAAGGAGTTGTACCATGCGATGAAAAAGATTTTGCTCTTCTGGCAGTTCTCAGGAGTGGTGAAATCAAAGTCATAGACAGCATATCGGCACTCATCCTCGGGAATAGATCTGGTGAAATCGTCGTAAGTTTCTTCTGGATTCCCAAGCTTGTCAATCATAACTTGCTGAGCCTTCTCATCAATTTTGAACACAATGAACCTATAGTTCCTCTTTGCTTTCAACTCCAAGAACTTGAGCTTGCAGTCATCGCTAACGTGCATCCCAGACGCTGAATTAGCCTGCACAATCAAACACATGCATAGTCAGTTTGATTATATGATCACAATACATTATATGAATTGCAATACCAGATTGATAAAATGAAAGGTAGGAACATACCATTGTTCTCTGCTTGAAATTGGGGCTTGATGATCTGGAAGTAGAGAAGGTAGGGGGTTTTAGAGGGTGGGAAGAAGAATAGACAAGTAGGTTTGGTTGGATCGTTAGGCTGGTCACGTCTTAAAACCAAGAAGACTTTGATGCTGTCACGTTGTTGCCATATTTACTTCATTAGATATATTAGAGGGAGTCTATATAATATTCACGCATTCGCATAATACACATGTATCTATGTGTGTATGCAAGCACATGTGGTGAAGTTTGTTCCGGACATCATTGGGGAGTTGAGGTTTCATGATGTGCATGTTTTCTTTCTTTTTATTATTATTTTTGACTTTTTCTTTCCTCACAATTGGTCGTTGACTTTGCTAATTTATTGTATGGGTGCGGATTTAATTAGAATTTAGTAGGAAAAACCGAAAAACAATAATTAGCCTTTCAATTTCGTCATTTTTCTTAAACGGCATTATGAGAAATTACGGACATTGATTATCATATTATCAAATAATGGATTTGGCCAAAATAAGCTACTAATAAAATCATCTAAAACGTTTTATATTATTTTGGTTTATCGAGGACAAAAAAAGAAAGAAAAAAAGTTATGTTGGTCAATGAGGGAAGCCCATGGGCTTATCCCACGAAAAGACAGACCCACTTGCTTACATTTAATTTAAACCCCCAATGTTTTTGTACGTGATCAATCAATGAACTGAATTTAATTGAGAAAATTTGTGGCGGCTTAGATTTCTTTGTGGCCTTCTCCAACCATAATAATTAATTATTTATAGACTTGTCGGTATACTATTTGTCTATCGACACTTCCCGGTCTGCTTTGGTTACTTCAACGTATCCTTTTCTTCTCGAGTGTTTTTTTTATTACCTCTTATTAAATCGAGAATGTTATACATGGAACTTCGTGGATTTAGAACCGTAGCTACTCGCTAATGCAAGAAGTAAGGATCCCATCGATACGAAAACCAGCAAGTGTGTATCGAGATAAAAAAAAGGTTTCTGCTTTTAGTTCAGTTGTGTTTCGCTTCTTTCTTTCATCTGAACCAAATTAGTGCTGGTCTCACTGTCACTAGCCGAGTTGGCTCACCAGAATGGTAGTGAGTTGACAAGGTACGACCTGTTTCTGTACCAGATCCTGTCATTTTCAGTTTTGATCTCTGATTGATATCTCTCTGTATGTAATAAGATTGAGAAATTTCTCCTTGTTTCCAGACATTACCTCAGTTGCCTTATAATTGAAAGAATCCATGGGAGGTCAAAGCTCAAAGATTGGTACATGTTGTTGGCATTCATCACACAAGACTGCTGCTCTTGAAGCTCCAGATGTTGGTGACGTCTCTGTTTTTCTCTCTTGCTAGAACGACAAGCCCTCTTTTGGCTGATCCCGTAATCCCTTTTGTACAATATTACAGAAAACAAAGAGAATGGTGAGGTAACTGGTGTACTGTCTTTTCGTGGATACACACTAGAACAGCTTAAGATCGCCACCTCTGGTTTTGCTTTGGAGAATATTGTGTCTGAACATGGAAAAACAGCTCCAAATGTTGTCTATCAAGGGAAACTGGAGAATCATATGAAGATTGCTATCAAGCGCTTTTCTGGAACTGCCTGGCCTGATCCACGCCAATTCCTGGTATGACATGCATCTTTCAGTTCATCTAATTGACAGTTCTCATATCTCTTTAACTTTGGATATGCCTGTTTCCAGGAAGAAGCAAGATCGGTTGGTCAGCTACGCAGCAAAAGAATTGCCAGTTTACTCGGTTATTGCTGTGAAGGCGGCGAGAGGTTACTTGTGGCTGAGTTTATGCCTAATGAGACACTAGCCAAACACCTTTTCCACTGTAAACAGAAAATGCCTCTGATCAATTGTCTTTTGATGCTCTTTTAAGATTTTGTCTTAGTATTTGCATACCACTTTTTTATCTACCAGGGGAAACACAGCCAATGAAATGGGCGATGCGACTAAGGGTTGTCTTATACATTTCGGAAGCTCTTGAATACTGTAGTAACAATGGACGCACGCTATATCATGACCTCAATGCTTACAGAGTTTTATTTGACGAGGTAATTACTTAAACTTAACTCTTCTCTGAGAAACCATGTTTTGTTTTATGTGATATTCCTCCACTGATGCGTGTATGGATCTTTATAAGGAATGCAATCCAAAACTTTCAACATTTGGGTTGATGAAGAATAGTCGGGATGGGAAAAGTTATAGCACAAATCTTGCTTTTACCCCACCTGAGTGTCTACGAACTGGTGAAATTGATTTGCACCCTTCTCATAAGTCATATTATTTCCAACAATTTGTGCGACTTGAGACTTAAGTGTGTGTTGTGTTGATACAGGGAGAATCACAGCAGAGAGTGTGATTTACAGTTTTGGCACCCTTCTGCTTGATCTTCTCACCGGAAAGCATATTCCTCCTAGCCATGTAAGTAAGTGTCTTGGTAGCTACATTAATCGTTTCTTGAATTCTCTTTACTGCTTATTTCAGCCTTTTGCTGTGTGTTTAGGCCCTTGATTTGATTCAAGACAGAAATCTTCAGAGTATAACCGATTCCTGCTTGGAGGGACAATTTTCAGACAGTGATGGTAGGGAATTAGTACGCCTGGCATCTCGTTGTCTTCAGTATGAAGCTCGTGAGCGACCAAACATAAAATCTTTGGTCACTGCGCTGATATCTCTCCAGAAAGACACAGAGGTTCTGTCTCATGTTCTAATGGGTCTGCCTCAAACTGGTACTTTTGCGTCACCTCCATCTCCTTTTGCTGAGTCTTGCTCGAGAAAAGACCTGACCGCTATGGTTGAGATCTTGGAAAAAATTGGTTACAAAGACGATGAAGATGTAAGTCGTCAGTTTTTACGGTTAGATCAGCTGTTAAACCACTTTAAAGTTTCCCATCCCATAAGGCCTCTTCATGGTTTTACGTGACATGTTTAAACGCAGCTTTCGTTTCTGTGGACGGAGCAGATGCAAGAAGCTATAAACTCGAAGAAAAATGGCGATATTGCATTTAGACGAAAAGACTTTAGTGAAGCCATTGACTTTTACACGCAGGTCTGTCTTTCTTTCGCAATTGAATCGGTAACAAGACCTTCCTCCTTTAGTTGACGATGCCCTGTCTATAAAAAATGTCCCAGTTTCTTGATTTGGGAATGATCTCTGCAACAGTCTTTGTGAGGCGAAGTCTGAGTTACCTAATGAGTAACATGGCGAAAGAAGCTTTAGATGATGCAATGAAGGCTCAAGGCATTTCTCCTGTTTGGTATGTTGCACTGTATCTCCAGTCTGCTGCTCTTTCTGTCCTGGGAATGGAGAAGGAATCTCAAACCGCACTTACCGAAGGATCCATCCTTGAAGCCAGAAAGATTTCAGCTTCCACACAGAACTAAAGACTTATTTTTTTTTGGGTTTTGGCAAAAGATGAAGAAGCTTTGGTTATATTATGTGTAACAATCCAAAGGTAATGTGTTGTCTCATTGGATGCAAAAGAAGGTTTAGATGTTAAGCATTGTGTACAAATTAAGGCTTCATCAGTAGAAGCTAATCCATGGTTTCAGTTGATACACATATAATAAGGCAATTGGGGATGTACGGACACCAAAGTGAATATTATACAAACGCCACTAACAAAGCTTAGAATGTGTCGTGCAACTCAACCGCTGCCTCCACTTGGATAATTGGGTGAGAGCTTCTGTATTCTTCCTTTGACATTCCAGAATAAACAGGTTCAGTGCCTGGCCCTCCAGAGGTTATGAAGTTCCAGCCAAATGCAGACCCTCCAACCACCTTGTCGCCATCTCCATCAGAATTCACATAGCTTGTTTCAGATGATCTCAATACACTAGTAGTAGTACTCTGAGGTGTTTGATGAATGGCCTTTCCGTTGGATAAAGACTCGCTCTTAGCTGTTTTCTCACGTTTGGGAGATTCTCCGATCATCTCTTGGTACAGTTGAAGCATAAGCTTCATCTCTGCAGACAGCATAATTCCAAGGGATATCAAACAAGTTGGGACTTTTGAGAGTTTGTTGAGATAAGTGAAAATTGAGATAAGAAAAGAAATGAGTGTCAGAGCTCTCACTCTCTTGAATCTCGATAGCTGCCTTGGAGTTGCTGAAATCTGGAGTTCGTAAAACCTGTAACAGCACAAATCCAAGTTGTTATGTTTACTTTCCCAGACAATAGAGTTTCCATCACAATTTTGGGCCAACCTCGAGAACGTGAGGGCGAAGATCTTTGACAAGGAGACGCATCTTGTAGTAGTTGGAGCTCTCGATCTGAAGATTCGCTTCCAGCGCTCGCTTTCTTCCCCTGGACGACGGATCTGTGGTAACTGTCGACGGAGGCGCAGTCATCTGAGCTGGCGAAGGTAACTCAGCTGATCTCTGATCTGCAGATGTAGGAAGCGGAGGAGCTTGTGCTGGAAGAGATGAAGTAGGAGGAGGTTCGGTGACTTGAGTCGCCGGCGAGGTCGATTTCTCCATTTTCAATTTTTCAAAGGTTTTTCAACCGCCGAAAGAGATCTCCATACCATAAATCAACAGCGCAGCGAGTAGGATCTCAAAACGACGCCGTGAAGACTTTATGAGATGTTTGGGCCTTTCTAGGCCCATATTTGAAGTGGATGAAAAACGGCAGGAAATCGGAATGTGTGTCGTTTTTACCAATTAAAAAAAAAAGACGTATAACACCGGAATTGTTCTTTCTGGGAACAGCAAGAGAGAGCGATGAATCCCCAAATAGAAAAGGTGGTGAGGGTAACGAGTGTGGTGGCCACTGCTGTTGTATCCTACTTCCTCTTAACCGCTGATTACGGTCCCGAGCCCAACGCTCTCGATCCTGTGAGTTCCGATTTCTTCCTCTCTCTTTTTTCTTTTTTTTTAATCAAAGCTTCTCGATCATCATCGCTTGTAGTCAGATGACCGATATTTGCTACAATCCACTTGGTTTCAATTGATATTGGTTAGATCCCTTGATTAGTTGTTGTTACTTGCTAGGATTGAATTTTGATCTTAGAAAACTTTGAATGAGATATGAATGTTCCTGATCTCTATGCTCAGCTTGTTGGTTAAGCTTGAAGATTACTTGAACCGGAAGCAACTAAACCGAGTTATGGTTTAGAGAAGATAAAGTCAAATATATTAGGAGTTATCTAATATATGTGTAATCCTAGAGAGATTAGGATTTGAGAGACTTGTATAAATAGAGAGGTTGAGTCATGACCTAATTTGTGAGAGAGTTTAAGTTTTGAGAGATTTTCTTAAACTAATAAAGGCTATTGAGTTTGTGAGTTAAACACTTTCTTTTGTTAATCGTAAGAGTTTGATCATCAAATATTGTATTCAATATTTGGTATCAGAGCTCTTTGCGATCATGGGAGAGATCACGGAAAGAGCACAAGCGGAGGTGGCCAAGATAAGTGAAGGAGGAGGCTCGTCGACGATAAAGTGCCCCATGCTTAACATGACCAACTACACCGTTTGGGCAATGAGAATGAAACTTCTACTCAGGGTACACAAGGTCTGGGAAGTGATTGAAACACCATCAAACGATGAAGAGAAAAACGTGATGGCCATGGCTTTAATGTTTCAATCTATTCCCGAGACTCTTACCTTGCAGATAGGAGAAAATAACACTGCAAAGAAGGTATGGGATGCGATAAGAACGAGACATGTAGGTGCTGAGAGGGTTAAGGAAGCAAGGTTACAAACGTTGATGGCTGATTTCGATCGTTTGAAGATGAAGGACACGGAGAAAATCGATGACTTCGCCGACAAGTTATCAGAAATCGCTTCGAAATCGTCGGCTTTAGGAGAAGAGATTGAAGGACCTAAACTTGTCAAGAAGTTCCTTAAAAGTCTCCCTAGGAAGAAGTATATTCATATTGTTGCTGCACTTGAACAAGTTTTGGATCTCAAAACCACAAGTTTTGAAGACATCGTAGGCCGATTGAAAACCTATGAAGACCGTGTGTGTGATGAAGAAGAAGATCAAGAGGATCAAAGCAAGCTGATGTATTCAAACACGGAATCTCAATACAACAAAGAATCTAATGGTGAGTATAGAGGCAGAGGTCGTGGAGGACGCTTCTATAGAGGAAGAGGCAGAGGACGTTTTGGCGGAGGAAGAGACACTTCAAGTGTTGTTTGCTACCGGTGTGACAAAACTGGTCACTTTGCAAGCAGTTGTCCGGATCGTCTTCTAAAGCTTCAAGAAGTTCAAGAGCAAGACAACAAGAGCACAACAGAGGCAGATGAACTCATGATACACGAGGTAGTGTATTTAAACGAAGGAAAAATTGTACCAAACAAATACGAAACAAATTCAGGGGGAGAGAATGTATGGTACCTTGACAACGGCGCTAGTAACCATATGACCGGAGATAGGCGATATTTCACAAGCTTAGATTCAACCATCACCGGGAAAGTTAGGTTCGGCGATGACTCCCGGATAGATATTAAGGGGAAAGGATCCATAGAATTCATAGACAGAAACGGTGAGCTAAGAAAGATGGTTGATGTTTACTTCATTCCTGGACTAAAGAGTAACATTATCAGCCTAGGACAGGCCACCGAATCTGGTTGTGATGTGAGATTGAAAGGGGAAAAGCTAACAATGCACGATAGCGAGGGGAAGTTACTTGTCAAGGCAGTAATATCAAGAAATCGTCTTTATAAAGTGGATATGGGGATCAAAGATACAATGTGTCTCCATTCAAGAACTCAAATAGATTCTGAGAGATGGCATGCAAGGCTAGGGCATATCAATCTTGAAACAATGAAAACAATGGTAAGGAGAGAACTTGTAACTGGGATTTCACACGTTGACTTTGAGAAGAAAATTTGCGGCTCATGTTTGCTTGGAAAGCAAACAAGACAAGTATTTCCACAAGCTACAATGTACCGAGCTACCAAAGCACTTGAGTTGATCCACGGAGATCTCTGCGGACCGATTACACCAAACACTGCGGCTGGAAATAAATTTGTTTTCGTGCTCATTGATGACTATTCTAGATATATGTGGACTGTGTTGCTGAAAGAGAAGAGTGAGACTTTTGGAAAATTCAAGAAATTCAAGTCCATAGTTGAACAAGAAACAGGGGAAAAGGTTCAAACCTTTAGGACTGACAGAGGAGGTGAGTTTGTGTCCAAAGAGTTTAATGATTTTTGTCTAGAATCAGGAATAAGAAGGCATCTTACAGCTCCATACACTCCCCAACAAAACGGAGTTGTTGAAAGACGCAACAGGACTCTTATGGAAATGACTCGAAGCATTTTAAAGCACATGAAAGTTCCAAACTGGCTTTGGGGAGAAGCAGTGAGGCACTCAACATATCTCTTAAACCGTATAGCTACAAGGTCACTTAAGGACAAAACTCCATATGAGATGTTACGAGGAAAAGTTCCAAATGTTAATCACCTTAGAGTCTTCGGGTGCATTGGATATGCTAAAACAGAGATGCCACACTTGAAGAAGTTAGACGACAGGTCTCGTGTTTTAGTTCACCTAGGCACGGAGCCTGGTTCAAAGGCATATCGCTTGTATGACCCGAGAAATAGAAGGGCGGTGGTAAGTCGTGATGTTGTTTTTGATGAAACAACAGGCTGGAACTGGAATAAAGTTACTACAGAGAATGATGCTGTCGGAAATCTCAGAATTGAGTTTGGAGTTTTTGGAAATCATGGTATCTTCGAAACAGAGCACAGTGAAGAAACAGAGCAACGAGGAGAAGTTGGAGATAATGTCGTCACCGGAACAGAGGAAATCGTGTCTGCGGGTGAAGAGAACAATGGAGAATCATCGGAGGAAGATGAAAACATTGATACTAATGAGCAAACAGCTCAAACTGCTACGGGAAGAGTGGTGACTAAATCGGGGAGAATAGTCACAAGACCTAAGTATCTCCAAGAATATGTACTGCTAAGTGAAGAAGAAGGAGAACGATTGTTAATATGTTTGATTGAGGAACCATGGAGCTTTCTGATGCAAGGAGTGAAAGAGTGGATGGATGCGTGTAAGATGAGATCACTCAATAGAAAAGAATCACACTTGGGATCTTGTGACACCACCACAAGAAGCAAAACCGATAGGCTTAAAGTGGGTCTTCAAGCTCAAAAGGAATTCTGATGGTAGCATAAGCAAACACAAGGCCAGGCTCGTTGCAAAGGGATACGTACAAAGACATGGAATTGACTTTGAGGATGTGTTTGCTCCGGTAGCACGAATTGAAACAATTCGTCTTCTCATAAGCCTCGCAGCATCAAGTGGATGGGAGATCCACCACCTTGATGTCAAAACTGCATTCCTTCATGGGGAGTTGAAAGAAATAGTATATGTCATGCAACCAGAAGGCTTTGTAGTAAAAGGACAAGAGGACAAGATTTACAGACTTAATAAGGCTTTGTATGGGCTAAGGCAGGCGCCAAGAGCATGGAATGAGAAGTTAAACCGAGTCCTTAATGAGCTTCAATTCAAGAAATGCACCAAAGAACCATCGGTTTATAGGAAACAGGTAGATCAACATACTCTTCTTGTTGCAGTTTATGTTGATGATCTTTTTGTATCGGGAACAATTGTGAAGTTCATTGAGGAGTTTAAGAAAGAAATGGCGTCAAAATTTGAGATGAGTGACCTTGGCAAACTGACCTACTACCTTGGGATTGAAGTTTGTCAACTTGGAGAAGGAATAACTCTAAATCAAAAACGCTATGCATTGAAGATACTAGAAGAAGCAGGAATGGCAGAATGCAACCCGGTTCATACACCAATGGAAGCAGGCTTGAAGTTGTCTAAGGCTTTGGAAGAGAAAGACATTGATGCTACAACCTATAGGAAGAATATAGGATGTCTTCGTTACTTGCTACACACAAGACCAGACTTGTCTTATTGTGTAGGTGTGCTAAGCCGGTATATGCAAAGTCCAAAGGAGTCACACGGAGTAGCATTGAAACAATGCTTGAGGTATTTAAAGGGGACAACAACTCTTGGCTTAGTGTTTAACCGGACTAAGGAGGTATCGAAGCTAATAGGTTACAGTGATAGTAGCCACAACATTGATCCAGATGACGGAAGAAGCACTATGGGACATGTGTTCTACTTTGGGAAGAGTCCAATATCGTGGTGCTCACAGAAACAAGAAGTTGTAGCAATGTCATCATGCGAGGCAGAATTCATGGCCGGAACAGAAGCTGCGAAACAAGCCATTTGGCTTCAAGATCTACTAAGTGAAATCACCGGATCATCTTGTGAGAAGGTTACTATACTTATTGACAATCAATCAGCGATCGCACTCACAAAGAACCCTGTTTTCCATGGTAGAAGCAAGCATATTCATAGACGTTATCACTTCATAAGAGAATGCGTTGAGAATGGGCTAATTGAAGTTGTACATGTTCCGGGAGACGAGCAAAAGGCGGACATATTAACCAAGGCACTTGGTAGGATCAAGTTCAAGGAAATGAGGAGTCTCATTGGAGTTAAAGATATGGTACAAGATGGATTCAAGCTTAAGAGGGAGAATGTTGGTTAAGCTTGAAGATTACTTGAACCGGAAGCAACTAAACCGAGTTATGGTTTAGAGAAGATAAAGTCAAATATATTAGGAGTTATCTAATATATGTGTAATCCTAGAGAGATTAGGATTTGAGAGACTTGTATAAATAGAGAGGTTGAGTCATGACCTAATTTGTGAGAGAGTTTAAGTTTTGAGAGATTTTCTTAAAGTAATAAAGGCTATTGAGTTTGTGAGTTAAACACTTTCTTTTGTTAATCGTAAGAGTTTGATCATCAAATATTGTATTCAATACAGCTTTCTTGCGTTTGCCTGGAGTAGTGACTACTGACTACTTTGTTTTTTTTTGCTCAGTGTTTAGTCTGTTGTTACTATCTCTATGTTGAAAGTACTGAATGCTCATTTTCTCTTAAACAGCAAATCTATTGCTTATGGTTCGTGGGGTTATTATGATGTAGCCAATTGACTCTTTGAGTCTTACTTGTATATGACATTTTGCATATGCAGATCAGACAGAGGATACTTTCAGCGCAGGATTCCGTGAAAGAGCTCATCTTTCCATCAAAGAAATCCGACAAGTGAAGTCACATGTAGCTCAACATCATACTTCATCTTTCAGCATCTCGTTTTTCTCTGGCTATAAAACTTGTATCCATTACTCTTCTAGACTTGTTAGATATGTTCACAACTATTGTAAGTCAGATCAACTGTAGATTATATTATCTTTCGTTAAACCAAAACCAATTATAGCTTTTTTGTTCTTATGAAAGCTGGATTTGTTATGCTACATACCATCCGTACGCTTAATAAATATATTGATCAACAAAATCTCGTCGACTTAAGTAGACAGAAAATATTATTAAATTGATTGCGGCAGAAATAAATATTCGCTTTTGACTTTTATGCCCGTTAAAGGGTAATCACAAAGCACAAGTGGAGTTTTTTCTACCTAACACAGTAATACACTGATACATCCAACGACCACCATCCGATTAGAGAGATTATCTGAAATCGGAAGGTCTATAAAAAAGACGAACACTGTCTCCAAATCTAATGGCCGAGTCGGCACACTCATTGACCATATAAAACGGTCTCGTGTTGCCATAAACGCAAAAACGAGCGTTTTGCGTTGCGTTTCGGCGGCAGGAAAGGAATCCCCCCCCCCCCCCTAGTAAGGCTTCTGCATGTACATGAACATATCCTGTAGCGGAAACATCTGATTACTACTCCCTCCTCCAAACGCGTTATCCACGGTGGCATCAATGTAATTAAACCCAAAATCAAGGGTGTTATTGTCATTACTTACAGCCGACCAATCCTTCCACTTGGGCTCGCTCTGAACCTCGCTCGTGAACTCCGGGGACACCACCTGCTCCGAGCAGCTCGAATCCGTCGTATGCAGCTTCGGCACCGAATCCGACGTGTCGAAATACACGAACTCGCTCGCCGTCGCCGTCGCCGTCGCCGCCGCCTGTTGCTGCGGCGGAGGCATAACCATCTCCGTCACCTTCGGCTTCTCCTCCATGATTTCATCGCTGTAAACAGCCGGAGGCGGTGGTCCACGCCTCTCGGTAGCTCCTTTTTTGTTGTAAATCCGGCAAAGAACCCAATCGTCCAGCTGGGGAAAATCAACACCGTCGGATCAATTATCCAAACAAACAAAAGATTGAAACAAAGATGTGAATTAGATCTCTGATTCCATACCCTGAGACTATTCTTCTTCTTGCGAACCGACCGGTCAACGTCGGCGAGACGGTACTCGTGCATGATCCAATTGGTTTTCTCTCCTTTTGGAGCTTTTCCGGCGTAGAAAACAAGAGCTTTCTTAATTCCGACCGGTTTAGGAAGTCCGATCGGTTTATCAGCTCCGGTAGCTTTCCAGTAACCAGAACCAGCAGACCGGTTAGGACGCGAACCGTTGGGATATTTTCTGTCTCTGGGAGAGAAGAAGTACCATTCCTTGTCACCATACAAGGCTAAACCTGTGATTTACACGAGAATTGATTTGAGTTAGCAGAAAATCTCAGATTTAGAATCCGAGAAAGATTAGAGAGAGTTAGTAAATTACCAGGAAGCTCCCATGGATCGTACTTGTAGAGATCGATCTCAGCGATGATAGGAACAGCGATGGACTGAGAAGCACATTTGCGGCAGAGATAGTGCATGACAAGCTCTTCATCGGTAGGGTGGAATCGGAATCCTGGAGGCAACTGTAATAATTCTGACATAACTAATTTACCCTCTCTTTTTTTTTTTTTATTGCTATTATTATTACTAAGAATGGGGGAGATTAGGAGGTTGTTGGGATGATCCTGATCCTATCCTAATCTTGAAGTATCTACCTCTGAAACTTGGCGTTTTTGAAACTTGGAAAGAAAGAGAGAAAAGTCAAATATATAAGGAGAGGGAGAGGACACGTGTCGAGATGCAGGGGATAATAGAGAGAGCTTCTAGAACACACGTGGGTGGATGACGCTGCCGGGACACGTTTCGCAAGGAGAACTCAGTTGCTGACGTGGCGATGAGTTTGATGTTGTCACTGCTTACGTCTGTCGTTTCCGGGGGTCCACTCACTTGCCGTTAGAATCCAAATCCGACCGGTCCGATACGACCGAACCCCTGGGGTCTATCTTACTATGGATTCTTCGTTTCCGGTCGGTGGATCTCTGGTCCCACTTCCTAGTTCCTCCGTTTATAATTTTTTTGTCTTTTTGCAAAAGGTTCATATCATTTCAAAATCCCACTATTAAACGGTGATAAGGTTTATCTCTAGTAGCCTCCACCATTTTCGACGGTGTTTATCATATTTTTAGGTTTTGCAAAAAAACAGCTTACATCAATTGGTTTTATTATGGTTCTAAAAAAAGCTTATATCAATTGGAAAGTTGTTGTTGAGCTTTAAAAAAAAAAAAAAAAAAAGTTTCTTAAGCTTGAATTTGGGTGTTCTTGACAATTATGCAACTTCTTACATATAGATTCTAAATGCGAGGGATGTTGGTTGATACTAATATAGTATAAAGAAATACTAGCCATATCTTCTATGCATAATGCATTAGCTTTGTTTGAGTGGTAAAGCCAATATGGAGAACTAGAAACTGATTGGTTAGTTAGCTTTTCGTCTTGTGAAAGCCGGGTGTATAGTAGTAGTTCCATTGAAAGAATTGGATTTGTCGATTCTCTCTTTACCCTCTCGCATTCTCTCTACAACTAGAGGCACTGTGGCAATGTTCTCGTACACTCTTTCTTTGAGCTGAATAAAGTTATCTCGAGACTCTTGCTCTATTCCTCCTAGACGTGCTCCATCTCTTGAGAGTACAAGTTCTTCCCAGTCTGCAAGGAACAAAATAGTTGATGAGTTGATGAGAGTGGAGACTTGAGTATATTACAATGCTATGAAACCTTATCATAGTGTCAGTCTCTTAAGAACCTTATGTGTCCACTTATCTCGTGGTAGCTGTAAACAAAACAATCATTTTCTCTCTGCTTAGCTAAACCTATCATCATCACATAGTCTCAAGCTTGTAGATTCTTAGCCACAAATACATGATTTATGACCAGACTATATATCATTATTTTTTTGTTAAAAGCAGACCCTCATTTTATTTAATGAAAAAGATATGTATCATCACCTCAGAATTAAGCGTAGTAAGTCATGAACATAATCCCACTACTCATCCAGAAGGTATAGTAAGCTAATATCACAATATTCTACACGCATGGCATGAGACTAACCTTCCATCTTCAAAAAGAAGTAAATGCAAAATATGACATCAGAATCAAAAGGCAAGTCTGCTGCTAAACACACTAATAATGCAGAACCTATTGCAACATCTTAAAAAAGAGACTAAAATTCCAGCTGAAACCAAACGACAAGGTATCTAACTAAATATATATATATATATATATATATATATATATATATATATATATATATATATATATATATATATATATATATATATATATATATATATGACGAACCAGTGGTAGTTGTGCGGAAGAGCAAAGAATCAGACCCGGAACTGATGTTGGGAAAATTGGATCTATGAGAAGAAATCACAGTGTTGCTCAGATGACTCGGTAGGCTTTTCCTGTACTCGGAAACCTTGCGCGACATATGCTCCACCTCTGACTCCAGTTTCTCCAGATCTTCTTCAGAATCCAAGGAATTTCTGTCCGCGAAAGCCATGAGACTCTCTAGAATTTGTGCTCAGAGATACCCAAATTTTCTCCAACAGATAAAGGTGTACAGTAGACCCAGGGTTTTTCAAGACGAACAAAAGCGAGGAGACTCACAAATATAAACCGGCCGGATAAGCAGGTGACTGACCGGTTCCATCAAAGATATTCCCGCGGATCCAAATGGGTTGTACGAAATAGATCCAAACTATTTTGATACTTAGGCCCATAATGTTCTGGCCCACGAATCGAGCAAAAGCTGTTTTTGTGTGAAATATTAGAAAAAAAAATAACAGAGAGAATTTTTGGATAGAGGTGACAAGGCCGGAATCAAACAATGTACATACAGCGTGATTCATTGACATAATGAGTTTGTCTACTAAAATCTTTTATTTAGTACCAACCAGATTGGTTTTTGATCTTTTTTATTCGTCGCCTTGTACTCGTAATAATGTAACTTCTTATTAACTTACGGAGAGGGTGACAGCCATTCAGAGCTTCGACGTGACGGACGGTTTTGGAGGTCTAGCCTCTCTTAATAGGGCCTCTTGCGTTAATGATACAACCAGCTGTTTCTCATTTTCAAACACAAAAACACAAGGAATTCTTTTTATTATCTTGCTAACTTTTATCATCTATCATGTCCAAATATGTATAATCCGGGTTCATGTTTAAAGGACGCAAAAGATTAGAGAGAGTACCTCTCCTTTTCTGTTGAACATTTCACCAGTCACAAAACCACGGGTCTCATGCGCACTTGGACTCACAATCTGCAAGCAGCATTTTTGGTATTGCAAGTGGGTGAAGCTCTACCAGCAAACAAGTTTATAAACAATTCTATACCAAAATCATTTTGCTCATAAACAAGTTTAAGTCATTCTAGTATTGTGGTTAGTCTTCCCGTTGGTTATCTAAAGAAAAACCATATTCAATCCCTGTCAATGGTGACAACCTTTTCTTACTTAACAATAAAGTTTCTATGGGAAAGTTTTCTAAAAGGCAATTTAATTTAATTTTCATCTATTCTAAACAAACATTTGATGTATTTCATTAACAAACAGCTCTGAAATGTTCATAAGAAACAAGGATAGAAGAAACTACCACATAGAGCAACCAGTCATCGGCTCTTAGAGGTCGGTGAAACCACATCCTGCAAACCAAATGAGGAAAAGTGAGCAGTAATAGTTACTTATCTGGAAAGATCCTTGCTGGAATAACCTCTCAATGTAATTTAAAAAGTAACCCAAACACACAAAACTCATACGTCACCAAGAGAAAATAAAAAACCTACGCATGGTCCAGGCTAAGTGCAGCGGATCTCAGCCCTTTTCTGCGGTGAGGGTTCAAACCGACACCACAAAATATTAAATCCGAGGCAAATGCAACGACACATCTGCATATCAACATAGCTTGCAAAATGATTAGTTTGCTAAGAATGATAAATCGAATTACAGAATTAACAGTACACCAACAGTTTTTCAATGCTATTAAGAACGTTTGGCCTTTTAAGAGTCTCAAATCCATCAACTTGAGATACTAAAACACCATTATTCACTTGTCTCCAATCATTATCGCTTTTAAAAATTAAAGGGTTGTTACCAAATGAATAATATCAATTTTAGGTGGTTACCTTTATTGACATAGATGGGGTTACTTACCGGTGCAAAGCTTGGTCATCAGAAAGCCTTCCCTTTGCTCTAAACCAATAGTTCAATCTGCAAGAAGGCATTGTAAGGATAATTTTTTTTAAAAAGAAATACTTAGTGAGGTAAGTAATGATTTTCATGTGTAATCACATGAGCCATACAGTTTATCAGGTCTACTCGCCCTCCTGGTGGAATGTATGAGTATATAGATATACACTCAAGAGTACTCTATGATATAAACGATTTATTTAAGCGAGTTGTTAACCTCGGAGGAGACTTTGTCTGATTTGTTGAATTGCTGGGCTCACAAAATCGAATCTCTATAGGCCATGGAACAAAGTTTCTAGTTGCAACTTTGTTTCGATAACTCCTGAAAGAAAGAAACAATTAAAAGATTGGTCCAACTTGAGCTTTTGAAATAAGTTTTTATACTTTGGAAAACACTACCACTTACCTCGGTAAATGAGGATCAGTTATACGGCGTTCACGCAACTCCTCCAGTGATAGAAGCTGCAGCAGATAATGGTGAAATGGAAAACACTTACAATTTATTGGAACCATTAAATCTGGAGAAATGATTTACCGTATTAGGATCTGGTACAGAGGGCATGGTTGACTCCTGGTGATCAAATCCTTGTTGTTCTTTCTATGAAATTAACGAGGAAGAAATTAAAAAAAAAAAAACAATTTCCCCAGTTTTGTGAAAGGCTATTCTCTATTGGTGGCAGATGGACGTAGAGATTCATAAGCTATCTTGTAAGGAATAAAATGGGAAACCTGAAATGATGCCAACAAGATGAATATGATATTTCCTTTCTGTACTGCATCTACTCTTCGGGTGGCAAAGTTGTTCCCATCACGTATGCGGTGAACTTGATAAATAATGGGGACTGCAGGAGTAACAAACTATATACTTAGATGAATCTAACAGCAGGCTGGGTTTCAATAGGGGAGAAAAGCATTTTTTGGTGGCTGGCAAGAGCACAGTGAGATTATGTTCATACTATCAATATCTCCAACAAGAAGAAAATAGGAGTGTAAACTGTGGACTATCTTCAGAAAATCAACAGTTTTTGATGCCGCAGCAAGTGCCTGTAAAATGTTGGTAAAAGTGACTTAGTAGTGGTTACGGTTATCACTGTTAACAAGCTATATATATGCACATGAATCAGATCAGCAAGATTTATAGAGACATAATGTAACCTTCCTAGAGAAAATGCCATACCTGTCCGACAAATTGTCCTCCAAAAACCTTTCCAAATATGGGAGCATCAGGTAGTGTGATCCCCCTGAAGATATTCAACTACAAGAAAGAAGCACACAGAATAAGAGATCCACCGCAATTCATTTCCCAGCAGTACGAAAAAATGTGATAAACCTAGATGTAATACAAAGAAACTATTATAGATCTGTAGAAATGCTGACAACAACAATGCTTAGAATAAGTTGATTCTAGGGAATTGTATAAAAGGATAGTTTAAACAGAAAGCACAAAAACTGAGAAGAAGAGCAGTGGAATATCCGTACTTCTAAAGGATCGAGTTGCAATATGCGTTCCACTAAAGAGCATTTGTCAACTGACGTATCCGATTGCCAGATTGAATTTGTCTCAAGCAAATGACAATGATCACGGGGCAACACCAAACATGTAAGCTGCAATGACAAGTGGCGGAAGAAACTTTACACTCTTGTCGTTCGAATATATATCTCCAGCTCAAAAACACTGAAGCGATATACGAAAAAGTCAGGAAGAACCTGGGACATAGCAACAATGTCTGCAGAATGAACGTTCCCAGATAAACCTGTAGGAAGAAAAGAGATGGAAGCTGAGTATATGACCAAACCAAAGGTTGAGCGAAAACATTAACAGAAATCATTCATCTCACCAAGGCCGAAGTAATCATACTGTTTCAAGAGGAATTCGGAGCGGTTATCTTCTTCGTCTGGTCCGGAAACCTGAGCCTGCAAAACAAGAATCAAAGTAAAGCTTGATGGCGATAATAGATAAACCTAGTCTCAAAAAGGGGAAAGTAGAGAAACAAAACCTCTCCTTGCAAAATAAAATAACATCCATCCCAAGTTTGCTCTTCACGAACCACATAATCCCCTTTCCCTTCAATAATAGAGAACACAGCGAAATAGGGTTCTCAAAATCCAATAAAAAGAGCTCCATCGCGGGAATTCAAAGAGAAGAATAAAACCGAAATTGAGAATGGACCGACCGTAACGTTTCAGCACAACAACTTGAGCAATTTTCTTCAGAGAAGAGCTCGGTAATTTCTGGAGTAAAGGGACGTTTCCAAGGAACTCGACAACTACAAAAACAGAGCAACAACAACAACATGGAATTCGCCGAAAGTCTCACTACATAATTCCTCAATTTCAACGTTATAGGCTTACCTGAATCGGTGTTCATGGCGGACGGATTCTGTGAAATGGTTGGTTGGTGTAGAAGAAGAAGATGTGAGAAATATGTGATATTAATTCTCAGCTACCAGTTCCGGTTTAACGTGGACTCGATTCGATTTGATTTCTGTCACGTGTTAAAAAGAAAGAATATTTATGGTACTAATATTTAAAAATTTTAAGAAATGATGTAATTAAAGGTTGTGTAACATTTTTTAAACATAAAATATTTACTATAACATTTTTTAGGCCTCCCAAAAAATTAAGGGCTTGCGGTACCTGGATTGCCACTGATGAGTTGCCTCTGTCTTGTCCCTTGGATAAGTTTGCAATAGCTGAACATTTTGACAAAGCATTCCACTGATGATATGTATTATGCATCTAACCCTTGTTTGAAAAATTGCTAGGCGCTAGTCGGGCGCTCGGTATAGGCCTAGCGATTAATCGGAAAATCGGATTAAAATCGGGGATTAATCGGGGATTAGTTTTAGGGTTATTTTAATATTTTTAAAATATATTAATCCAATATTGTAAAAATTTATGATTTTTATTACAAATTTATGATTTTTATTAAAATTTGAACACAAGTTATTGTAAAACATCACAAACTCTCCGTTCAAATAATTGAATAACAAAAATAAAAAAAATTTTATACTTTCAATCTAAAAAGTAATCGGGGTATATAAGATTAGGCGGGAAGTAATCGGATTAGGCGGAGAATAATCGGGTTACTGATTTTTTAGGGGATTAGTCATTAATCGAGGCGGATAGGGTGGGCCTAGCGATTAAGCGGGGAGTAATCGGGGCTAGGCGGGGATTTTTAGAACAGGGCATCTAACGTATAATAAATGCTAAATTTACATTAAGATGTGAAAAGCATGTTGGATTTGTGGAATCGCTAACGATCACGGTTAAATGACGGGATCCAAAATCCGGTTAGTTTTCACAACGTAATGTTAATATAGTATTTTTAAAAACTTAAAAATGAAGAAAAAAATCAAAACAAAAAGTTTTTTTTTTAAAAGAGTTGAAAACTTTTGAAAAAAAAAAGTAAAAATAAATGCTAAATTTACATTAAGGGGGGTGTATTGAAACAATGATTTTAGAAAATTTTGGCTTTTTGTTAAAATCAGCTGTTATTCAATTAGTCATTTTACAATCTCTTCCCAAATTCTATGTTATTGAAACTGAAATTTATGTAAAATCATTCCAAATAATTCTAAATCTCTTGTTATTCAATTAAGAATTTATAAAAATCATATCAAATCCACTGTTATTCAAACTTTACAAATTTTTTTTAAGAAAATACTAAAAACTGATTTGGAGAGACTTTAGCTACCTTTTTAGTTCAAAAATAAGAAGAAAACAAATACCACCTCTAGAGGTGGTATTTGATTAAAAAAACACATGGCTAATAATTTCGTTATCAATTAGGGTTTGGAGATTTTGATCCCAATTCAAATGTTTTTATGTATGTGTTAATTAGCGTCAATAGCTTTGCCCGTGACTCGAGGAGAGTTACGGAGAATTCGTCATATCAAGATTTTAGTCATGAGTGCACCAACGAGTCCGTACATGAGTCATGTACCTAGTCCACGAAGGAAAAATATGGCTGAGTCTCATCACTATTATATTGGTTTAGTTTCTGAGAAGATTTTATCGGTTTTGACCTTTGTGCTTGGTGGTTCGTCTATAGATTCACGTTGGTAAGCTTCTTTATACTCGTTTTCTTATTTCCATTCATTTGAAATTAACTGAAATTTTGGTTTCATGTTGAGGAATGTGTGGGTTGTATACAGATTGCGGATCAAGGCTTTCAAAGGAAAAACTTCATCTCGTAGTTATAGACACTTTAAAAGTGTCTATCTCGTATTCATTTAAAAGTGTTCATCTCGTAGTTATAGACACTTTTAAGATGATCATTTCTTAATCCACACACACACTGTCACGAAGTTAACCATATATAAGCAATAGAGATCAGCCATGTCGAAACCTTAATACTACTCTCTAATCTCCACGTTTCATCGTATCAATTGCCTTAGTCTTATTATCTCATTTACCTTGAAATCAAAGATCAATGTTTCTGTAGGTAGAGAGAGAACCATAAGTTTGGTTAAAACTGAAGCTTATCTTCCTCTGTAGTTTGTACCTGCAATAGTAAAAATAAGAAACTAGAAAGAAAAAAAACACAAGTAATTGTTTATGAATTTTAAGCACAATCCTCTAATTTAATACGACATATTACATTATTTGTATCCTTGATCCAAAGTGAATGATCTCCATTAGTAACAAGACATAGCCGAACATGTGAAGAAATATACAAACTAGTGATTTCTCTTTACTTTTGTGATACCAATTGCAGTTGCACCGTTCCATCAATTATTCAGAAAACTGAGCTAGCAACCAACTTCTGATTTTACTCCACTCTCATCCGAGTTTCAACTTATGATGTTATATAATTTGTGAGGGTTTTGCTAACAAGATACGAAGTCTTGGGGGGTTTCAAATCGTTGGCTTCTTCTTTTTTTTTTTTGTTAATAAATCACTCCAATAAATCTCACCAAATTACCAATTATTTTCTTTTTAAAAAATTAAAAAACTAACAAATCAACCCAAATATCCTTAAAAATTACTCAAATCTCTCAAAATAAAATATGGAAACTCCACCAAATCCTTCCAATAATGTTAATTTAATATTTTAAAAAACTTAAAAAATAAAAAAAAAATCAAAGCAAAAAGTTTTTTTTTAAAAAAAGAGTTGAAAACTTTTGAAAAAAAAAAGTTCAAATAAATACTAAATTTGCATTAAAATGTGAAAAGCATGTTAAATTTGTGGAATCGCTAACGATCACGGTTAAATGATGGGATCCAAAATCCGGTTTTCACAACTTAATGTTAATTTAGTATTTTTTAAAACTTAAAAAAAAATAAAGAAAAAAATCAAAACAAAAGTTTTTTTTTAAAAAAAAGAGTTGAAAACTTTTGAAAAAAGAAGTTCAAATAAATACTAAATTTACATTAAAATGTGAAAATCATGTTGAATTTGTGGAATCGCTAACGATCACGGTTAAATGACCGGATCTAAAATTCGGTTAGTTTTCACAACTTATGTTAATTTAGTATTTTTTAAGTTAAAAAAATCAAAACAAAAAGTTGTTTTTTAAAAAAAAAGAGTTGAAATTTTTTGAAAACAAGAGTTCAAATAAATACTAAATTTACATTAAAATGTGAAAAGCATGTTGAATTTGTGGAATCGCTAACGATCACGGTTAAATGATGGGATCCAAAATCTGGTTAGTTTTCACAACTTTATGTTAATTTAGTATTGTATTTATAAAAACTTTTTAAAAGACAAAATCTAAACAAAACAAAAAAAAAAAGAGTTGAAAAAAAAAGCAAACAAAATAAAAAGATTAAACTTAACCGAAAAATGTTTCGGTATTAACGATCTCGGGCCTGACATTAATCAAAGGCCCAATAATCTTTAAGTGAATATTTATCGCCGAGGTACTGATTATTTTATAGAACATATATACTAACAGCTGATTCATGCTACTGTCGATGTGGGACCTTTTGGTTTTCTACATTAGGAGGAGGACTATGTCGGTGCTGATCCTTATTTCTTAGGTTGTGAATGGCAGCATTGAGATCGCGTTTTTCAATATTTGTTTTCGAAAACCGCACCTTATTTACCAATCAGCATTTACTGTTATATATTTGCGTTTTTTTAAAACAAAAAAAAAAACATATTGCGTTTTTCAGAAAAAAGTAAAAACACATGGACCGCTTTTCAATTTGGGATACCTCTTTTATGTTGTGGTCCATCCAAATCCGCACATCCATATAATTTTATTTTTTATTTTTTAAATATTTTAAACAACAATATATGTGTTGTTATACATGTCTAAACATTCTTTCACTCCATCGTAACACCTCTCCTTCTCTCTTTTTTTTTTTTTTTTTGTCTTTTTGACCTTATCTTTTCTCTCCACAAATTTCAGGTAATATTTTTGTAATTTGTTCTATAATCACATTTTCAACCATGGGCATGAGTGTAATTGTGAAATATTTTTTCATAATTTTGTCTCCATAATATTAGTTTACTATTATTTATTATATTAGCCACAACAGTTTTTTATTTTATTTTATTGTGCTTTTCAATAATTGATACTTTTAAAAGATTTAGCAATAATTATATCAAAAGTAACTTTTTATTTTAGATTAATTAGAATATTTAAGATTCATAAATCTATCAAAATGTTTCTTCATTTTCACAAAAAAAAAAAACTAATTTATAATTATTAATATATTTATTTATAACATTTTTATCTATAATCAGTAATACATATCGTTTTTTGCTTTTTTACCATTCAAACATTTTATTATGTACCGCAATTACTTTTTTCACCAATCAAACATTATTCCGCACTGCTTATTTTGTACAAACCGCACTTGTCCCACAAATACTTTTCTTCCGCACGTACCGCAGTTGAACCGTACCGCACTATAATACCGCTTTCTCCGCACAGCAAAAAACGCTGTTATTTGAATTTTCTTTAACGGCTTGTACAGTAATCGCCTTAATATGACTAAATTGTGGGAAAATAATTGTTTTTTGGTTAACGATAATTTATAAATATGACTAAATTTTTATATTTTTTTTATTAGGAAAATCATTTAGGCCCATTAGGATATGTTTAGGTTGAGAGGATGCGGTGGTGGGGGGGAGGAAGCGGCGAAGGCTGCTAAAATAGCGGTGTGGTGGGACATGGTTGAGTGTCCGATACCCGAGGGATTTGATGCTCGTCGGGTCCGTCCGAGTTTAGAAGCGGCATTCAAAAAACTTGGCTACTCTGGTCCTGTCTCCATTACTGCCTATGGCGACCAAACACACACCTCTGTTGACCTCCTGCGATGTCTCTCTTCCACTTCGCTGTGTTGTACATACCAAATCCGGTTTATCGATCCCTGGAATTGAGAGATTAAAATTTCCACAAACAAAACTATACATAAACTTTTTGCGGAAAAACGGTCTATTTCCCTACGAAAACTATCACATCATACCAGATAGAGCCCAAACTATAACCCCGGTCCAGATGTCTCTGAAACGATACTTCTCGATCTATATCTCTCTGAATCGATTGTTTTAACCTTATATCTCCTAAAATCTCCCTAAAATAATAGTTCTCATCTAATTATCCATAGCCATTGGTTTTATTAGATTTAATGTTTACTTAACCAATTTACAAAGATAATAAACCGGATTATCTTAAGCAAACGATACGTTAATAGTTGGATCATTAATAGCTGAATAAATCTTTTGCCTTTGACTAAAACAGACAGCACATGCGGGCTACAATGATGATCATATCCAATCAGGTGAATGATGTCCTCTCTTGGGATCTGACCCGCCTACAACAACGGACGCGATACAACCTGTTTCTGGCTTATTCAATTGAGTCTCCGATGTCATCCCTGTCACCTTCTATAGAGTGGTTATTTGAAAAATTCCTTATTAGTGTAAAAAAATCGAACTTAAAACTAAAGATTTGGATGTTGTATCCAATTAGTTTACACAAACTTAAAATTTTTAATACTTTAAAAAAAAAAAAAAACATTAAAAAAACAAGTGTTAAAAATTTAATTATGTGTAAACCATGTCCAACTAGTTTACACATAATTTAAAAATTTAACGCTTATATAAAAAAAAAAAAACATTTAAAAAACAAAAACAAGTCTTAAAAATTTAATTATGTGTAAACCATATTGAACCTAAAACACTTCTTAGAGGTTTGGATGTTGTATCCAATTAGTTTATAAAAAATTAAAAAATTTAATACTTATAAAATAACAAAAAAAAACAAGTGTTAAAAATTTAATTATGTGTAAACCATATTAAACCTAGAATACCTCTTAGGGATTTGGATGTTGGGTCTAATTAGTTTACACAAAATTAAAAAAATTTAACACTTATAAAAAAAACAAAAAAAAAACAAAACATTTTTTAAAAAATAAGTGTTAAAAATTTAATTATGTGTAAATCATATTAAACCTAGAACACCTCTTAGGGGTTTGGATGTTGTGTCTAATATGGTTTACACAAAATTAAAACTTTTAACACTTTCAAAAAAAAAGAAAAACAAAACATTTAAAAAAAAAGTGTTAAAAATTTAATTATGTGTAAAACATATTAAACCTATAACACCTCTTAGGGGTTTGGATGTTGTGTCTAATTAGTTTACACAAATATTAAAAATTTAACACTTACAAAAAAACAAAAAAAAAACAAAACATTAAAAAAAAATAATTGTTAAAAATTTAATTATGTGTAAACCATATTGAACCTAGAACACCTCTTAGGGATTTGGATGATGTATCCAATTGGTTTACACAAAATTAAAAACTTTAACACTTATAAAAAAAAGAAAAAAAAACATTTAAAAAAAAAATAAGTGTTAAAAAATTTAATTATGTGTAAACCATATTGAACCTAGAACACCTCTTAGAGGTTTGGATGTTGTATCCAATTAGTTTACACAAAATTAAAAATTTAACACTTATAAAAAAAAGAAAAAAAAAACATTTAAAAAAAAAATAAGTGTTAAAAAATTTAATTATGTGTAAACCATATTGAACCTAGAACACCTCTTAGGGGTTTGGATGATGTATCCAATTGGTTTACACAAAATTAAAAATTTAACACTTATAAAAAAAAGAAAAAAAAAACATTTAAAAAAAAAATAAGTGTTAAAAAATTTAATTATGTGTAAACCATATTGAACCTAGAACACCTCTTAGGGGTTTGGATGTTGTATCCAATTAGTTTACACAAAATTAAAAACTTTAACACTTATAAAAAAAAAAGAAAAAAAAAACATTTAAAAAAAAATAAGTGTTAAAAAATTTAATTATGTAAACCATATTGAACCTAGAACACCTCTTAGGGGTTTGGATGTTGTATCCAATTAATTTACACAAAATTAAAAACTTTAACACTTATAAAAAAAAAAGAAAAATAAAACATTTAAAAAAAAATAAGTGTTAAAAAATTTAATTATGTGTAAACCATATTGAACCTAGAACACCTCTTAGGGGTTTGGATGATGTATCCAATTGGTTTACACAAAATTAAAAATTTAACACTTATAAAAAAAAGAAAAAAAAAACATTTAAAAAAAAATAAGTGTTAAAAAATTTAATTATGTGTAAACCATATTGAACCTAGAACACCTCTTAGGGGTTTGGATGATGTATCCAATTAGTTTACACAAAATTAAAAACTTTAACACTTATAAAAAAAAAAGAAAAAAAAACATTAAAAAAAAAAATAAGTGTTAAAAAATTTAATTATGTGTAAACCATATTGAACCTAGAACACCTCTTAGGGGTTTGGATGTTGTATCCAATTAGTTTACACAAAATTAAAAATTTAACACTTATAAAAAAATAAAAAAATAAAACAAGTGTTAAAAAAACAAAAACATGGGATAGAAATTGACCTTGCCGATAAGTTGGAATGTGAGACGATTATCGTCATGGGCTGGACTTCTTTATTCTTGTTGGGCTTTGTTGGGCTGAAAGAGCTTCGATGACATGGCGGTGAATGAGAAACTGTGATCGTCTCTCTAATGGTTACGACACAAAACAGAGCAGCAACAACCACGACGAAAAGCCGGAGGAGAGATGATGGCAAATCTACATAAGGAGAAGAAGAATTGGATTAGGAATCTTCTGGAAGTAATTCAAACATCAATTCAAAAATGAAACATATAAGGAAAGAAAACTACCTTTTGAAATCAGAGAGTCTTTGTCGGCGAGTCTTCACTTTACCTTTCTGATCATAACCTCCCCGAAAAACGAAAATCGATTTTGTTGTTTTGCTTCAGAAATCGAACATACACACTCAATTAGATTACTTGATTTGAAGAGTGGATTAAAGATCACGAGTAATCTGAGTAAAAAAGAATTACAAGAGAAAGAGAAAAAAAAAAATCAAAGATCGTTTGCAGTTGATGGGAAAGAGAGGAAATTGCGATCGAATAGATGGTCTCTGGGGTTACTGCTATATTTATAAACACGTCTGAGTTTGGTTTGCTTTAAGAATGGAAATTACTAAACACAAAAAAGGAAATCAATATGGGTTAGATGAAATTCCCAAAATACCCATTTTAAAGTTAACATTTTAATTTAACCTCCAAGACTTGGGGTATTTTGGATAATAATAACATTTAACCTCTAAAATCTCTGTTACTTTACAGTTTACATATCTTAATGCAATTTCACCATTTGTGATGTATTCTCTTCATAAGTCAAGCTCAACCATGAGTTGTTCCAATAGTTCATTCAGAATCAATTCGCTAGTCTCAAAGCCAATGCACTCAAGTTCACATCTAATGTCTATCCAGCTCCTGTGTTTAGCCATGTCTTCTCTAACTCTTTGTTCCAACGATCGACGGAGTTGCATTGGCAAGAGATGACGGTAAACCTTTTCTTGAACCTCGGGAACAATGCTTTCAACACTAAACGACAAGACTTGGGTTCTGGTTTCAATAAAGGAAACCCATTGAGGAAACCTGCAGAATTCGAAGAGAACTTCATTGATGCAGTCGAAGAGGAGCTCATGTTCAACACAAAGCTGATTTGGATAGAATGGTATGTTGCTGATCAATGCCGGATATAGAAGCTGGTCAGAGAATTCTGTTTTCAGATACAGCTCTTCCCAGTTTGAGTCTATTGCATCCAACACCGCTTTTACGTACTTAAACACTGATTCTTTGTCATCCATAGGACGATTCTTTTCTTGCAATTGGTTACTCAAAGGTTGTATCTTTGCTTCACCTGAGTAGTGTTAACGATGAGTCAATGTTAATTCATAATTTAAGAGTTCTAAAATCTAACTCCAGTAAGTATAATTGGACCTTTCTTTTCATACCTCTTGCTGGACTTATCTCATATTCAATGAATAGTGGTTCAAGAACTAAGTCATATTCCTCAGTTTTGGATATACAGTGAGATGGTGAGCCCACAGAGGGAAGAGACAGTGTCTGTTAGAAGAAACAAAAGCAACCAAATAAGTTTATAGTTATTCTCTGTTTTTTTGTTTTTCATGTAAAAATTTGCATAGAAATCATAAGTGAACTTGCCTCTTCCAAGATTTCACCTTCATTCTCTGCACCATAAGCTGCAACTTTTGACATCTCATCAACAATCTGGTTGTTTTTGGATACAAGAGGGCTACTACTACCTTCACTTGATGAAGCAGTTCCTACCTCTTTCATAGTTATTGAATCATCTGCAGAGTCTCAAAGAATCATTGGATAGTCAATAACAACTTTTAACTCTCAATTGAGAGAAAAGATAAACTACCTGCAATTGTTTCAGACTTCATGAAATCGTCTGAAGAAGATCTCGAAAGCACGGTTTTTGAATTCTGTTTCCATATTCTTCCCGGGCTGCTAAAAGGAGACGAATACTCGGGAAGCCATAAAGTCCTTTCTTGATTTCTTTGAACCTGTTTGCTCGTTGCCATGTTTGGATCATAATCTCCATTCTTTAACATCTTAGACCCATAGTGTCCTTGGTTAAATCTCTTTTGAGATATTGAAGTCATGCGCTCGAGAAAGAAATGATCTTTAGTTGACGAATACTTCTGAAAGCTTTTTTCCTTCCCTAACAATCTCCTGTCGTACCGCGGTTTCTCCTTTCTGATTGCATGTTTCAGTTTTCTCATGATCTCAGAGAGAAACAAATGCAAATTCTTGGCTTTGTTTCTTCCCATCAAACGAGAATCTTTAGATGAGTTATGTTCATTATCAACTTCTTGTGGTGATCTCTTCTTCCTTCTGAAAAAAACAGATATCCAGCCTAACTGATCTCTCTCTTGTCTATTTGAGCGAAGCTTTTCTTCGACATGGTTTTCGATCGACATTTCAGATATACCAACTGACCAACGAGTTCTGATATACAATACGCGTATACTTTACAATCTCGGATTTCTTACAAACAAACAACAAAAGATTTAAAAGCCAAAAGTTTTCGACGGTGAGACTCTTCACTAAGAAAGAGAGGAAAATATTATTTCTGACTGACTGGTGAATCTTTTTACCAACGGATTGATTGGTCATTGTATCATCGTTTTTGTTTATAGAACAAATCTAAATACAATCTACTGTTATTTAACATCTTCCAAAAATAACGTATTATTGGTTCTTGCATTTATCATTTATGGTTGAAAATATTTAATGATTTAGTACCAGTTTAATTCATTAAGTAATCTATTCAAACTCCAAAAAGAAAGTAATCTATTCAAATTCAATATAAAAATATCAAGATAACTCAAAGCTTTTGGTAGTTAATTGAACAACTATGGTAAGATTTGTTTCTTTGTATTAAGAATAATAAAATGTAAAGTAACATCCAAATTTGAATGTACACCTCTTTGATTTACATTAGAACTAGAGTACAAAAAAAACCCTAAGTGGTTCTTATAACTTTTTGTTGGATTTTTTCTCAATTACTGTGAAAATCTATCCCAATTCAATAAAACTATAGAGTCACAACTTTGAAAATCTATCCCAATTTAAAATAATCTTAAACATGCTTTAGATATAGAAATGTAAAACAGAGGAGGCTACGCTCTTACTTCTAAGTTACCTCAATTTTCAGTTAATAATTATGGGGTTACCGAACTTCCTCTTTGTCCTCCTCGCTGTCCTCAGAATCCTTTCAGTTTCCTTCTCTGCGTCCCATTCGAAGTTAGCTCCTGAAGTAACAATACACAGCTTTGTAATCTAAGATATGAACATCTTATTACTTCAATCTACCACAAGATGGAATTTTGAGTTGTCCACTGTTTCGAGTTTAGAAAGTTACATACCTTTGGTGTTCTCGTTGATCAGGCATGAAAAACCTCCATCAATATCTTCTTCATCGGAGTCTATCACAACACTACATTGCTCAAACTGCATGAATTGAGTTGCACATTGCTTAGATTTTGAGGAAGTTAAAACATTTGTTCTTATTATAGCTGACCAGTGCTAAAATCCAACCCAGTCACCTGCGTACGAGTGCTTTCGGATTTCACTGGCTTTCTTGTTGCTCTTTTCTTGAAATTGCTTTTTTCTGGCTTCACCGTCTTCCAACATCCCACTTGTATCTTTGGGGATAAATATGGTTTTACAGCTCTGGCTGATGCGTTATTTGGACTGTCAATGAAAGATAAACATTTATATAATCTATCTGTGGTATATAAAAAAAAGGGTAGAAGTACCAAACCAATGTTTGACCTACTTTCTTGGAAGCTGCGGTTGTTTAGTTCTCAGTGTAGTATTACAAAGGGAATTGCTCTGCATTTGATTTTACACATGTGTTAGTGAAAGCTGATCTTTGTAAGCAAAATGAAGAGCGGAGATATTCCCTGCAATAGAGTTAGAGTTACCTTGGCTGCTGTACCGCGCTGCTCAGGCAATGTTTCCTTAGCCTATTGTTTAACAAAAAGTCACATTAATTGCTGAAATTTGCAGCTTAAAGAGCATAAGACATGAAAAGTAAGAGACTCTCACTTGGGGTGCTGCTGGAACCTGAACTCTTGGCTCAGGCATCTTCAAGTTAGTAAAAACCTATAAGAGATTTGGTAGTGGGAATCAAAGCATTACATTTCCTATAATTCTACAAGGTAGAGAATTTAGAGTTACCTTGGCTGCTTGACCACGCTGCTCAGGCAGGTTTTCCTTAGCCTGATATTTAACAAAGGATACATTAATTTCTGAAATGTAGCTTAAAGAACAAAGACATGGAAAGCAGGAAAGACCTTCACTTGTGGTGCTGTTGGAACCTGAACCCTTGGTTCAGGTGTCTTCAAGCTAGCCAAGACCTATAAGAGAGTTGGTAGTGCGAATTAAAGATTACATGTGCAGACAAGTCTAAAGATTTATCGCAATCTGATATGACACACAGCTCTGCTGAGAAGATATAACTACATACAAATTTTCTTCAAGCACTCATATTGTTACCTGAATCTCTCTGGTGAACGTGTGACAGATTTCCCTTTGTATTTTCTGCAGAGCGGTTTCTACTTGCTCTGGGATAGTTGTTACCATCAGTAAGATTTTCTGTAGCTTTTCCTGATTGGGATCTTTGCTGAATTCCTCCAATATAGATTTAACACCTCCATCAAGACTAGCTTTAGAATCGGCTTGTTCCTTTATCTGCTTCCCAATTAATCATTTCAATAAGTTAACCCATTTGCACAAGGTTGATAAAGAAACAGGAAAAACAGCAAATATTTGCTTTTACCAGCTGCTGAAGTGAAGTGTCTTGGAGAATCAACTTTTGCTGTATGCGTTCAGCTGCAGTAAACAGAAGAAACTATAAATCAAGCTAAGTATCTATTGAGACCTTCACATGGAGTATGGAGGAATTAGGATTCATTCTTCAAGATGTGATCAAAACGGTCAAGTGAATTGATCATCAACAAACTGATAAATCTATCGGTGCAAACAATGTCAATCTGTGAACTGCTCTTGTCAATATCACATTCCTACAGGAGTAAGATCAGATTGTAGCGGCCCTGCTAACAAATCCTATTTGGCTAAGCAAATGAGAATCCAAGGGAATGCACTCTCCTAACCCCTGTTCAGTTTCTAGCCTATGAGGGTGCTACATACTTTGAGAACAGAGCGAATTTAAATGTGTGTCATAGAACTTACTTTCAAGAAATACTTCTTTAGTTTCTCTGTTGGCTTGCATGATGTCACTCTGAATGGAATCCAACATCATTCCAAACCTGCTCAAAGAAGTTTCCATCATCCCAAACCGCTGCTCAAGCTCTTCACTGATCTGAGCTACTAAGTGACAGATGAAGAAAAGTTGAATCAAATTACGAGCTAACCAGTGACACAAATGGAACATACTCCCACGCTAATTTGTGAATTTAGAAAGAGCAAACTTACATTTAGACTCTCCAAGTGAAGCAGAACTCCATCTTCTCGTGAGACCGCTGGAAGATCTAGATGTGACCAACTGACTATCTTCTCGTTTATGATTGATTGGAGGTAAGCAACTAACCTTCTTCAAAGAGGGATCTCTTTCCTGAGAACTAAACCTCTGTGCAAAAAGGAAAAGCAGCACAAATATGAAATCAATAATAGCTTAAAATTAACTTTTCTTCTTCAGAAGAAGAGACGATCTATAGCTAAGTAGCAAACCAGATCGTTAATGAGGAGATCGTCGATAGAACTCTGAGTCATCTGAGAAAAACCACCACCACGCTGAGACGAAGAAGGTCCCTGAGAATACGACTGCTGTGACTGTTGAGATCGAAGTTGCTGAGATGCTTGTTGTGGTTCAGCTGATCTCCTTCTAAATAATTTCACAAGTTCGGAAGAGGAAACATAATCAGTAGTCAACACTCAAAACGAGAGAATTCTACGCCCAATCAAACGCAAAATTTCCCCTAAATCTTCATCGAAACCCTAATGAATTCTCCTGGGAAGCGATAAACTAGTTCGTAATTGATCAAAAACAATGTCACTGACACTCGGTCTCCAGTCACAAATCAGATTCGGAACCCAAAAAAAAAAACCTAAACGATGGAAATCGCTGTGTAATCTTAAATCAAATTAGCAAAATTGTGAAAGAGAGAGTTACGGATAGAAGCGAGATGGTACCTTAAATTAGGAGGAAAGACAGAAATAGATTTCAGATCGCAGGCTTTGTTGATATTCATCTTCATCACCTAAGATCTCACCCAGTAGACGAAGACGCAGCACCTCTTCTTCTCAAATTCACGATAAGGAATTTTAGGCTAGAGAGAGAGAGAGAGAACCCAAACCGAATTTTGAATTTTGAAAAATCGAGAGATAGAGAGAGAGAGAGATAGAAGAAGAACGGAAATTGGGAAAAAGATTTTTTTTTTTGTTTGGCTGTTGTGCAATGAATGTGGCGGGAAAAGGACGATTTTAGAGATGATGAAGCCCATTAGCTGTGTAAATGGCCCATACGCCATTTTACTCGGAAGACTTTCAATGTCAATTTCAAGATGCAAAAGTGAGAAACTTAAATTGAACGTTGCAGTCACAATGCATAACAATTTTCTACTGAATGCAACACAAGATACTAGATGCATCACAATTTTATAGTGAATGCAACTAATGAAAAATTGACTTCTTAAATTTTTTTAGTCATCTTGACTTTCGATTCTAGAACATCCTAGATTTTTTCTTAATCATATTAGAATTAAAACTGGCAGTGAAGTCAACATTTATAAAAACAAGCTTGATGTATAAGTAAGTATAAGTGTACACGAAAACGAAAAAATCTCCCAAAACCATTTACCATTTCCGACATTATTCTCAGAAACTTAATGTTTAAGTGTGAAGGAATTAATTAACACTACTAGTATTCCCGGAAACTTAATATACAAGTGTAAAGTTCAACTGCTCGCTCGGATTAAATAATGTAAGACCGAGACCCTCAAGTCAAGCCATTGACCCAGAAAATAACACGTAAATGGTCCGAAACCTCCTTGCAATTTTGTTGCAAAGGGATGATAACAAAAGATATCTTACCTTCCTTGATGTCCCTCTCCATATATATATACCTTTAGTTTGCTCATAAAAAAAGAAAGAAAACCAGAGTAAGAAGAATCAATGGAAGACGCCATTTATGTTGCAGTGAATCAAGATGTTCGAGAAAGTAAAAAAACTTTGTTATGGACATTGAAAAATCTTCAAGTCAAGAAGATTTTCCTTCTTCATGTTCATCTTCCATTTTCGTTGACCACTTCCTGTAAGTCTTTTTTTTTTTTTTTTTATATACATACATTATTATGTACGTTCAGTTTTGCAAATTTTGTTTTTTTGAATTTTGTTTCTTTGGGGCTGCCGGAGATACTTTGATAAGGGGAAGTAGCTTGTTTATGGACGATTCAATTATAGAACAAGTCACGTTCAACCGAACGAAATGATCAATTTAATTATTTTAAAAATTTACTTGAATTCTGACACGTCTTAGATGATTGATGATATTCTGGCTGATGCTGATTTTTCAATGTGTTAATACAATAATACGTATCTGAAAATACATTTTTAAAAAGACGCATATTCATGCGCATATATCAAAACACTAATCATCATCATGTGTCAGAATTTTAAATATATATTGTTCTTACCAACAAATTTATAGAGATTTGAAACATAAATTTCTCTAGAACAGAATTACACATGATGCCAAGATATTCATAATATAATCAACATCCTGATTTTTAAAATTAGATTTACAATAAAATTGAAACCAAATTTGGTTTCAACTCTACCTACTTCCGAAACAAATTATGTTTTTGGGCATATACGGCTACTACTATACCTATTTGTAGTTAAGTCACACATCATAGTAGTTAAGTCACCTTCTTTTTTCTAAGTTTGGATTTTCTTCTAGTGCGCAGTTAAAAAATACATAACATGTTTCAGGGCGATTGCAATTGCACTTATATGCTAAGAACTAGCCTTGAATGATTGCAGATGTTAGGACTGGAATTTTTACTCTTGTTTAAAAATGGTCTATTTCTTTGTGCATTTTCAGCAAGTAGGTTTGAACAAAGTGAGATCGATGCAATCCAAGATTCAGAACTGAATACTTCAGTTAATAGCCTCTACAAGTACCGTGATATCTGCATAAACAAAGGAGGGGTGAGTTCTCTTTTCGGTTGATGGAGCTAAAAGGAAAGCACAATGTTGAAACTTTTTAAAATAGAAATCTATATTGATGCAGGTTAATGAAGAAGATGTGGATACATCATTGATCTCAGGACATGATGTGGGGGAAGGGATTGTGGAACTCATGTATCAAAACAATATCACGAAGCTGGTTATGGGAGCAGCAGCTGATTCTCACTATTCCAGGGGAATGTCCATCACATCTAGGAAAGCAGAGTATGTGAGTCAACATGCACCACGTAGCTGTAAAATATGGTTCATCTGCAAGGGGAAACTCATCAAGAAAAGGTAAAGCTTGAGGCATTACACTATTGTTTTAATCAACATACACTTGTCTCTGTGTGTGTGTGTCTTATAAGAATTGTAAAGTTCAACAGAAACTTTTATTTGTTTAATAGAGAAAGAAGTTTCGACATCGGGAATCCATCAGACTCATTCTCAGAATTCTCTACTTCTGCTGAGAAACCAATTAGCAAAGGAAGAAGAAGGGATGAGGAATATGAAACCGAGTCACCTAAAGAACATCCAGTAAGTACAAAGAAGCTTAGGTTAAAACATCTACTTGTTACTTCCATCAACCCTAGTTTTAGTGTCAAGATTACCATTTGAGATCCTTGTCGTGTCAAAAAACAGGTTTGGATACTAGAACCCGAGGAATCACCAAAGAAAGGAAGGAAGGAACCTGCAGAGAAGTCAAAAAGCAATGGGAGCGATGAAGACTCACGTCTCGAAGATTTCAAGTGTCCCATTTCAATGGTAAGGATATTTGAAGTATATATATATTTCCTTGATTTTCAGCTCTTGAAACAAACCTAGACTTGTTCCACATCATCAAAGCTGTTGTTGTTAATGAACATTCGATTTCATATGTGATGTAGGAGATAATGCGAGATCCTCATGTGGCCGCTGATGGTTTCACCTACGAGGCAGAGGAATTCAGAAAGTGGCTAAGGTCAGGAGGTCGAACCTCGCCAATGACAAACAAGCCGCTTGAGAATCACAATCTTGTTCCAAATCACACTCTTCGTATAATCATTAAAGACTGGCTCGAGAAGAACCCAAATCATAAACATTGATTCATCTTATATGAGAAAAAACAATAAAATCAATGATCATGATATGATTTTGGGGATTTCTTTGTGAGAAAACAAATATGTATATGCTAGAAGAACTTCATGTATCTTACTGTTACATCCATGGCGTATATTAATGCGATCCTCTACTCTATGCATCAATATGTGTATAAATTCCTTTTTCTTGTCTTTGGAGATGATTGCGTCCTCCTTACGAAAAAAACAGAGAAACAGAAAAGAAAAATAAGAAACCCTAAGAAACATGGGCCCTTTACTCAGCACACTACAAAATGACATAATTGACCCTGATTTCTCTAACTAGGCGAAGAGGATCTAACCGTTCATACTAATAGCTTCGTGACGTGTCTTAACCTGAATCGTTAAACTCCACGATTATTCTCGAGCATTAAATTTTTACCCAGTTGTTGTGTTGACTGGCTCCACTTGAGGTACCATCGTTCTTCTTCAGCTCTCCGGCTAATTGAACGGCGGTTGATCGGACATTATTGGTCATAAAATTGGATATAAACAGGTAAAATTCGAAACGAAATTTCTCAGTAGCAAGCCAAGCTCTACATGTATATATTTTTTGTTTCTACTTCTCCGTGACTTCGTCAAAGCTTTCCCCGTCACTAAACCCTAAAATTATCTTGCCTTCGATTTCGGATTCCATCGATCATATATATATTTTATCTTCTCTGAGTTGACATTCTCTAAATTAAAAGATCCGTAATCCTTTTTATCTAAACTTTTTTATTGTAGGAATGTGTCTTTTACGGTAAGAATTAAGAAATGTTGTGCGAATTAACAAACTTATTAGGCTTAAGGTGCATTTAATTACTAATTGTGAGAATTGGCTCGTTCTGAATGATGTTATCCTACTCTGCTTAGATCATATCTTTCGTTCTAATCACTTTCTTTCTCATTACAACTTTGAATATTATATAATTGACTAAGAAAATTGTCGGAAACATCTTTGCAATGACTTGGTAAGGGACCAATATCTATGTACTGTATATGTGTCTATGTATATATTATAATTAAAATAGTGTTTTGCTTATGTGTTATCTTCTTGTTTTGGAAAAAAGAGAATTTGTCTTTCTCTGCGTATCTATCTATCTAATAGACAAAAGTGGAGAATCCATGGCAAAGGCTTTGAATGACGACGATCCTGTTTATGTTGCAGTAAGCGAAGACGTTGATGAAAGTAGATCGACTTTGTTATGGGCATTGAGGACTCTTCGAGTGAAGAAGCTTCACCTTCTTCACGTTTACCAGCTCATTTCGATGACACCTTCATGTAAACCATCTCTTCACTAAGTATACTTCTCCTTTTCTCTTTTCCTTTTTGGTGCTAAGAAACTTTGATCAACCATGTTACAATTTCTTCTTTTTTTTTCTCTGCTTTGGTAACACTTATCTAAATGATGCAAATGGTTGCAGCTGATTGATATTGATACTTTTTTATACCTTTTCTGCCTCTAGTTTCATTGGTGATAGAGTTATATCTAGCATCTTTAGATTCTTGATTCGTAACAAGTAAGGTTTAGGATGTGAATGGTTGCAGCTTGGTGTCGGTGTTTTTGTTTATGTGGTGATGTTGTTATTATCAAGCAATTAATGATTCCTGATTAGTTAGGAAGAAGATCAAGCTTTACGTTCTTGAATGAACTTATGCATACTCTGTAAATTTCCTTCTTCTTTTTTCTCCTAACGTTTGGTCTTATGTTTGTGAATTTTTTAGCGAGTGGGCTGGAACAAAGTGAGATCGATGCAATCCAGGAGTTGGAACAGACTAGTAGAAATGATACCCTTCTCAAATATCATGATATCTGCATAGATGAAGGAGTGAGTGCTCTTCCAACTAGTTAATACAATAGTGTCACAATAAGGAAGCTAGTGTAATCTGAAAACATATTCGTGTGGTTCATTTGTTTTACAACAACAATTTCGATTATAATCTAGAAGAGTTTAACGTTTACTACGTATTCATCTGGAATATTTTACAAGTGTTTATATTGCAGGTTATTGAACAAGATGTGGATATGTCATATTTTTCAGCAAATAATGTCGGGGAATGGATTGTGGAACTTATCTATCAAAACAATATCAAGAAGCTTATCATGGGAGCAACTGCTGATTCCCACTACTCCGAGTACGTATATCTTGAGAATCATTCTGTATCTCCAGAACAACGCAGTTAAACAATTCTTCTGTTCTGCAATAATGAGTGTGATGCAAAGATGACTCTGTAAATAAGTAAATGTTCACTCTAGTTATATATCTTTGATAATGCAGGGGCATGGTTCATATCCCATCTACAAAAGCTGAGTACGTGTTCCGACATGCGCCTCATTGCTGTAACATATGGCTTGTATGTAACGGTAATCTCATCCAAACGAGGTGAGATTGAGAATTATACTTCTACATGTTTTGAATGATTTTTAGCTTTATAGAAAATTTTCTTTGTTTATTAGGGCGGGACGGTTTGAACATGCAGGTTCAGCGCACTCCTACTCTGAATCCTCAAGCAGCCTTCATAGCCTTGATTCTGCTCCGATACCATATGGGGGAGCAGGAAGAGCTGAACGTGTTACCCAGCCTCATGCCTTGTCATCATCTGAAGAACTATCAGTATGTAAACCCCACTTTGGTCAGCATATAGCATTTTGGAGGAATGTTTTATGAATTTGGAACCTTGCGAATTTGCTTAAAACCTCATTAAACCATTGGAGAAGAAATGAAATTTTGATAGATTGAACATTCTAGGATCCAACACCTCTCCTTATTAGCCCAAATGTATCTCATTTCCTGTACCGAGTTTAATGTCAAGTTTACCATGTGAGATTCTTGTGCTGGTGTTTAATAATTATTATCTTCCAGTGTAGGCGATTCTCATTTGTTCAATTGTGATGGTTCTTTCAAACAGGCTAGAGGGTTTGAGTCGATGTATTATGAGGAGCAGAGACGGAGATTGGAAATTGACGAACTAAAGAGAGAAAAGAAGCAACGTGATAAGATGAGGCGTGAAGCAGAGGATGCACTCTCTAGTTCCTTTGGTGTCTCTCAGATACTGTACAATGAAGAAGTAATTCGCAGGAGAGAAGTGGAGGCGGAACTAAACAGAGCAAAAGCAGAAATAGAAGATATGAAAAGGGTCCAAAAGGAACTTGAAGAACAGCATTATGCTGATTGCCGTCTGTTAGAAATGTTCCAGAAAGAGCGAGACGAAGCTATCAAGACAACTGAAGAGCTTTTAAGAGCTTTGGAGAAGGGTGAGTCATCAATCCCGTTGCAATGGTCTGTTTCCAACGAGCCTCCCCAATGTTTCATATGTCCCATTTCAAAGGTTAGGACTTAAACCCTCCATCGAGAAATCATATTTTCTATTCAGATCTTGACTTGGCTTCTGTTCAATATCTCAACTTTAATGTTGTAAGCTGACACGTATACTAAACCAGACATGTTTTTTATAACTAATCTTCCAATTTGATATTTGCTGGTCTAATTATTTTTCATTGCCATTGCTCGTGAATGTAGGATATTATGCAAAATCCTCATGTTGCAGCCGATGGTTACACCTATGAAGCAGATGAGTTCAGAAGATGGCTCAATCACGGAGGTGAAAAATCACCGATGACAAATATTAGGCTCCAGAATCACAATCTCACCCCGAATCTTGTTCTTCGTTCCGCCATTAAAGACTGGTTACAACAGCATCCATAATAATATGATTTGCCGTAGGATAAATGTCAAATGTGGTTTTAATCGTGTTGTGATTCATTGAATTTGTTTGTGAAAAATCTAATAAAAAAGTCCTTTATTCACTGAAATTTTTTTTTTTTAGTATTTTTATGCATTGACTTGTATTTTAATTGCCATACATTGACTTTACTGTGTCTACCTTACGAAACCTGAAACGGTCAACAAGAAGAACATTGAGGGTCACCACTAACCACTGTTGGTCTCTGTCTGTTAGATTCTTCTTTTTTTTTTTTTCTGGTTTCAGTTTTCAGGGAAGAAAAAAGATAGAACACAAAGACGAAAAGAAAGGACATCAATGGCGGAACTCATTGCCATGGGCAATGATGTTGTTCATGTTGCAGTTAAGAGTGATGTCAGAGAGAGCAGATCAACTCTTCTTTGGGCTTTGAGGAACCTCGGGGCTAAGAAAGTCTGCATCCTCCATGTTTATCAGCCAAAAACAGCTTCTCCGGCTGGTAAGCTTCATAATCTTCCAGCCCCATTTGACTAAAGCTCGAGATTTATATGAATTCCTGTGGCTCAATGTTTGCCATTTTCTAATGTGTGTTTAAAGGTTTGAAAGGTGATTCAGATTACGTGCGTCGTATTTGATAAGTTATTTTATGTTGATTATTTAGCTCGCAAGCTGGAAGAATTGGAGGCTATCATGTACGAGACATTACATGATTATTTTGATTTTTGTCAACAAGAAGGGGTATTGATCTGTTGCCCTCTTATACTGTTAAATTCTGTCTTTTCTTGCTTTCAAATGGTTGGGTTTCCCCTCATTCTTGATCTCTATTTAGGATGAATTACATGCGAATATTTCCATTTTATACCCTATATTGGACTCATTATGATCGCAGGTGAATGAGGACGATATTTACATATCATGTATAGAGATGAACGATGTGAAGCAGGGGATACTAGAACTCATCCATGAGGGCAAAATCAAGAAGCTCGTCATGGGAGCTGCATCAGATCATCATTATTCAGAGTACGTATTGGAAATCTAGAAAAACTCTAAATCTCATCAAGACATTCACTGGTTGACTTGGTGAAAATGGCAGGAAGATGTTCGATCTTAAATCAAGAAAGGCAAAATATGTTTACCAACACGCGCCTAACTCCTGCGAGGTTATGTTTATGTGTGACGGACATCTCATCTACACAAAGTGAGAATTTTGAAAACTCTCTTTAATTATATGTGTCTTGTCTTTGAAGAAATTCCCTGATTGTCTCTGTCTATTAAATACTCAGGGAAGCCAATCTTGAAGACTGTGTTGATGAAACAGAATCCGGAGCTGGACAATCCAAACCGAAGCTCTTTTCCTCGGCTTCACCGAAATGCTCTGCAGAACTAGTTTCTGCAATTGTAGCGTACATTGACACAAGGAGAGACAGAGATATGTTAGAGCCAACTGCATCAGAGGATCAATCTGTACGGTCTAAACATTGTTGGTATTGTGAATTACATACATAAACGAATTGTTTATGAAAAAACCAATATATTCCGTGCTGTTTCTGTGTCTGTGTTATGTTGCAGGAAAGCGAAAGGAATGATCAACTGTATAGACAGCTTAAGCAAGCACTTATGGAAGTTGAGGAATCGAAAAGAGAAGCTTATGAAGAGTGTGTCAGGCGGTTTAAAGCTGAAAATACAGCCGTTGAGGCCATTCGCAGAGTAAAAAACTTGCACAAATTCATACTCTCAAACATGAAAATGTGTTTTTGCTTAGACTTGTTTTCTTTTACTTAAAAGGCAAGAGAGTACGAGACCATGTACAATGAAGAGGCGAAGCTAAGGAAAGAAGGTAAAGAAGCATTAACGAAGCAGAGGAAAATGGTGGAGAAGACTAAACAAGAGAGGGACGACGCGCTGATCATCATTCTAAATGGAAGAAAGCTATACAATGAGGAACTGAGACGTAGAGTTGAAGCTGAAGAGATGTTGGGAAAAGAGAAAGAAGAACACGAGAGAACTAAGAAGGAGATCGAAGAAGTGCGAGCCATTGTTCAGGATGGTACTGTGAGAAACAGAACTGAATGTTTTCTTCTCAGACAATTAGAGATTTCATTTAAATTTTTACAAATTAGGTATGCAGCTGTACAACGAGCAGCTGAGACAGAGGAAGGAGATGGAGGAATCTATGAAGAGACAAGAGGAAGAGCTTGAGAAGACAAAGAAGGAGAAGGAAGAAGCGTGCATGATAAGCAAGAACTTGATGCAGCTATATGAAGACGAGGTGATCAATCTTGGATTAAATTCAGAAACTAGAAGTTATAATCATCATATTAAAAAAATCGTTTTTGACAGGTGAGGCAGAGGAAAGAAACAGAGGAGTTGGTGAAGAGAAGAAGAGAGGAGCTAGAGAAAGTGAAGAAGGAGAAGGAAGAAGCTTGCTCTGTAGGACAAAACTTCATGAGGTTATATGAAGAAGAAGCAAGACGTAGAAAAGGAACAGAGGAAGAACTCAGCAAGGTGGCGGCTGAGAAAGACGCAGCGAGCTCAGTCTGTTCGGAGATTCTATTACTCCTTCAGAGTTACACTCGTCGCCATGGGATTCCTTCTGGATTCTCGGATGAGGACTCCGTTACACGCCAGCCTCCCTCATATTTCATATGTCCTATCTCACAGGTATGTCGACCAGGACCCATGTGTGGTTCATTGTTAAAATTAGAGCATTGTAACAGAACAAACTTATATTCGACTCGTTTTTTTGTTTATTCAGGAAGTAATGAGAGAGCCTCGTGTTGCAGCCGATGGTTTCACCTATGAAGCTGAATCCTTAAAAGAATGGCTCGGCAATGGTCACGAGACCTCACCAATGACAAACCTGAGGCTCGCCCACAACAACCTAGTCCCCAACCACGCCCTTCGTTCTGCCATTCAGGAGTGGCTCCAACGAAACTCTTGAGAATCTTTCTTTTTGTGTTTACATAAAGCTGTTATTATTTGCTGCGAGTGGAATTCATAAAAACTGTTTGGTTCTCTAGTAGCCTTAACCCATTTGCAAAAATGCTTGCTGTTTTGCTCTCTCTTGAGAAACCTGTTGTCAAAACGTCTTGTAGACGTTTGTAATTTGAAGTCACACGTCCCTTTCTATGGGCCAGTCTTACCAAATATGGCCCAACAAATGGCCCACTAAAATGGTAGAGAGTTTAAGCGCAGGTGATATTTAGATGAACAACGTGACGCGTGTACAAAACGACGGATTGGGGTTTTTTCAACGTGGGAGACTATCGTTGGCCATTACATTTGATCTTAGCATGAGGTCGACCACATTAGATTTTTGAAATTATAACAATAATAATCTAATGGTTTACTGTAACATGCCGTCTTGTCGGTACGGTTCATACGGATCAATATTAAAAAATTTGTTGATTACTAAAAATTATTATTAAAAATTGGGTAGCCGGTGATCGGTGGATTTGAAGTACATATAGTATATCGCATGCATGTTCCACGCGCAGCTTGTCTCTATATATGGTCCACGCACATGCTGTTAATTAGTGCAAATCCATTATTTTTAAACCGGTATTTTTTTTTTTTGTTTAATTAATGATCGAAAAATCACTCGATTTCTATGATTTGATTAGTTTTCTATATAGAAGATCAACATTATTTCAACCTGAAATCATCAATAATCATAACATGGCATCATCAATATTTTTAGGGATATATTGTATAGTTAAATGGCATATATGAGACGCAGTGCTACAGTTAACGACGTGTCTATAAATTTAGTTTTTTTATATATATATATATATATATATAAATTTAGTCTTGTATATAAGAAGATATCATATCATAGACGGGGTATTTCACTACCTGACAGTGAGATTTTTTAAAATATACTTTTTTTTTTTGTCAAAGAATTTTTTAAAATATACTTATTAGAATCATCAATGAATATTAGATTTTAGATGATTTTTTTTGGAGGAAAAAGAAACTAGTATAAAATTTACATTCAATATAGATTTTAGAATGGGTTTGTCAGTCAGTGATATTTATCAATCATCGGTAAATATATGATGTTTGTTTTATTCGGTCACTCGTTCCGATAATGACTCCACATGTTTTAGTTCTACACGACGCTTGATCTGTTATCACTTACCATCATCAGCAGATAAAAACAGTTTGATAATTGATAAATATAACTAGAAAAGGCAAAATATCGTACGGACAAAGAAAGTATTCAATAAATAAGCACTGTACAACACCAAATACATCAAACACGCGTCCCACGCGCCAAAGGACCAAAAAAAAAGTCAAAACCAGCGTTTAAGCTTTACTTATCTCTAAAACGACACCCACCTTTTTTCCATCTCTCTTCTCTCTCCCACGAGAGTTCTTTTTTTTTTCCCTCTTCTCTCTTTCTCTCTCTTGTTCCTTGTACCTTCCTGCATTTTTTTCTCCATCTTTCCTCTCTAATCTTTTTATCTTCTTCTGCTTCTCCTTCTTCTTCTTCCTCCTTTTAACGATTCTGTGGAGAGTGAATCAGTTATGATCTTGTGGAAATCTCTCAGCTGTTTCTCGTTCGTCTTCGGCTTGTTGTTGTACAGTGCTAGTTTCGTTTCTGCTGGAGACATAGTTCACCACGACGATTCGCTTCCCCAGAGACCTGGTTGCAACAACAATTTCGTACTGGTTAGATTTTTGATCCATTTCACTTTGATCTGTCTTTTTACTCTTTTTCTTAGCTCCTTGTTCCTTCTTGGTGACTTTCAGGAATTTGGAATTAGTTTTAGGTTTTGGATTGTAAATAGGGTTTTACTGAATTAGTCTCTTGTGTACTATATCTGTTGTTGCCACCAGAGATTGAGAAATTGGGTTTTACAGACTCTAGAGGGACTTTTGGATTTCAGATTTGATGTCATTCAGATTTTTCGACACTTAAGAGCAGAGCGAGAGTTGCTATAGGCATGAACTACCACCTAACTAAACCCTCGTTTTTAGTAGCATGGACTTTCAATATGTTTCTTGTTAGCTATAATAAGGAGTCATTTGGTGTGAGTGTAGAAATTGGGATATAGATCTGGAACTCTTGCCTTTTGCATTGAGCCTATAGAGTCTCCCTGCCATGTCATCTTCCAACATATATAACTATAATTTCATGGACAGGTGAAAGTCCCGACTCGAGTTAATGGGTCCGAATACACGGAGTTTGTTGGTGTTGGTGCTAGGTTTGGCCCAACCTTGGAATCTAAGGAGAAACATGCTACCCTCATCAAACTTGCTATTGCAGACCCTCCTGATTGTTGCAGCACTCCCAAAAATAAGGTTGCAATTTTTTAAACTTTCCTTTTTGTCTTGTCAGTTTTCTTTCTACTCATCTTTCCTTCTTGTGTAATTCCAGTTTCATTATCTTTTGGTAGCTTACAGGAGAGGTCATTCTTGTTCATCGTGGTAAATGCAGTTTTACCACTAAAACAAAGGTTGCTGAAGCAGCTGGTGCCTCCGCCATCCTTATCATAAACAACAGTACAGGTAATCGTTTGAAGCTTGTCCCTAAATATTCCTCCTCTTTTGCTAGTGATTATTTGTTTCCCAATTCTAGTTATCCTCTTGAGTTTTGCAAGGTTGAATGTTGCTTTGCAGATCTTTTCAAGATGGTCTGCGAGAAGGGTGAAAACGTCTTAGATATAACTATTCCTGTTGTTATGCTACCCGTTGATGCTGGTAGAAGTCTGGAGGACATAGTCAAAAGTAACTCTCTAGGTAATTCTTCATTTCAATCCAATTGTACTTCAGCAGAGATTGTTTTTTTTTTTAATGTTGTCGTTGACTATATTTGTTCAGTTACTTTGCAGCTATACTCACCGAAACGTCCAGCAGTTGATGTGGCTGAGGTCTTTCTCTGGCTTATGGCTGTCGGTACCATTTTATGTGCTTCTTATTGGTCTGCGTGGACCGTCAGGGAAGAAGCTATTGAGCAAGACAAGCTGCTAAAGGTGCTTGCTGGCTCAGAATTTCTTACGACTTTATATTCTGGACATCCACCATGTTCGAACCTTTTGACAGCCAAAGAAAAGTGCCCTTATTCCTTTGTTATTTATCTTAAACTGCAGGACGGATCAGATGAACTTTTGCAGTTATCAACCACCAGCTCTAGAGGTGTTGTTGAGGTCACCGTGATATCAGCAATTTTGTTTGTAGTGGTTGCTTCTTGTTTCTTGATCATGCTCTACAAGCTTATGTCATTCTGGTTTATAGAGGTGTTGGTGGTACTCTTTTGCATAGGTGGCGTAGAGGTCAGAACGTTTATCTTATGACCAATTGAAATCATAGAAATACCTAATTGAATCATCCTGTTACTGATATTGTAAGTTTCGTTGGTACTATCAGGGGCTGCAAACCTGTTTGGTCGCCTTACTCTCATGGTATGTATATTTCTTCTTCTCATCAACATTTCACCGTCAGGAGCATGTTTCACCTCTTTTTGCTTTTCAAAGAGCAGTGGAGAGGAAACATTAAGATGGACAACATCCCCTGATGAGTTGAATACTATAAGAAACACTCCTAATCCCATATAGTGGTTCATTATTTATTCTCGTGGGTTGATTTCTTTTCAAAAGTTCCTACGTTCTGCATTGTTTGGATTTTAGGGCTTGTTTTACCATGAAATAATGAATCAGAGAGAAACCATGAATTGTGTTTTTTTGGTTAGACTATGAAATGCTAGGCTATTCACTTGAATATTTGTTCTTTAACTCTCTGCATTGTTGGTAGTAAAAATTTCATATGTGCAAGCTTCTTCACTCTTTAGAAGTTAAAAAAAATCTGATACTGACGTTGGATTTATTATAGTTTCAGATGGTTCCGCCGCTTTGGAGAATCATATCTCAAAGTTCCTATCCTGGGTGCTGTCTCATACTTGACTCTGGCTATATGTCCCTTTTGCATAGCATTTGCTGTATTTTGGGCAGTTAAACGCCAATACTCTTATGCTTGGATAGGGCAAGATATACTTGTAAGCACGACTTTCCATCTATCTCTCTTAACTGACTTCAGTTTGAATCCATGTTTGTCTATGCCACCTACTGTTAAATCTCCATTTAAGACTACCATGCTCATACCTAGTCTAACAAATAACAGAAGGTAACAGCTTAATTTTGCTTTTTCTTACTGACAGGGAATCTCACTGATAATCACGGTTCTTCAAATTGTCCGCGTACCAAATCTTAAGGTAATAGCCATTTCCTTACCAAATATTACATAGACTCGCCGTCACAATCATGACGGCACCAAATCTCACATGTTGACAACACCTGTAGCCATCTATTACCAGCTTTGCATTTAAACCATCACTTCTCCAGTGTATATATTCTGGCTATGTGCTTACGAAGTTGGCACCTAATAAATAAGCTTTAAAATGTTGAATATTCAACAATCTGAACCACTGAATTGAAGACTGAAAATTTGATTGCTGCCGGTAGACGGACACAATTATTTCTGCCAATGTATAGAAGACCATTTTTTAATAACAGTATTAGTTATGATGACTCATTGAACTCTTATGTTAACAGGTCGGGTTTGTTCTTCTCAGCTGTGCCTTCATGTATGACATCTTCTGGGTTTTTGTTTCAAAATGGTGGTTCCGTGAAAGCGTGATGATTGTGGTAAGTTCTTCCTGCATTTTCTTCTGGCTCCAGAAAACCATTTTCGTTCATACAAGAATATGCAAGATGTTCCAACTACACAAACTTTTCTGTCTGCTCCAAACTGATATTATCGGAGAATTGTACGTCCTTTCCCATTTTCCCACATATAGGTAGCCCGTGGTGACAGAAGCGGAGAGGACGGAATTCCAATGCTACTAAAGATCCCACGAATGTTTGATCCTTGGGGTGGCTACAGCATAATTGGATTTGGTGACATCATCTTACCAGGACTGCTTGTAACTTTCGCACTGAGGTTTGCACTGTTACAATCCCCTCTCGCGCTCTTTCACCTTACTACTATATCAAGATCTCAACTAAACTGAGTTATTAGAAGCATACAAAAGTATGAAATGATGCGCAAATGCGGATATCAATGTAAATCAGGACAACAAACCAATAGAGGTGCTCAGCAAAAACAACAAAATGCGAAAAGGGTTTATCAGAAACATTATTTGAAACATTGGGGTCATGATATACCTTTATATCCGCATTTGCGCATCATCTCTGACAGATTTTTTATAAAACAAAATCGCTTGAACCTGGGAAAATATCTTATAGTCCGACATTCTGGTTCAATTTAACAGTATGCTTTGTGTTTGGTTAATGTGTTTTGAAGAACTTGTAGATAGAAAAATCATTAACTTTTCAAGAGTTGCTATAGTCGCACCGAAGTAGGGTCTAAGCCTCATAAAATGAAGACATTACAAAGTCTAGTAAAAATAGATGAGTGTGAATGAATCAAATATCTACCGAGAAATCAGGGTGCACTAGGTAGAGAAATGGAGACAACATATTGTTTAGAAAAAGAATAGATAACTGTAGGGATGTGTTTTCAGGTGTTCCATCTTATCATTTTCAGTAATAAAAAGGAAATCTATTATGATAAGTACCTTAATCTAATGTTAAATCCGATCAAATCGTGCTCCGTTCTGCAGGTACGACTGGCTGGCGAACAAGAGGCTAAAGTCAGGATACTTCCTTGGGACAATGTCTGCTTATGGTCTAGGTATGATCCCTCAAGTAGGGAAGAAACGAATAAGAAATCTACTAAAGTTTTTTTTTTTAATATTATTCTTGACAATCACAGGCCTGCTCATAACATACATAGCTCTAAACTTGATGGACGGACATGGACAACCGGCTCTGCTTTACATCGTCCCATTCATACTCGGTAAGAACCCACATCAGATGTTTTGGAACCAAAAGCTATTGAAAAAGTGTTTTGAATCTAAGAATAATGGTTGGGGGGGCGCAATGTGACAGGTACTTTGTTCGTGTTGGGTCACAAGAGAGGTGACCTGAAGACGCTGTGGACAACAGGGGAACCCGACAGGCCATGCCCTCACGTTCGTCTTCAACCTCAATCGTCTTAAAACAAGCTACTATGTATCAGATGAGAACAGATCAAAATCAGATGATCCTCTAGTTTTTTTTATTGTTAATACAACACACCCCTTCTTAGGTCTATATATATATGTCTCTGTACGCTTTCACACAACTAGACAGGAGAGCCCATACCATATTTGCCTTAATAACTCTTTTAACCTCTCTTGCTAGATGAAACCACGAATAGACTTTGGCTTCTTTTCCTGAGTCATGATGATCAGATTTTCTTCTATGATATACATATGTCCAAAAAAACTCCAATTAGTATTTACAGATTTACTAATGTAAAAGGGTCACAAGTTATTAGAGGAATAAAATATTGTAGCAACTAAAAATATTCATTAATATGAAAAATTTAAGAAACGTCTCATAAATTTCTATCATAATTTGTCAACGAAAAATAATTAATTCATATATTTATTATATACTGTAGTTAAATGCTAAAAAAAATCTCACAATTGATAATTTTCTAAATCCGATATAAGTATTTGTTAAAGTCTTAAACCCTTATTCAACTAAACTTTCGCTTTAACATGCAAACCTTTTTCTTTTTTCCGATATTTTTTTTTAATAAATGTTGCTCCACCAATTAAAATTATATATCAAAACGACGACAAAAATAATCATCAGGTCCTTTTAAAAAAAAAAAAATAATAATCATCAGGTCAAGTTCAGAGTCTCTCAGATCATCGTGCCGAAGCTATAGAGGAAGCAGCCGATCTCGCTATTATTCGGTATATATATTTCCTAATTTCTCTTTTTTTCTCTGAAAATTGCATGACAAACCCTTCGAATCGCGGTTCGGAAATGATCGGTGGCTTGATTGAATTTTCGTTTTGAAATTGCGGGGAGTGGCTTTTAAAGATTTGATACATATCCTTGGATTAACTATTTGCCTCACTTCAAATTTAAAAGCTTTTATTAGAGTTTAAAGCTTAAGGGATGATCACAATATTGATCTTATGAATAGAGAGAACCTCTACTACTACTTTCAATGGCCGCGTGTATTTGGGCATGTAATGTATGGTTAAGGTTGATCTTCTTGGTATTCTATCTCTGTTTAATAATACTAAAGCTTTTTGATTGTGACAGCTTGTTGTTATAAACTAAATGGCAGAAAAGGCGGCCTTTCTCGGGGGTCTTGTCGTCACATTCAAGGAGCAAATGCACACTGATGTTCTCGTTAAATCTGGCGACCCATACCTACACACAAAGCCGTTCTGGTACATATCTGCCAACAGAACAGATAATATACATTTTGCTTTCATATTTCTGACCAAAGTCTCAAGACATTATTACTATGTTCAATGATGAATCTGTTTTTGTTCTAGGCGGCAAGATCAAAGGTCTTCAGGAACATGTTAGATTCTGATGAATGCAAGACCTCCTCCGAGGAATCAATCACTCTCCCTGATTTGTCCCACGACGAATTTAAATCTCTTCTCGAGTTCCTCTACACCGGTAACTTAAAAGCTCCATACAATCAATACCGATCCCTATATCTGGCTGCAGATAAGTACGACATTTCATATCTGCTAGACGTATGTCGTAACCATTTCATTGCATCTCTGAGCTCTAGGAACGTCCTAGACATCTTAGAGCTCGCCAGTATACCTTGTGACACAATCTTGAAAGACGCGGCTATCAATCATATTGTCAAACATATGGAAGAAGTGGTTGTTCCCATGAAGTATGAGACGTTTGTGCAGAGGAACCCGGATCTAAGCGTGGAGATCACTCGCGCTTATCTAAGAGAGACCAAAGCCAAAGCCAAAGATCATGGAGCTCCTCCATTCAATGGTTTTACTAGCTCACGCGTCAACTGGTGAACAAAAACAGCTTGTGTAAGTGGATCGATCTCACTTGCGGAAGGGGATTGATTGTTTCTTCTGTTCTTTCTAATAAGAGTGAAAAAATTAGTAAAGACTTGTTTTATGGATTATCTCAAGGTGTTGTGTTGATTGAGTCATGTACCCTTCATAAGTGAACCTGTTTTATTTTCTTTTATTGTTTTAGTTAGTAGAATTCTAGTCGAACCAATTGTGTGTTAGATTTGCAGGGAAGATCAACAGCAAGCTATACTGAAATTTATAGTTACCAAAGTAAAATGGCTTATATCACAATAGATAGATATGAAATTACATGAGTTTGCCCCAAAAAAAAAAAAAGTTGTTTTCGATATTATATTATATCTTTTAGCTTCTTTGACAGTAAATATATAATGTTGGCATTTGGCAACACTCAATATGTTTTTCGATTTATTAAAAATAAAAAAAAGAAGAATAGTGTACTAAGTAATAATTTAGAAATAGAGGTGGGCCGCCGTAGTAAAACCTAGAATTAGGTCTCCTGAATAGGAACAAGTGGCAATTTGCCTCCGTAGATGTCGGGAAGTTGGCTTTCGTCTATGTCTTCGAGTAGCGTTGGAGTGAGTTTCTTGTTCTCCACGAAAACAATCTGCTCCAACAAAAAAGAACAAAATTAACAATCAAGTTTCCCAACACAATAAAGTGATTGTGCAGCAGAGCAAATTCATAAACCTTTTTCTTGGTGTTGGCGTCGATTAAAGGATAAATGACCTTCCATGCGGTCATGAAAATGTAGGGGGCATGAACTATATATAGTTTCCCCAATCTCTCTGGGTAACAATCCTGTAAAACAAGGTTTTCTTAATGTTCAATTTGTAGAAAGCGACCATGAACACAATTACTCAAGCGATATTTTGCTAAAAACAGGATTACAATCTTGAAAGTTCCTTTTTATTAAACAAATCCATAAATAAGAGTAAAGTAAAAAAAGAAAAGAGCCAAGTGTGGCCAAAAGGACCAAAAATAACAAAAAGACCTTTGACCTGATCACCTACTCCAAAATAACAAAAAGACCTTTTAAAACCTAGTAAATACTGACAAACATAAGGTTTCTTAGTTAGAAGCCAACTTGAATTCTTCTATATTTGGAGTTATAAGTGGATTATTAGCAATATTTTTCCGTTATTTATGATAATTGCTAAAAACAAAATGTTTGTTTCAAAAAATATGATAGGCAAATTAAAGGAAGTAACCTGCAAAGTGGAAAGAGCAGCAAGGTAGCCACGGATGTCACAATTAGAATATCCCCAGCCTTGAAGATCTCCAATTGATACGAATTTCTCTTGACCTCTCGGCATTCTAACATGAGAACATTCAAAAAAGAAAAAAAGTGCATTAGCATAAATGATTTCTTATGTATCCCCACTAACTTAATGTATGTAGTGTAGTAATATCATTATTCACCTAGCGCATATCTTCTCAAGCGTGTAGACAAAAAAACGCTTGAACTCGTCAGGGTTACCTTTGGAAGGGTTATGTCTGTTCCCAATGGCAACAACAATGGGTCGACCCATCTTGTCATGACCTTGCATACACACCTTGTTATGCGACAAGTCATTTGCAATCTCTGCTTCTGGTATGTGCCCCTTTGGGAGCATGCTTCTCTTCCAAGTCAGGTACTTAAGAAACATCGTTGAAGCCTTTTCAATGTCGTGGTCACGCGCTCTCAGAAACCTCCTTATCATCAGATCATCCACCTCCTGCAAATCAAATCATTAGGGGTTTTTTTAAATCAAGACTTTCTGTGTTGACTTTTTTTTACTTGATACTTTCAAGAAATCGATACCGACCTTAGTTTCAGGATCTTGTCGGTCGCAGAGAGCTCTCATGATCCCGACTTTGCTCCTCTCGATCTCATCTTCAATCAACGGACCATTCTCTTGCTCAGCTGGTGCTGCTGCTGGTTCTTCCTTGGTCTCTTTCTTTTCCATTACGTTTCTCCGGTGAGCGACGACCAGATCTTGAAATTGGTAGAGAGAAGAAACAGGTTGGGATCGATCATAAATGGAGACAGCTGCTGAGAGAAAGATCTAAGTATCATTCAATGCAAAGTTGGGCTTCTTTCCCCTTCAATGGCGACGCTCACCAACTACTCTTCCTTAGAAATTCTACTCATTTATTGACTCATCCCAGCTCTTTGTTGTCCCGACTCTACTACAGGAAGAAGACGATATCGTGCTTCTGTCAATTGGGCCTTATTAGAGCCTATTGGGCTCGGGATGATTTGTGGTTTTAATCTCTCACGCCTCAAAGTGTTGACTGATTCATAGGAGTGCCTTTTAGTGTTAGTATAGCCCACGACAGAAGCTTGTCTGGGGTGTATAAAACAATTAACCATTCACGTTTTGAAAATATGTTATCGTATCTTCTTCAAATATCTTTCCACATGTAAGCATTTTGAACAGATCTGCTTCGTTGCAAAATGTTACTGTCTTTTGATGGCATGTAATGTACCAACTAAGTACAGCTGCAGAGACAAATTCGGTAACAAATTAAAATTAATCAACCAAATAATTGTTTGTTATTCAGCAACCTAATCATTGCTTGTTAAATGACAATGCCAGTTGGGCAGCTAGACGATTGTGATGTGTGGTTGCGTTTGTAGATAGAATCCCGCATTTTACTAGTCATATTCATATAGCGTTTTTAAAAATTTGTGAAATTTTAATTTTGGTTAGATTTGAAAAGATTGAGAGAAAAAATAAAAAAAGTGGGAGTAGGGAAACGAACATGTGATCACAGAAAAGCAAAATACATTTCTGAGCTGTTCAATTCAACCCCCGGAAAATGGAAACTTATCTCCAATTTTTTTCTTTTTTTCTGTTTCAAGAACTCCAATTTTCTTTTTAATAATTTTGTCACTAGTACCCAGTTAATAATTAAATAAAAATATTCTAGGCCGGGCACAATAATCCAGACTATGTTAGATAAAGCAGTCGCTTTCCAAGCACTTGTTTCCTTTTTCTTCCTCCAACGGTCGGAAAAGTGATTATTTATTCGTCGACTAGTCAAAAAGTTTGTCCTTTATTTTTCACTGTTTTTAAACGATACCAACTACAGTCATATTTTTTACATTTTTCACTGAGAGCCCCCTGTAATACCGTCCAAAAGAGATAACTTTCTTTGTTGGCAAAACCTCAAGAGAAAAGACAACTCACAGAATGACTTTTGATTACTTTAACATAACACATCTCCATGATTACTTACTATTTTATCGCTATAATAATTTTGATTCATATTACGACTTACAGAATTAAGCTGCTTCTGCGCACAAAGGCAGCCATTAATATTTTTTGGTTTATTTGGTAGATAACTAAATGTACAGCCAGAACTGCAAAAGAAGATAAGGTGGGTAATGTAAATTAGGTCAAACATGCTATCTTTATAAGGAGTTTCATAATATAATAATTAGTAGCCAACGCAACAGAATTATTAGCGTGGGTTTTGTTACATGATTAAATATCATCATGTCCCTATTACAATTATGCTTTTACGAAGATCATCGTTATCCATGAATCTCTGTATTTCTCATTATTTAAATTGGAAAAAAAACAATCATATTTTCTAGACGTTAGGCTTTGCTTTTTCTATTATCTCTCTCTTCTCTATAAAACCACCTTTTTTTTTCCTTCTCAGCCACTCACTACCCATTGAAGAGAGAAGAAAGCTAAAAACTTTAACGTTTTCTAGAGAGAGAGATGGAAGGGAAAGAAGAGGATGTTCGAGTGGGAGCGAACAAGTTCCCAGAGAGGCAACCCATTGGGACATCGGCTCAGACGGACAAAGACTACAAGGAGCCACCACCAGCTCCACTGTTCGAGCCAGGCGAGCTGAGTTCATGGTCCTTCTACAGAGCCGGAATCGCCGAGTTCATAGCCACATTCCTGTTTCTATACATAACAGTATTGACAGTGATGGGAGTGAAGAGAGCACCAAACATGTGTGCCTCTGTTGGAATCCAAGGCATTGCTTGGGCTTTTGGTGGCATGATCTTTGCCCTTGTCTACTGTACTGCTGGAATCTCTGGTAACCCATTTATCTTCTTTAAAAAGGATTTACTCGAAGAGATCTGAATTTAGAGTTGGTTCTAATGTGTTTGTGTATGTGTTTCAGGTGGGCACATCAACCCAGCGGTGACATTTGGTCTGTTCTTGGCTCGTAAGCTGTCATTGACGAGAGCTGTCTTCTACATCGTGATGCAATGTCTCGGAGCCATCTGCGGCGCCGGAGTTGTCAAAGGCTTCCAGCCAAATCCTTACCAAACTCTCGGCGGAGGAGCCAACACAGTCGCTCACGGCTACACTAAGGGCTCTGGTTTGGGCGCTGAGATCATCGGAACCTTCGTCCTTGTCTACACGGTCTTCTCCGCCACTGACGCCAAGAGAAGCGCTCGTGACTCCCACGTTCCGGTATATTTCGTTTGAGTCCTCTTAATTGATTTTTGGGGTGTTGAGAAAGATTCATAATTTAGTGTTATTTTTGCAGATTTTGGCTCCACTCCCAATCGGATTCGCTGTGTTCTTGGTTCACTTGGCGACGATTCCGATAACCGGAACCGGAATTAACCCAGCAAGGAGTCTTGGAGCTGCAATCATCTACAACAAGGACCACGCTTGGGATGACCACGTAAGTCTCCCATTATTATATATTCAGCAGCAGATATGATTTTTATCTCTTTATGTCAATTTGATTTGGTTATTTTGATTTGCAGTGGATATTCTGGGTGGGACCATTCATTGGAGCAGCTCTTGCAGCTCTTTACCACCAACTTGTCATCAGAGCCATTCCATTCAAGTCCAGAACCTGATTGTTTGTTGCTTTATTATCTATCTTGGTTTGTATCGTCGTGCTTGAAAATATTTGAGAGATGTGGTCATGTGGTTAATGGATTTGTCTAGTATTTCTTATTTGCTGTGGTTTAATCGTTTTGGTGTATGATGATGATGATATATATTTGGTACGCTTTTAATCGTTTTAATTTTGATTTGAGAAAGTTGCAAAATGAATCTGATATGGTTTCGGCTTGGTTTATCTGGTCATCGACTTAACCAAGTTAACGTGGGTATTTAGCCCATTTACATTGGGCCTCTTTCGCACTTATCAATTATTTATTTAGCCTAGTACTATGCATAATTTGCTACTAAAGCTCTTTATGGATACTACTAAATAAATATATCTATCAACTGCACACTCGAAAGCTTTGTTATGTTTTTTTTTTCTCTTTCTTTTTGGTTTGAAAAAGCTTTCTTAATTTGTTGCGATAGAAATTAGATAGCCAACCAAGTTGAGACTTGAGAGAAAACATTCTTACTTATTTATTCTAGAAATGGTCTTGTCATTGTTGTCAAAGTGGATTACCTGCCCACTCTTAAGCTTTTTTAGTTTTTACTATTTACTTTTTAGTTTCACATCTTCAGAGTGTATGCTTATGATAAATGAGTGTTATCTGCTTGGAAATAAATTCTGTTTAATTGTGATGTCTACATAATTTGCATGCACATTTTGGTAATTTATCTCAAACACACACACACATATATATATATATATATATATATACGTGATCGTCTACATAAGGTTCACGTGATGTGGTGCTGGCTTACTGCAATTTCAATTTCCATAGCGTATGATATTTAATACTATGGGATATCCATAAACTGTTACATTCATATCCGTAAGTATGAACAAGGGCCTCTCCAACACCCAACCATTTACCGTTTTATTAATAATATCACTGACCATCCATATGATACAATACAAGAAAAAAAAAAAAAAAAAAAAATCCTATATAATTAAGTCAATCAGCATGCATATACAAAACTCTACTGTCGGCGACTCCTTAATACGTAAATCTTGCAATCAAAATTAAATGCTATCATTATATAAAAGTCATTTTCGTATATTAACTTGGTCAGGCGGCCGTCGAATTTAATGTTTCACGTATAGTTGAATATTATACAGACTTAGCCAACTATATATTCTAATAACTCACTCAATTAATTATACAGCCTTCCATTTAGGTGAACCACTTAAGCTACTTTCTTTCATGTCAATCAACAAAAAAGAGTAACTAAACCGCGTGACCAAAAATATTTATGTAAACATTTATATATACACCAAATTTCATCATCTAATAAATACTCTAATCAAATAATTACTCATATTAATTAACTTTAACATATCGTGAAATAAGTGTAAATTGAAACCTTCACTTGTAGCTACTTGTAAATAGTACTCCATGGTTAATTTTGTCAAGATTGAAAGTTAGGATAAAATCGTAAAGAGTTTATATTAATTGAATTGAAAAGTTATTTAGTCGGTTGAGCGATTAAACAACCACTTTATAGAAGGCGCATTTAAAACCCCAAGGACTTCCCTCTCTTTCTTTCCAAATTCTCTATATCTCTCTCTCTCTCTCTCTCTGTTTACTACACCGCCAGTATCAAGAAAGATTCGCCGCAAGAAAACATGTCTCCGGCGAAGAAGAGCCGAAGTTTTCCTCCGATAAGCGAGTGTAAAAGCAGAGAGTATGATTCGATCGCTGCGGATCTCGACGGCACTCTGCTTCTCTCAAGAAGCTCTTTCCCTTACTTCATGCTCGTCGCCATTGAAGCAGGTAGTCTCTTCCGTGGATTGATCCTTCTTCTTTCTCTTCCCATCGTCATCATCGCTTATCTCTTCGTCTCCGAATCTCTCGGAATCCAAATCCTTATCTACATCTCCTTCGCCGGTATCAAAATCAAGAACATCGAACTCGTCTCTCGCGCCGTTCTTCCACGGTACCACAATCACCGGATCTTTATTGTTTCGATTTTGGAAACTCAGTTTTTGAATTTCTTTTTCAAAAATTTCTTTAGGTTTTACGCGGCGGATGTGAGGAAAGATAGTTTTGAGGTGTTTGATAAATGCAAGAGGAAAGTGGTGGTTACTGCGAATCCGATAGTGATGGTTGAGCCATTCGTCAAAGATTATTTGGGAGGAGAAAAAGTTTTGGGAACAGAGATTGAAGTTAACCCCAAAACGATGAAAGCTACTGGTTTTGTTAAAAAGCCTGGTGTTCTTGTTGGTGATTTGAAGAGATTAGCCATCTTGAAAGAGTTCGGCGAAGAATCACCGGATATTGGACTCGGTGACCGGACCTCCGATCACGATTTCATGTCCATTTGCAAGGTGTCTCTATCTCTCCTCTCTGGTTTCATTTGCATATCCAATTTACGTTTCTTGAAATTATTAAAACCTGATTTAGTTGGTAATTAATTAAAGAAGTATAAGTACTTAAAGACCTATAAATGCGGTGGAGAGGATTCACATGATCTATGGGCAAATGAATTAAAATTTCCCACATGATTTGTTTACTTTGTATGTGTATCATAAACTCATGAAAGATCCACAGTTTTTAAGATACAAAACTCATATAAAAGTGAATTCAAGTTGAGGAAAGTGGTCACTGACAGTGACAAAAATTAGATAGTAGAATAGAATAATAGTTTTCATAAATGCTTCCAACCTATCACCAACTACCATCACCACATAAGTTGGACGGTCCATTTAATGAATGATCCCATATGTCAATATTGTTTGAAAGTTCAATAGTATTTTACATCATTTCTTACTATAATAATCGTGAATTTTAGAATGACTCTTATTATAATATTTTAACAGGAAGGTTACATGGTGCATGAGACCAAATCAGCCACAACAGTCCCTATAGAGCGTCTCAAGAACCGCATAATCTTCCACGATGGCCGTCTTGTCCAACGTCCGACGCCGTTGAACGCCTTAATCATTTACCTTTGGCTTCCTTTCGGCTTTATGCTCTCTATCTTCCGCGTCTACTTCAACCTCCCTTTACCCGAACGCTTCGTTCGCTACACTTACGAGATCCTCGGCATTCACCTCACAATCCGTGGCCACCGTCCTCCCCCTCCTTCCCCCGGCAAACCTGGAAACCTTTACGTCCTTAACCACCGAACCGCCCTTGACCCCATAATTATCGCCATTGCTCTCGGCCGTAAGATCACATGTGTCACTTATAGTGTCTCTCGCCTCTCCCTGATGCTCTCACCCATTCCTGCTGTTGCTCTGACCCGAGACCGTGTCGCTGATGCAGCCCGCATGAGACAACTCCTCGAGAAAGGTATTTTCCATGCTCAATTATCATTATACAAAAGCAGAGTATCTCTGTTTTGCTACATATGATCCATTGGTTTGATTATCTCATGAACTCTAATCTGAAATGAACAGAGAACCTAGGCTCCATTGATTATCACTGTCACACATACATATTATCATTTTTAGAATCAAATACCTTTCGTTTCCTAAATAATAAAGCAAGAAAACAGAGCATCTCTGGTTTTTCTACACATTAATTTGGTTTCATTACTATCACATTATCTCTGTTCTTAAAAGAAAAGAGATCACCTGAGTTGTTATTTATATATTATAGAATCATATACGTTTAATGTACAAAAACACATATTTCTCTGATCTTCTATACACATAATTCCTATCATTGTAACTCTGTTTTTTTATTTTGCAACAGGTGATTTGGTGATCTGTCCTGAAGGCACAACGTGTAGAGAACCATATCTACTAAGATTCAGTGCTCTATTTGCGGAGCTGAGCGACCGGATCGTGCCTGTGGCCATGAACTGCAAGCAAGGGATGTTCAACGGGACGACAGTTAGAGGTGTGAAATTCTGGGATCCGTACTTCTTCTTCATGAACCCTCGACCTAGCTACGAGGCCACTTTCTTGGACCGTTTGCCCGAAGAAATGACGGTAAACGGTGGTGGCAAGACTCCTTTTGAGGTGGCTAATTACGTTCAGAAGGTGATCGGTGGAGTTTTGGGGTTCGAATGCACTGAACTTACAAGGAAGGATAAGTATCTGTTGCTTGGAGGCAACGACGGAAAGGTTGAGTCTATCAATAAGACCAAGTCCATGGACTAATAATCTAGCTAGTTACTGGTTGCTGCTATTTTGCTTGGGAGTGAAGTTAGGCCTTTCTGGTTTTCCCAATTACTTTTTTTTCATGTGTTGTTCGACGAAAAGGTTTTGTTGAATATGCACCGGATAATGAAATTACATTTGAAACAACGTACGTACATGTAGTTTACCATTTTCCCTTGTCTTAACTATGAATGAGTAGTAAAAACTGTCTAAGATATCTTTTTAATTGTCAACCACAACATAGAAATAGATACAAATTCTCCTTCAGAACTGCATAGATCTTACAGAGTTTGTGCTTAATCTGTTGTCCATTGCACCTGCTTACGATCAATTTCCATCTTGGTCATGACTTTGGATCAAGAAACTGACACAATGAAAAAAATTGGTATATACAAATTCAATACACAGCTAATTTCCTTTTGTTTTCACGTGAAACTTAAACACACTTGTTGATTGATTCATTCAAGCGAAATAGGACTAAGGTAGCTAGTACGAAGTAAAATGTATTTATTTTGGACTATATATATGATTTGCTTACAATAATTTTCCATAAAGAAAATCTAAAAGTTTACAAAAAAATAGAAAAATTAAAGAACCCGGTAAATTACTAAGTGGAGTATATTGCTTATAATTTCATATTGACCAAAAATTACAAGCTGTATTTTTGTCCAAATGTTTTATTTTGGAATATAAAAAGTGTATATATGAATAAATCAGAGACGTGATTGGCCTTAAACCACCGCAACTCCCGTATTTAAGTAAACGGCGACGCCTTCACCAATAACGCCGTTACATTTACCATTGGCGACACCGTCGCTCTTCTTCACCACTAGACTCTTCATGATCCCTTGGAGGTCCCTCTTGTGCAGATTCACCAGAAGTCCGTTCTTCATAAATAGCGTCAACGACATCTTCTGCTCCACTTTATGTCCCGGAACCACCGTAAGCCGGTGACGGAGAAACACCGCCGCCGCTATTGTTTTCATCTGAAGATACGCCAGATCTTTCCCCAAGCAAATCCTTGGTCCAGCATTG